GTCGGAACTTGAAATACGTAATTTGAAAAAAAATTGTACGACTGCAGCGGTCGTATGTCTGGGTGGTGGTAAGTTGAGTATGTTAAGTCAAGGAGTACCTGTATATAATATATTCTATAGAAATGGCAATGATTTTCTGTATATGTAATGTTTTTCATGGGGAAAAGGAGGCTAGGGAACGTAACTCCCGTGTTTTATCTATTTCTCATGGGGAAAATTTATCTGCTTAACGTGGTTTCGTATAACGTCGCGTTTTCAGGAACGTAACCCTGAGGTTAAGCGAGAACTTACTATATATGTATATGCGTAACCGTCTATTTTACTTTACTGTAATAGCCTAAAAATTGGCTATTGTAAGAACAAAATACTGTATATAAGTGTTATAAATGAAGAATAACAGAAAATTTTGCTCTGGGTTTTTAACACCAGCTACTGTAACGCAAGGTTAATTACAAAGTTTGATAAGGGATTTTCTCAGTGGCTACCATGATACTGCTTTATTTTGTGAGTGAGCTCCTCTAAGTTTGGTTTTATGCTGATGGACAGAGAACAATGCAAGTCATGCTGAGGATCCACGCAGTTCCTTGCTTTAGTCTTGATCGTAACAAGACCTGAAAACCCTTGCTCACAGAGATATATCGCCAGAAAAGGGCGAATAGCCTGTTCAACCTCCCGAGTCAGAGTGGGACTATCCTTGAGTTGGGTCCAAAATTTCCAATACTGGAGGCTTTCAAAGCATTGCTTCTCCACTTGATTTTCCTGGAGGTCTGTAAGTTCCTCTTGAAATCAGGGAACATCTTCTCCGACTTCACTAACATTAACCACATTCCTGATCCAGCTATGATTCTCGAGGTCGACGTTTTCTGGAAAATACCTGTCAATTCTTCCTTGGCGCACGAGTATTGGACGTGAACAGACTCGAACATTACTATGTTAAGTGTATATGGATGTTTTATTATACCACAACTATTCTACTTTAGTTAGTATTTCAATAATTCTTCATATTATGCCAGTGACGTAATCCAAAATTGTATATACAGGGGGCCCCCCCAAGTTCGAGGATTTTTATTTCATGGTCCTCTATTATTTGCAGATGACACCCTGGAAGTACCCACAAATGTCTGTGGGTAGTTTTAAAGTTACTGGCATTTTTGCGGCTGGGACAGGGAGCCATTCATTTTAGAGACAGTAACTTCCTTTACCTGTATTGTAAATGTGTGTATGTGTAGACACCACACACACAAAACACATACAAATAAATAATTGGAAAATCCTCTCACAAATAATCAGAAACAAATTTATTAAAAATGTGAGTCTACCCTCAAGTCAGTGCTTTATTAATAAAGTAATAAAGCACAGACTTGAGGGTGGACTGTCACATTTTTAATAAATTTGTTTCTGAATATCTGTGAGAGGATTTTCCAATTATTATTTATTTGTATGTTTTGTGTGTGTGTGTCTACACACACACACATCTACAATACAGGTAAAGGATATAATTGTCCTAAGAGCAAACACATAAAGGGAATATGCATTTCTTTGTACACAAGTCAAAATGTCCCCCCCCCCCCACGTCTGCAAATGTTATTCACGGATTTGGTGATTCACGGCCATTTTGAGAACCCAACCCCAGCAAATTTGGGGGGCCCCATGTAGTGTAATATCTTATAATTTTGCCTTTATTTTTTTTCAAGACTGTTTTGAGACACTCAGTAACACCCTCGCGACCATGGGTTTGGGAACCACTGCTGTACATGGTTTGTGGAAGTTCACACAGTTGTTTACCTTGGGTAGCATTACTTTAGTATAGAAAGCAGGTTTTACGTTATATACAGGAGGGACCCGAATACTGTATAAGCGAAATTCCCTCTTATGTGAGGCTCCTGGAACGTAAGCCTCGCATATTTTGAGACCCTACTGTACTTTATATCGCACCTTACTTAATCACACCATATCAGTTTAAAATTAGATTGATTATTACTGCTTCAGAGAGAAGGGTTTTGTTAGCATTTACAAAATATTCATTGGACTCTTCAATTAGTTCATTGAAATCCAAAATGTCTACCTATTTATGTTATCTTTTCTCATCACCCACATGGATGGGTGGATCAAAGGAGACAGACACCTTAAGAAATTAAGGAAATGGTCTGGGAAAACAATGCAACAGCAGAGAAGGTGACAGAAAAAGGTTGAAACTTGAAGTGTGCACGCACACATGCACTCACCCACCCACACACTTTCTTGTACCCTTAACTTACATACACAGTCTACAAAAAGAAACGTTCATCCCACATTGATTATAATGCTTTATATATAGTAAATTCACTGTGAATACTAAGATGAGTTGTCAGATTTTTTCTTACAAACTTTAGTTACACTCAATATGATTCTACTGTACAAAATCCAGAATCTTTCTTCACACTTTATCTAAAGTGACAACTTTTAACCTCACCAATTGACCTAAACAGTATATTGTAACTTACTTTTTCTTTCTTGGTGTTCCTCTCACTCTTGCTTCTCGAAGCATACTTTCCTCAATCTTCCTCATCAATCTCTCATCTGCCATGTACGTACTTCATATATCCATAAAGAGATTCTGAAAGCAGCTGGTACCCATTACTTTTACTTACTTAAATTTTCTGAAATGAAAGATCTTAGCCAACAGACTTCCAGCAAGCTTTAAGAAGAACTTCTAGACATACAGTAAAAGATTCTGAAAGCCCTGCCCATATCATTTCAATGCACCCCATTCATATGGCTTTCCAAAGGCAACATATTTTTATCCTCATTTTTTACCCAGTCAATCCTCTGAACCCCCATACCATTTTACATGTTAATCATCTTTACTGCTCTGAGTCTGGACCTATCACTACCCTGAAACAGCACCACATCCTTACACAAAGGCTGGATCAAGCACTTCTTCAAGCAGTATCCTTGTACACACTTCACTAAAACTCATTCCAGTTATTAGTGCTCTCAGGGCACCACTTCCTAGTAAATTTCAGCTTTTCTATTCCCATCCTTGTTAAACTTAACTTAAAAAAAAATTAATTAAAAACCTTCAGTTCTTTTCCAGTTATAATGATATTACATAGAGACTGCCCTACCCTTTCAAACACTCTAAGTTTGCTCTTTCCACTATTCACCATTGATAATATTCCACTGCAGAATATATCAAGAAATTCTTGAAGAATTTTCAACTCGTCCTTAAATTTGGCTAGCTGCTGAAAATTATCAGCATACAGTTGATGAATCCAATTCTATATTTCATGCTGCTATGTCTCAGCTGCATTTTGCAACCACCCATTCTCACTCTTAGTTTTCTCTCTCTCTCTGTTGCTTTTAATATGCTTCTTTCTCTTGCACCCAGTATCCATGCTTTGCCCCATTATAGTAAAGTCAGCTTCTCAAGTCCTCTACACATCTCACAATTTGCTTCCTTAAACATGATTCTTTCTCCATACATTCTCATTCACACATATCACTGTTTTCCCTCTTCCAATCTGACATGCATCATTCCAAACACTGGTGCACTCACTCCCAGTTATCAGAAATGCCACAATTCCTCCACTCTATCATATAAATTTTTATTTTGTTCACAATTTCTATTAGTTTTCTTCTGTGACACACACACTTCTAAACAATACTTTGGTACTACTGTAGTATGACAGATGTTAGAATTCATGATATGTTGTCTCCATTTACTTCAGATAAACATGGGAGTTAAATGTAGCCAGGGAGCAGATTAATCAGAGAGAACAATCAAGACAAAAATACAGGAAGGTGGGAAAAGTAGATGATGGTGCAGTGAGGAGTAAATGTACTAACCCTAAGTGACAAAAAAATCGATCTGTTTTCACTTAACTGCTTTGTGCAGATTTAGAGACCAAATCACTCAACGTCAAGCTTTCCTTTCATGCAAGCACTCATCATCAAATATATCAATGCTTATCACATCACAGAAGATATAACCAAAAATGGTTGCCTGAGAACAGATCTCCATGGACAAGGTATACAAAACTCAAATGTTATTGAAAGGGTATTATTGCAGATTCACTCCCAATTGGGTGAGAGCAATTTTGGGATCACCAGAAGCTATATCTCGTCAAATGCAACTTTTTCTAATACCACTTTCCATCACAAATGGATAATAACAGAGACGGTAAATTCACACAGAAAATTCAGGTAAATCTGCAGTCACAGCGAGTCGTCTGTTTGTTTACAACTGACCCACTCAGTCTGAGCATACTCTTACGTCCACAGAAAACATAAAACTACACCATGATGCTTCACCAAAGTTGCTTTTATTGGTATACCAGATATCAAAATAAGCACTTTCTGTTTAATATATTACCCTGGCTTGGAAGTTAGGTAAGGTTAGGTATGTTTCTTTGGTTGGTTATGTCAGGTTCTATGGGAGGGAAGGGGGGGGGGGTGATAACTAAAAAATTACTCATTTCTGACAGATATGAAGGTCAAATTCAAAAGAATCACACCAAATACCATGGGAAAAACCTAGATTTCTGGTAAAAATTCAATTAGTAATGAAACTGTAATTTTAACATTGAATGTTTATCTTGAATGAGCCGTGTATCGTAAAACTGTGAGAACACCCTCATGAGCCATTCTCTAGTATTTAAAACTTCAAAGTAATAACCTGCAAACTTTCTGACCAAGATATTGAACCCATATTACATGAAGAAAATTACAATATTCTGTATACTACATAGACACTCCTACCATTTCCTTTTTGACATAATCTAAGTCTTTAATACAACAGTTAACAGATCCAGCTTACACCATTGGCATTGTTCCTTTATAATGAAATTAGATGGCATAGTTGTTCATAACACACTCTTTAATTATTTCCCAAATAAAACACTGCAACACAGGTTGCCATACTGCCCCATGTATCAATAAAAATGGACTGAATATCCTTTTGATATCTACTGTACAAATAGTGTACCGTAATGTTGTGGCTAAAACAAAACAAATCAAAATATGAGAATAGTGCAATGTATTTACTCTATTCATTCCTTTAGTCTTAACCTGTATCTTCATGTACAGGTATTTTGTAATATTATCAAATCTCATAGACAATGTAAAAAGATTTCAATGAACCTTTACCTGACAATTGAATGTGATGATTATATTTTATTTAAGAATAAAAATTCAAGCTATTAAACTATTTCAAAACAGCATATTTATACTTACTTCAAGTACAGTATTAGATATAATTTAGCTGTAAAAATTTTCTCAAATGAATTTTCATTAAAATGCATTAATGTTAGTGACCAAAATTCTATAAATTCAATACTCATTACCAAAACATTTAGCTCAAAGTGTCCTGACATCTTACAATCTCTATACAGTATTCAAATGAAAATACAGTACTGTAGTATGCAATAAAAACAATCAATCTCATAAAATATAATTGAATATTAATAACCATCAAAATCATTTGCTCTGACTACTGAAATCATTTCACCTGTACAGCTAGTCTGTCTGGTTGATTATGAATTCAAGTGACAAAACAATCATATGCCCAAGATGAGATGGTCATGTTATTAAGAGTTATTCTGGGCTAATAAAAAATACTATGGATATCAAATAAACCATAGAGATGGCAATACTGTACAAATTGCACAGGATAGACATTCTTTTTAGCACTAAGACTGAGTCCACTTTCACAGCCAGCTTTAATTTCATCTTTCTGCCAATTTCATAGACTACATTAGCAAAAAGAGTTAACATGCACATATCTTGTTAAATATTTCAGAAGACTGGAAAATATTACTACTGTAAATATAATGTTAGAAACAGTTTTTGCAGCTTGGGATGAATGTCAACAACTTCAAATACTGAACTGTATTTCAATCTGACGTGTCAGTTTCCACTAGCCATTCTAATTAAAAAAAAGGAAATAAAAGGCAATGCAATACTCCAAATAAATGGAAGCTTACATAATCCATGTGTCAAGGCTCAGAGCAATTTACATTATCTGCTATTTGGGAACAGACAAGGAGTTTGCTACACTATGGAGATCCTTATTGCTAGCACTAAAGCAAACAAGTGATTGTACCATTAAGCAAAGAGTTTAAGTATGTGGCAGAACATGAACTCATAATACTCATTTGCATATTTCACAGTAACACACATTAATACATCCTACAGTACACTAAATGGTAAAATACAAAGCATCTAGTAAAATTACAGCACCAATATCTTGTTAGATAGTACATAATGACACAAAATGTGCCAAATTATTATTCTTTTATACAGTATCACTCAATTAACTGCTAATTTTAAAGGGATAATTTATTTATCTCTTAGTAACAGCATTAACTCTATTTCATACTGTAAATGTATACAGTAAGACCACTGAAGTGTATAACAATAAAGCAACATTTCATCTTGAAAGAATACATGCAAAGGTGAAAACTTTCCCTTGTAGTGTATTCTAAAACAAGACATATTTATTTTTCCATTTTGTATGTATACAGTACATAAGTATATGTACTATAGTAATTATTTCTGCACTCATATTACATCTGTGTGTGTGTGTGTGTGTTTTCTTATTAATATCATCTTGCAGTGAGGTGATTGAAGCACACTGTAAAAGTCAACATAAAATAACTACTAATAGTAGTACAGTATGTGGATCAGCAAGATATCTTTCCATAATGTATTTCATCTAACATTAATAGCAAAAGCACGAGTACGGTATGTGTTCATACTAAACTCATCTGAGAAAATATTTTCTTCTTCAGCTTTGCATTAAAAGTAGTGATGTGTTTTCTTCAACTGTACTGTACTACACACAAACTTTCAAAAAAGTAATGGAAGATCCACTTATCATCAATCAGATCCCTATCAACTCCCAATCTACCTCACTGGTATCTACATTTACCTTACTTGTATCGTGGACGACGGAAAATCCACAAAAAAATGTTTTTAAATCTTCTCCAGCGTGACAGAGGTTTACTCCTACAGGCAGGGGCTCCTTCAATTGCTTCCTTTTGTTTCTTTCGTATTTCTCTCACAAGCATGTGGAAAGCATCATCAACAAAGTGTCGTAAGGCTGCAGATGTCTCAAAAAAGGGGCAGCCCATAGAATGTGCAAGATTTTGACCCTCCTCTGTAGAAACCTAAAAGCAAAATATATAATTTGTTATGTAAATTTAGCAGTGTTAGCCATAAAATATAAACAAATGGTGGGTGACATATAGAGGGAGTTATGAAAATGAAAGACAGGAATATTAGATATTCAAATAGCAATGGTTATATCTTCAAATTATCAATAATGAACAATAAATACAAATAAAGAATTAAAACTTAAAATATAAAATGCATAAATTTAGTGACATTCAGTTAACTGAAACATTTCCAAGCACAACTTTATTTAACCAAGTTTTAGTGAGCCTACTGGGAGGTCACATTAAGGGTTTAAAGGTGATGTAATATTGTTTTTGGAACCCTAAGTGTATACAAGAGCAGATCCACGAAAAAAAGGGGGTTGTATGAAATTGTGGGGGAACATGGCAAGCACAGCAAACCCACCCAGCAAGGTGGTTTGGGATGAAACAGGGTGTTGTAAGCCCCCTCCCCCCCCCCACACACACACACTGAAAATTTTGCAAAATCTGACCAATATCATGGGCATTTTGAAGCCATGTGCACTTAACATTAGGAGATATTCTGAGGTCAAGAGTAATTACTTTGTACTATACAAAAATGCATTAAAGGAAAATTATTGAAATTTTCTGATAAAAAGGGGGGTTCTGGACCCCCAGGGTGCCCCCTGGTATATAGGTCAAGATAATTATTGAGTCCATGGGCCTAAAAATCAACATACCAAATTAGAACATCTGACCTAAAACAAAGTCATTTTCCTTCAATGTGCAAGGGTTTGAAATTGATATGTAATATTCCCTAGATAGGGAATAATACATGCATATCCAATTTACTCTGGGGAAGTACAGTACGCTCGGATAATTCACGGATTTTTATGTCGCGGTCTTCTATTAATCGCAGATGACACCCTGGATGTACCCAAGAATGTCTGTGGGTAGTTTTAAAGTTGCTGGCATTTTTGCAGCCGGAACAGGGAGCCATTCATTCTAGAGACAGTAATTTCCTTCACCTGTATTGTATATATGTATGTGTGTATGTGTGTGTGTTTGTAGACACACACAAAACACATACAGTACAAATAAATAATAATGGGAAAATCCTCTCACAAATAATCAGGAAAAAATGTATTAAAAATGCTGAGTCTACCCTCAAGTCCACTCCATGCTTGGTTATTAATAAAGCACGGCGTAGACTTGAGGGTAGACTGTCATATTTTTAATAAATTTGTTTCTGATTACTTGTGATTGGATTTTTCAATTATTATTTATTTGTATGTGTGTCTACACACACACACACACATATACAATACAGGTAAAAGAAATACTGGTCCTAAGAGCAAACACAAAGGAAATATACATTCCTTTGTACACAAGTAAAAATGTCTCTGGTCAGCAAATGTTATTCGCGAATATGGCGATTCACGGCCATTTTGAGAACCTAACCCCCACGAATTTGAAGGAAATGCTGTATTGGAGATTATTTATTCTCTCATGACAGAACTCAAGGAGCCAAAGAAAAGATAAATCCTCTCAGTAGCACTAGGCCAGTTTCCATATCTGGGAAACTCAAGAAAAGTTATATGTTGTGGAATTTTTGGTATGATGCCAGATGATATAGTACAAACAACCGACCATAGGCCCACCAGTTAAACAACTGGATCATTACGCAACTGCAAACACTCCTGCAGCACAGTAAACCCTCGAAAGTCTGATCCCCGTAGGTCTAGATTTCAGATAATCCGGACCCTTTCTGGACAAGAAATATGTGTCCAAACCCTAAAATATTTGTCGTTAAAAATTTCCGCCATGTTCGATCATTTGAAATTGCCGCTAGTGAGCAATCCTTTGGCCTCTTTCCTCCTCTTGAATCCAGATGAAGCAGCATAAGATAGGCGACTACTTTTCTAGGGTCCATAGTGTCCTAGTGTTGCCTCCTCTACCAGCTATTTCCCTAGTACCAGTGGTAGTGTTTCAGGCCCTAGCCCACAACGTCAAGCAATAACAAACCTACCACTAAGTCCATCATCACCACAACCCAGCATTTCGTCAGTAGTGGAAACCATTAGTGTCACTCCAGACTTGCGTCTGTCATTAATGGAAGGAGAGGAGAGCGACAGTTAACACCACCTGCCTGCCTGCATCACAAGCTCAAAGCAACAGCATCTGCTGGTGAGTAATGTACTCTATACAAAATGTATTATACACTGTACATTATTCAACAATTTGCTACTTATGTGACGAGGTGAGGGGTGTGGAGGCAGGTAGTGAGGTGATGAGTTGAGGGGTGAGGAGTTGAGGGATGAGGAAGGAGGTAGTGAGGTGTGGGGTGTGGAGGCAGGTAATGAGGTGATGAGTTGAGGGGTGTGGAGGCAGGTAGTGAGGTGATGAGTTGAGGGGTGTGGAGGCAGGTAGTGGGGTGATGAGTTGAGGGGTGAGGAGGCGAGGGATGAGGAAGGAGGTACTGAGGTGAAGGGTGTGGAGGCAGGTAGTGAGGTGATGAGTTGAGGGGTGTGGAGGCAGGTAGTGAGGTGATGAGTTGAGGGGTAAGGAGGAGAGGCAGTAGGTGAGGTGACATGATAAAACACTTACACAACACACACATTAACAGCCTTATTAAACCATTGACTTATAACATTTTAATGAGTGAATAAACCAGGGTATATAGAGACGCATTTTACATATACAATACTCTACAATAATATTTATTATGTTCTGATAATCAACAGATCCTTCAGTAAAGCACCAACCCTCTTGAGCAGTGAACAACGGCGCATGAGATGGCGAGTGCCGGCAACTTTACTGTACTGTATTGGGGAGAGCGGTGTCAGTGGAAACATCAGCTGTTACCTTTCTGTAAACAAGAGACTGATACTGTAATATACTACAGCAGAATAGCTCATCTGGGACTAAGTGTGGGATTTGGGGAGGAAAATTAATTACCGTATGTTTCGATAATGTTTTAGTAACCAGGCACTAAATGAACCTAAATACTGTAATACAGTACAGCATTGGAATTATGATGATAGCACGAACCAGGAGGCGAGTTGTTCACTTGTCCTCCCTCTACCTCCCGCCATCTCTGTAGAGTATAATTCATATACTATTCCCATAATTCATCAGTCGGTAATTTATGAGGATGTTCATTATACAAATTATATAATTTTTTCTTTTACTTAAAATTCAATATGGAGGTAGAAGGTGGTGGAGGTTTGAGGAGGGGGACTGACCGCACACCCCCTAAAAAGGGTCATCATCTCCTACTCCTCCCCATGCCTGCCATACCCAGTGTAAAAATTTGTAATGATTTTATTTATTTATTAATTAATAAAGATATGTTTACTGTAATAATCTGTTCTTATTAATACCTGTACCCTTCATATACAAAACAGTACAAAACTTTTTATAATGTATCAGTATTGTAATGATTAAATAAAAAAAAAGGGAAATTTGGCAATGGCTAAGCTTACCTGCCATTTACCCTCCTCCCAGTGGAGAGGACTGGGTGAAAAAATTACCTTATTATTCGGCTTGTCATGTAATTTTGATGTCATCTTTGCAGTGTAGATTAATATAACCTTTTCCTTTTCCATTTTTAATTTCTTTCTACAGTATTCTTATTTTTTTGCCCCCAAGGCCCCATTGTGGGTCATTGACCTATGCCCACATGGGCTAATCCCCGTAAAAAAAATATTATACCTGTACATCATATTTTTTCTAATGTGTTTAATATTTTTTATTACCAATGACAAAACACACACCATAAGAGACTGATCATTGGTGAAAAGGGGAGTGCCAGCCTCCCTGCCTGCACCTTACCTTTCTGCCAGCACCTTGCCTCCCCCCTGCCTGCTCCCAGCCTCCCTCCAACTCACAGTGTCTCACACAAAAGACTGTATGTATCATGTGGTGTTGGGGTATTAATTACTGTAATGAATAATAAATAAACAATATTGTATTGTTAATGACAGTACAGTAGTTGATGAATAGCAGTGACAATTGTAGTACAGTCATTTCTGCTATGTGATAGTTGTGTTCTTGTGAAGCCTCGCGCTATAGAAATTCACACAATAAAAATAACAGGACTAATGGAGAAAATGGGGTTAGGTGAAGATTACTTTGGCCATGATCTCACAGATTTGCTAGCACTCAAGCTTGTTCCAGCAATACTGATTGCTTTATTTTTCCTGCATTATCTCTAAGGGTGCATAACGTAGACTCTTATTCCTGCTGCACGAACAATATCACATGTTCTTTCATTGCATTCAAAATGCTTAATAACATCGAGCTTCTCTTCAAATGTTATAGCCTTTCTCTTAGGTTCACCACCGGCAATTCAATCATCAGAACGCTTCTTGGAAACATTCTTCTTACCTTGTCTTTTCATATTCATGGCTAACACAACAGAATTAGAGAAAACAGCAAAAATCACGGAGGACACTTCACAGAGCAATCGACAGAAACTGTGCGATTCAACTGATCATGTGATGTAAGCAGAGAGCACTGGTGTAAACCGTTATTAGTCCGCACTGCAAAACATTCTTTTTACTTATTATTTTCATACAGTATTTATGGGTAACAGCTAAATTTGCAAAAAAAGAACAAAATTTACAGAGTACCTCTCAAAAAACACTTCACAAACAAACACACGACTCTATTGAGCATGTGATGTCAAACGTGAACTGTAAACATTGCATAACCCTGCGCCACGCTACACTTAAAACGTTGAGGATGGAATTGTGCTATAGCCAACATTCATATGCAAAAGTTCACATTTTACAAACAGCATTCCCCTATTCATCAATCGCGTTACAACCAATTCGCGTTGACATAACACGCATTGTAGCAAAAATGAATGTACACTACTATTCATCAAACGACTGTCATTGACTATATAATATTGCTTATTTATTAATTAATACCACATCACACCCAGACACCCTAACACCACCCACACACCCCCATATTGCATGACATAAATTTATGTGTGGTTAACTAAGTGGTGGTGAATTAAAAGATCAGCTGTTGAGGAGCTTAGCGCTTGGCAACACTGGTGCATGTTATCACTCCTTTCCATTCCATGTCTCTAATCACCCACACTTTCTGCTTTCTCACTCCACATTTTAAAATCTTATGGACAGTAATGTAATGATGAAGGGATACATTGCGAAAAGTGTAAGTATAAAAAATACTGTATTTTAGCTTTCATGTTTATTCAAGACATCTTCAGGTCCTGAGACCCACTAATCCCCCATCCAACAATGGGTGACCTGACATTGTATCAAAGGGTCAATAATATGAGATCCACTAATCCCCCACAGCTCCAAGGGAGTGGAAAATACCAGTCTTTGCTCTAACACACAGCTTCATTCATGACCATATCACATAGATTTTTAGTTTTTAAATATATTTAAACAAACTTCTAGATAAACTACTGTATTCTGGATTATTATATCAGTAAATTGAGTTTTTAACTTAATTAAAACTGCTTTTACAGACTCCGGTAGTTTAGACTCTTGGAAAACTCCCCAGCACACAGAAACATTATGAGGATGTGAGCTAGTGTTTGTCTGTGCAAGATGCATAGTTTAGACACTCGGAAAGTTTTTTCCAGTAACCGGAAATATTTCCAGGGATGGGTGATTTTTCCAGGTTTGAGAAAGTCGTCTGGTTAGCCGGAAATCTCTCATCCCCAGAAGTGCTCTGCACCAATTGTTCCGGCTAACGGGGATATCACTGTAATTTTGATACTGACACACTGACTTTAAATTAAATAGCTCTGACAGTGACATAATAAATTTAGATTGACATAACTCTGATGTTGAAAAACTTAAGGCACCCAGAGCTACTAAGACCACCCCTCATGCACTCCTCTCAGTCCCAGACCTCCATAAAATATCACGGTGTGAAGGTGTGGAACAACTTACCCCCACCCATCCGAGCAAAGACTACGCTCCCTTCCTTTAAATCATCTCCTAAAAAATATCTATGTTCTAAGTATTAATATTTCCTGTAACACCTACTATATTTTTCAGTACCTGCTTTTATGGTACCATCAAAACCGTTTTATCGGAAATTATCATGTAAATAGATAAGTAATTACCATTGCAATAAACATAATTGCCAACTAGACATAATCCAGACAGCTCTGTCCTCTTGTCCAACCTTATTACTGTACAACCCAGGTTGTACTGCTCCCCCATTATACTCACGTTTTTCAATTCCACTGTAATTTATGTATGTATATATAAATAAAAAAAAAAACAAGAAAATAATAATAATAATAATAAATAAATAAAATTAATAAATATTGAAGTGATAACCGTGGTAACATTATGAGATGTTCTTATTACTACCATGCTATTGTACTATTCCAGATGACACTAAATGTTACATAATACTTCCATGAGATAAGTGTATAGTACTGCACTGTATATATCAGGTGCCTAAAAGAGAGCTCAGGTTCTCAACTGGCTCAGCCATGTTAATATTGTTATTATTATCCACTCTGTATATGTTTTTTCTGGCTAAATAAACTGTTTCAATTCAATTCAATTCAACTTCAATATTATTCTATTCAATATTTCTATATACAGTACAGTACTGTAATGTACTGCAGTATACCCTGTACTGTAAATCAACTGTGAACAGTTTTCAAGCCCAACTAAGAACATTAATTCATCTTACCTTTCTGTGCAATGGGTCATCCAGGTCTACCTTATTGCCAACCAAGACAATTGGTATGGAGTCTGCTGCACGAACTTTTGCAATAAGCTTCCTGTATCCTGCAACCTCTTCAAAACTACGTCGATCCGTCAGAGAGTAACAAATTAGGAAACCCTCCCCACACCGCATGTACTGGTCACGCATTGCCGTAAATTCAATCTGGGTGGAAAACAATTACTGTATTTTCATTTTCACTATAATAAATATATATTAATTGATATTTTTCTTGAAAGCAAAGCAAGAGGACCTTCCCTCTGTGTGAAAGAATAGAAGTATTGTATGTAACTAGTGTGAGAAGTGTGATGTTGTAAGGCAGTGAAACGTGGTTGGTTGACTGATTGATTGGTTGACTGATTGATTGATTGATTGATTGATTAGGTAAATTATCTGGCACCGCAGCCTGTGGCAATTTGACACCGAAAAAAATTTAAATCATGTTAAAACTATGAGGTAAATAAAATACAATTCTATTGAGTTTAAATATCAAAATAAAAATAAAATACTGTAATCCTTTAAAAATCACAGTGTGGTCAATTCAAGGACCGGTAAGGGCAGTCTCACGAACAAATCTTCGTCGTAATCTCCCACAACTTGTTGGGAATGGAAAGGATAAATTGTTCCACTACAGCTACCACGAGGCCCAGATGACTGACCTGACTGCAGGGAAGAAATCTCTGAGAGGGAGGGAGAACAAAGAAGCATGACAAGGGGCAGCAGACTTGGCCACCTCATCAGCCCTCTTATTACCTCACACAAGAGACATGGGCAGGAACCCAATAGAAATCCACATTATGGCCCTGCCAATTAAAAATATCTAAAACTAGAGGGTGGATGGGATTGAAAGATTCCATTGAAGCAAGTGCTGCTCTGGAGTCACAAAAAATAGTAGTACAGTAAAAACTCCCAACATTTTAGATGTTAATTTCTTTAAGTGCTAGGCACATAGCAGAGAACTCTGCATAAAAATAGATGCAAAGGAGGGAAGTCTCCCACTGCAGCTAAAATCAGGGAAAATGTTTCCAAACCCAGCCCCAATGTCGGATTTGGAACCAACTGTATATAATGTGCACTGAGTCATTGAGCCGAGTTTCATGTTCCTGGAAATACATCCTGGACATCACTTCATTGACATCAGCCTTGCTCCTCAGCAAGTAACGACAGATGTGCACCTCTGGTAGGTCCCAGGTGGCCATGGTCAGCGCCTTCACTGGGATGACCGGGAGTTGGGGAAGAGACAAGCTGTCAACCATCTCCCAGACACGAAAGCCAAAGGATAGGCGAAGGCGTGGGCGAAGAGTAAATCTATGGTCTGTGGACCTATCAGATATGGCCTCCCATGTTGGAGGTCTAGGAAGACACTGTACTACTCGGTACCAGCAGCAGGCCATCAGGGACTGCCAATGCATATCCAATGGTGGTACACAAGCACCTACAAGAACACTAGGCATTGGGGAGGATCTAAAGGCCCCTGTGGCCAAATGAATGCCAGTGTGATGAATAGTATCAATGGTATCTATCCTGACTGGAGTGGCTGAAGAGTCCAGCTCAGAGCTATATACCAGCTTTGATCTCAGGACGATAGCATGATACAGTCTTAAGAGGGTGTGCAAGCATGATGTCTTAAGTGACCTAAGGTGGGGAATTCAGGCTATCCACCTATCTACCACCAAGCCTAGGAAGTGTGTCTCTTCCACCACCGGAATGCGGGCACCATATAATGTTAAGTCGGGGTCAGGGTGGGGACCCGAAAGCCAGCAAAAATGCATGGCCATGGTCTTCAAGGTTGAGAACCTGAAGCCACACATCTCTGCCCACCGGGACACCTGATTCACTACAGTAAACTGTATTGTACACTCGATTTAACGGAAGAAATTTTTTCCATTATTTTTCACTTTAGTGAACTAGTTCGCAAAATCGAGATTAGTTCCATTAATACGCTCACAGCCATGGAGACACCTCAGACACATGATATGTACACAGAAACATTAGAAACAACATTCATGGCTTACCTTAAACTAAGGGGTTCGGTGTTTGTTTTCATTTTTTTCTATAATTTCCAAACTTTTTTCCAATTGATAGCCACACTCTTTTGACTTTCTCCCCCACACCACTTCCTTTCTGAGACTTCTGAGAAACTTTTGGCATGATGTCTAAGCGCAGTAGTTAGTTGACCAAGAGGTAGACCGAGAGTTAGCAGTGAACAACACAGACTGAGCAGATGTAACCAAGCGACACATTTGGCGCGTAATTTAATGCAATTATGCTCGATTAGAGATTTCCAGCTCCCAGATGAGGGTTTACACAGAACAGGGATCTGGCTATACCTTCTTCTGGAAGGGTAAGCCTGCTGCGGAGAGAAACTGCATTTATGGAGTTGGCTTTGCCATCCGCCAATGCATCCTACAAAGTCTAAATGAAATGCCATCAGTCTTGCTGACACCAACTATAGGAGCATCGAGGCTACCATTATCCATGAACAACTACGTTGGACTGGCCATGTTACCCGCATGGACGACAGTAGACTGCCAAAGCAGCTACTTTACAGCCACCTAACGAATAGTAAACGTAACGCTGGCGGGCAATTGAAAAGGTATAAGGATAGTCTTAAGACAAACCTGAAAAGGTGACAAATCGACCCCCCTCACCTGGGAGTCGATTATTCCACAGCATAACGCTTGGAGGAGCACTACACGGGAAGGTGTCAATACTTTCGAGTTAGCCCGACTGCAAACCGAGACAGATAAGCGCCAACATCAGAAAGACTTTGCCACCGCCCCTCCCACAGTAGATGGAGCCTTCCACATGTGCAACGAATGTGGAAGACGCTGCCATTCCTGTATCAGGCTCTTTAGTCCCCTCAAAACTCACTAACCTAAGTGACATCCCTAATAACCCATATCATTTTACCATAGCTGGATGATCGTCATACTCGATTCCGAGTGACAGCGAAATAGTAGTAGTGCGTGTGTGGCTCTTCCCATGACGTCGATCACGCCATGGTGTGCAAGAAAGGGGGCTTCATATGCATGAGGCATGACAAAGTAAAGGATCTCACAGCAAATATGTTGAAGGAAATCTGCCGTGATGTCATGGTAGAACTGACCCTCCTTCCATTGGACAGTGAGATCTTCCAACATAGGACTTCAAACACATCCAACAAAGCCCGTGTTGATGTCAGTGCTCGAGGATTCTGGATGCGGGGACAGCAAGCCTACTTCGGCATCAGGATTTTTTATCCCATGGCCGCATGTCACCGTAACTTAGCTCTCGATGCTGCACACAGGAGGAAGGAGTACGACAACATAAGGGCATACGAAGAGAGAATTCAGAAAGTTGATCAAGGCAGCTTCACTCCTCTAGTGTTCACAACCTCTGGTGGGATGGGACCAAGTGCAAGATGTTTCTACGCCAGGCTCGCGGAGGTGATCTCCGAACAGAAGCAGCAGCCCAGAAGTTATGTTACAGCCTGGATGAGATGTCGACTGTCTTTCTCTCTCCTTCGGTCGGCTTTGCTCTGTCTCAGGGGAACGAGAGCTTCGGCCCCAAAGCCGACAACAGCTGCAGATATTGACTATGAGGCTACAGTCACTGAATGCTGCATAGGTCTGCAGCTCAACTAATTCAACACAGCTAGGATAGCTACTTATGTATTAGGATATTTGATATTAAGGTAATAAAATGGCGGCAAAGGTGTGGCTATTGGGGGAGGCTGGAGGCCACGTAAAAAAAAAAAAAAAAGGTAGTAGTAGTAGTGTGCGTGTGTGTGTGTCCCATCTCATGACAATATGCGAGCTCATACATGTACTTATATATTAAAAACTTCACTGACTGTCTCTCAGCAAGCAGAATCATTTAACAGAGTCAACAGCTGTCTTTATATACAGTACAGTACATGTAATTTTCACTCATAAATTCATAATTTACAAGTTTAGATAAGGAAATTAATAAAAATATCTTATAAAAATTTTTTTTAAGTAATGTACAGTATTTAATAGGTTTTGTAAACAAACAGTGAAGTCGTAAAACTAATCTTACCCATTACATAGCGGTAAATGGTGTTAATTTTTTTAACTTTGTAAACTGATCAATCGTATATACAGTAGATCCATTATACAACGGTCAATAACTGTACAATTCTGTACGATACCAGTAAGCACTTACAGCACCAATTTTAAATGTTATTATCCACTTAAACACTACTGTATGTATACTGTACTGGTTATTGAATTTTCAATGTAGGTGGAATAATTGTAAAACTGCAGGTGGGTATCCTTTCACTATGCCTACCAATGCATAACTGAGTGGCTTACTGGGCAGAGCATCCCATGCATTCCGCTTGGGTCGCATGTGTTATGTCATTTCGAGATTGCGTCACCATATCTCAGATTATTGCAAGTTATGTACAAATTTATTTTAATGTAAAAAAATACTGTAATACAAAAATAATTTACAGTTGAATATTTTAGTGCCATTCTGAGTTATATAGAACTACAAGTTATCATATTCCAAGTTATCAAGGGTTTACTGTACAGTATAGAGTACTGTACTAACCTGTCCAGCAGTATCAAGAATGTCCAGCAGTGCAGGCTCTCCATCAATGACTGCTTGCTGCTGGTATGCATCCTCTGTAAGTACAAATTTTCATAAATGTCATATGGTATAGAATTATTTTTTTTCGATACTCTTCAAAATATAGTTATGCACCTTGTAGTGGATACTTTCCTCTACGAACTTCTGCAGGGAGCTTCTGAGTGTGAAGCTGGCGCAGGATAGTGTCAGGAAGCCCTGTCCACACTGGACTACTCTACAACCTCGGCGACCTATGCAGCCACAGCAGACAGAATATTCCACGAATACACTGCTGTGCGCCATGCTGCCGCGAACAACTCAGTGGTCACACCTTCACTTAGCCCTGGTTTCGTCAACCAGATCAACGCTCCTCAGAGAAGTAGAATTCCACCAGACAAACAAGACATGAGGGACCTGCTACAATCTCTACACCGCACGATGGACACCCTCGAGCAGCTCTACGAGATGCTCTCAAAAGGCGATACCAGCAGCCTGACACCAGTCTCCTGCAAGACCTATCCAGTCTCTCCCTCGGCAACTCAACGCCTGCACGTCTCTGGGACGAGATGCGGAGACTGAACTCCCGCCACACAGACAGGCTCCCTGAACAAATTCATCCTGCACCTCCTTCGCCTGTCTGCCACAATTGCCTCTTGCAGCACCACCTCGCCCACAACATTTCTGCGTACCTACTTTTCATCCTCAGGTACCTACTGCTCCTGATGAGGATCCTGCATCAGGACCTATGGACCCAGACACCCCATCCGGCGCCACTGAGGACTTTGCACCTGCCGTGAGAGAAGCACCACATTCCTCGCCTGTTCAACCTTCTCTTGTCCACAACCCTCCTGCTCCCTCTGCTTCTCCCACAGATCGCGTGTCCCTAGACGGAGTTGTCACCAGTAGCGGCCGAGTGGTTCACACCCCAACCCGTTGTCTCACATGTGGGATACAACCCTGCCGACAAGTTTCCTGCAGCGCTCGGAGGGGAGGGGGAGTATTGTAATGGATACTTTCCCCTACAACTGCCACTGCCATTAGTCGCTGATCAGCAGATCCCGCGTCAAGTTTCTCAAAAAGCATAGTGTTTGACTGCACAGGGTCGGCCACCAGCGACGCTCACTTCCGGCCACCAGCGACGCTCACTTCCGGCCACCAGCGACGCTTACTTCTGGTGGACGAGTATATAAGCTCACAGCCTCGACGTGAAGGGGATTCTACTCAGCGCTTTCAAACAGACAAGACCTCCTCTCAACAAGCTCCTCACCTCACAGCAACTCCCTCGCACTGCATTGTATATAATATATATACAATACACTGTATTGTATGGAGAAAATGCCATAGCTAAGTTTCCCTTCTCACCTCCATCCTAGTGCGATCCAACATCACGTTAACCCCACAACCTCTCCTGCAATACAGTACAGTAGATCCTCAATATATTGAGAGAGGGAGACTGAGAATTACCATGAAACAGCAAATCACTATAGTACAGAATAAAGTACCAGAGAAAGTTATTTTGTCTCATGATTCAATTTACAAAAAAAAAAATCTAAAGTTACAAAAAAAAATTATTGACTTTTCATAATTTTTTCTAATAATGAAAATATGCTAAATTGATCTAATTTTTACTACAAATATGCTTACTCATTTAACTAACTTACTTAAAAAAAATAGATACACTACTTGTAATGTTACTAAGTTTACAAATAAGCTTTCTATGTGTCATCACTCTACAATCACCATATGTGGTAACTCATGGTTCTCAACCATTTTCACTCCATTCCTCCTTGTGGTTCCCTCAAAATCCCAATTGACCCGCCTCATTTTTCTTCTCTAAAACATAAAATAAAATTGAAAAATAAAATTTTTCTGATCTGGAGATAAAAAGAACATTATTCTTTTATTGTTGATATCACCATCATAAATTTGCACCAACTTAATATTACTTTCACTTTTCACTTGACTAGCCTCACAACAAACCTGAATTGGGATGAGAAAACAAAGTTCACATGTTACAGCCGTTTAATCTGAAGTTGTGACACTGATAAAGCACATCTCATGTCCTAAATAACTGACTTGTTCCTTATCAGTGGAAGGATGGAGAGCCAGACTCACATAAGTATGTTGTAGATAATGGCAAGAGAACTGTAAGGGCAATCACATTGACTTTTGGATACAACCAGTACATTGAAAACCAGAATGCAGTTAGTGTATTTTCTTCATAGAGATATTTAGCAGCAGAATCATTCTTGAATTCAAGGAATTTGTCTTGAACATCATCAAAAATGTGGCCTCCCCAGCTGACTTTTGCCAGGACCCAAATTAATGTACGTGGGGAAAACTTTCATGATACAAAACTGTGGTGTCAATTTAGGAAATTCATATTTGTGAATTTTTGTATCACAAAAGTTCTTATCTTGAGGGATACCCAGGCATCCCTCACTGTACAAACATTTGAGATATGAAAATTTGCTAATATAAATTTCCTAAATTACCACTTCTTTTTCGTGTTACAAAAGCTTCCCCCCACTTATACTAATTTGAGTCCTAGCAAAAGTTCAAATCATGCACCCCCGCGAATCAGCTGGGGCAGCCACATCCCCCTAGCACTTTCCTACCAGGCTGAGGTAGTAGTTATGTTATGGTTATTTTTCAACTCTTAATATTGGGAATATAAACATAACTTTTTTCACGTTTTTTTTATTTATTTACATGCTCACACAATTTTACATACATAATGAGCAAAACAAGTAATAGAAATAACTCTCATAAGGTCAAAAACATCATGGGAATAAGCCTTTCTTTGTGGGTGAGAGCAGGATGTGGTAGCGTTGTTAATGGTCGGGAGGGGGAGTGTCCCCAGTTGGGCTGACTTGCTTGAGGGCGGCGGTGCAGTTACGAGTAACACAGCCAATGTCTATACAAATGGCGAATGTGTTAAACTTTGATTTTGCTTTTCCTTAACCCTCTTGCGCATGATGACGCAATTCGCGTCATATTCATGATAAGACCAACTTCACGGTGACACAACTCAAGTCACCAAACTTTAAAAAATTCGCTCAAAATTAACTTTTCAACAGAATTGCATAATATTTTGCTTTGTCATACTAGCAAGTAAGTTCTATCAAATAACTAATTGGCAACTCTCGAGGCCCATAGGAAGGGAAGACCAGAACGATAAATGCGCAGTATTATCTCAGCAGTGCGGGCTGCCTCAACTCCTGGATTTCTTTTTAGTGTTAGAGAAGTGAAGTGATGGTTGTGTAATGTAATAATTTTTTCATATTATTACTATTATTATTATTATATTTTCAAAACAACAGTCAACACACCTTACAGTCACAAAAACACAGAAAATATCACTTCACAGTCCTCTCACTATAAAAAAACAAAAAAACAAAAATAAACATGATAAGTACAATGTACGATGCTGGCCGATAATCATGGAGCAATGCAATGAGGTTTACGATCGACAAAGAACCACGGGGTGGGCTGTAGTGCATGGGTTGGCCATGTGGCGGCACATGAGTTGTGCATAGGGTTAAATATTGTTTCCTTATAAAATGTCACTGACTTGATGTAGAAAAATATAATTTTCATTGCTGGAATCCTTGCAAAACGGCAAATAATTTGAGTATATACAACCAATAGTTTGCACTAGAGATATAAAAAAAATTCCAAACAATGGATATAAATGGCTATTCGATGGATATCGTTAAAGCGAGTTATTTTGATCATATATTGTGAGATGGTCTTAATTTATGATCATCTTTAAAGCAGAATATTGCTGATTGGGATATCATATCTAGAGGTTTACCTGTACTATTTATCATTACAGTACTGTAGTTAGGTAGGTTTTTCTTGTATAAGAACCGATTTCATGTTTTCAGGGTATACAGATATTTATCATTGGGGAACCGAACCCTATTTTTACCATTGTTCTGTTATTCAAAATACGAAAATTCACTTGATTTTTTTTAACCTAACATATTCATATTACTATATCGAGAGATGCCTGTGAAATAAAATTATTCTGTATTTTTAATTTTCAAATGCTAACCACGTACAATATCTCAAAAATGTATCTGCCAGGATGAGTCTGATGACTTCTGAAATACTACATATAACTCGTGAGGTCCTGGGAGGGTTGGTAAGTGTGGCTCTGTGGCATACTGATCCTACTACATTTAGTAACTGAGCATCATAATATACCATAATATACCAAACTAAACGAATGTTCCAATATCTATCATGTGTGGTCTCATAATGTTTCACACTGTGTGTGGACAGATTCTGTTTTTGAGATACTGTACAATAAAGGTTATTTGCAAATTTAATAACACTGCTAGTGTTTGAGATCAATAAGCAGGTTGGTGAAATAAATCAGCATATTGGTAGTGAAAAATGACATGATTTTCGCATATTTTCATTTCAGTACAGTACATTTTAGGAAAAATTACATTAATGGAGTAAAAATTTTGTGTAAATTCGGATTTTTCGTTCTAAACAGAATCGGGGTGAAATTTGTTTTTTCGTTACTTTAGATTTTCGTAAACTTGACCATCGTAAACTGGCAAATGCCTATACAGTACAGGTACTCCTCGACTTATGACCTACTCGACTTACGACAACCCGGACATACGACAGCCATGGTCCTATAAAATATTTCTCAAATTACGTATTTTCGAGTCCCGACGTTAGTGATCGTGCTGTGTACTGACAAAATTTTTGTATGTAATTCCCTTTAAAATGGCTGGCAAGCGTAAAAGTGAGAGTTCTCGTGGTGCTGAGAAGAAAAAGAGACATCCATTTTAGATTTTCTATGTATTATTTTTTGCATTTTTGACTTACGACCAATTCGACTTACGACCTGGTCGTTGGTCCCTAACCCAGTCGAAAGTCGAGGACTGACTATACATATTTTTGAATGAGATTATTAATTTTACTTCGATATTTTTTTAGGGAAGTGTCCATCATGTTAGGAAAGGACTAATTTAATAACCTACAGTAGGCTCTCATATTTGGACACCTATTTAGACTGTAAGAACCTCGCGAAATTCTAATCGTCCAATTTTAAATACAACTTCCTATGGAGAAAATTAATTTGAGTCTGGTACTTTCGATGTTTGGCTAAATTTTGCTTTATTTACCCTACTTTTTTGGGCGAATTACTACCTGTAATAAAGCAACATCCTAATAAACCACCAAAAATAACACAGATAAAGTTAAATAAAACCTAAAAACAACACAGAAAAAGTTCTTGTGTTCGACAGCTTCAGCTAGAGTTGAACCTGATGACTTAGCAACTTCGTCATCCAAGTAAAAACACACAACAACATTGGCTGACCTTATGTTTTCAACTTTACCACCACTGGTGGGTAGAATTTTTTTTTAATTCACAAACATTAATTAAAACATATATGGACAGTAAATAAGTGTTGCTTTCATATTCTTATGTAGAGTAATGACGATATGTTTTCACATGTGCGCACTTACATACGCGCAGTCTCACTTTTTTCTTTACCATTAATGGTTAGCTACTTTTATTGTTCCATTTATTAACATTAAATAACATTACACCTAGACCCCGACTTACGACTACGTGGACTTACGACCGTCGGGACTTACGACCGCCTCAGATATAGATAAAGAAAAATTTTTTTTTTTTTTTTTTTTTAAATGACACGCATTTTCTATACCGAAACGTTTCCAGTTAATGTAGTCTCCATGTATAATTAGAAAATTATGGGGGCCCCATGTGCATTCAGCTGACTACATTAAAGGTTAAGTGCTCAGTCACACTGTATCCATTCCTTATTATTTATTACTTTCACTGTACTGTATCCATTCATCATTATTCATTACTTTTACTGTACTGTATTTCATTGTAGATTTTTTATTAATTTTTTTTTTTTTTTTTTATCTATGTCGGACTTACGACCATGTCGGACTTACGACCATGTCGGACTTACGACCTGGATTTGGGTCCCTAACCCCGTCGTAAGTCGGGGTCTAGGTGTACTTCAAACAACCATATCAATTTTTTTTACATTACTTTGCTACAGCTACAACCTGGGTTTTATTTTCTTCAGTTTTATATGTAGAACCAGTCAGTCACTGGTTTTGTAAACATTAATGAAAACAATGCCGTCTCGTCTCCTCGTGTGTTTTAATATTCTACGTGTTATTAATGAATTGTAGTGTTCACTTTGCACACTCAAACCCGTCGAAATTTGAGTTTCTGTCGTTGAAATTTGAAAGTGTGTGTTTTTTTTTTGTCCAAATAAAAAATGTTGAATTAAAAACTCGCAAAATTTGAGAACCTACTGTACATTACAGTGATTCAGCAAAGAGTACATTAAATTGGAAGATGAAATCCTTGGACAATTCTAAACCACAATGTGTCTATGGTAAAATGTCAGATTCTGCATATGCCCACATGTTCGTGACAGGTGCGAGCAAATTAAACATAGTCCAGGCATTCTGGAACGTGTCAGACAATCAATGGTACGACGTGTACAGGCCTCTATTGAGGCAGAAGGGGGCAACTCTGAACATTCCTTTAGGTTGTAACTAAGAAGGGTCACACTGTAGAGATCTGTGAATAAATGATTACAAAAACCTACGGGGTTTCACTTCAAATTGCAGGTTATCAATTGTTTCTCTTACTTTGACAACACAACATACAGTACATACTGTATACTGTTTCTCACTATTGATTTTATAATTTTTTGCATTTCTTTATGGTTCCTTATCATTATCATTATTATTATTATTATTATTATTATTATTATTAGTGTTATTATTATTGTTATCATTATTATATATTGTTTTTAATTTTGTATTTTGTATTATAAATTTTATTTACTAAGAATTATTTTATTTTTAATTTTGTATTTTTATTATAAATTTTATTTAATATGAATTATTATTATTATTATTATTGTTATTACATTTTTGCCCCCCAGGCCCCGATATGGGTCAGTGACCTTTGCCAGGGTGGGCTAATCCCAAAAAAAAAAAAAAAAAAAAAAAAAAAAAAAACTCATTAATACAACATCTTCAATGTATTGTAACATGGAAACTATGCAGACTCTGACATTTTACCATATAGACATTGTGGCTTTAGATTTATCCAAAGATTTCATCCTCCAATATAATGTACTGTACTCTTTGCTGAATCACCCTGCATAGTATTGTACAGAGAAATGCACCAACTTATAATTTATGGATCATTTGTAAAGTGAAACCTTCCTTGAATAGCAGTGGATATTTCAGCCTCATTTATTCCATCCACATATAATATTTGAATGAGAATCTGAATTTTGTAAAAGTAGTAATGTAATGTAAAATATAGATACAAACTACAAATACTGTAATACATACCAATAGTTGGATCATGATACTCCAGGAAGTTATGACTCACAAACTGCAGAGTAAGTGCTGGAAAATAAATACAGTATCATTATAAAAATACTACCCAGTACAGTATATCCTTTATATGATATGAGCATAATAATAACAAAAAATTATATTTGTTTTAAGTTTTAAAGTTAGTTGGAAATGTTGTTACAAAAGATGTTGAGATACAGCTATATCCCCATCAACAAGTAAAACATTTGCCCACAAAAATGAGGGACTGAAATATGAAATCCAATTTTATGATAAAGATAAACAAATAAGTAACCTATAAGATTCATGTCACCAAAACACTGATGCTTATCACCATGCTAGCTGGATATTTTACAAATAGTACTGATGCAGAACAAATAATGTATAAGGAAATACTTTATCACACAGAGGGTGATAGACTTATAGAACAGTCTATCAGCCCAAGCTGTGGAATCACAAACAGTACTGGGCCCAGATTCACTAACATTGCCGAGATACAAAGTTCATAACTGCCGGGAGATCTGAAGTCCACACAAACTACCATATGAACAATTCACTAATGGCTTTAACTTAGCTGTGGTGATCGTACGAACTCTGGCATTAGTTCGTAAAATGCCGACAGGTGACAGTGCTGCATTTCCTTTCAGCCAATCACTGCAACTGATACAGAACTGAGTGGGAGATGTAAGCCAATCATGTCACAACAAAATTAGTCTCCATAGGGTGCACTTGTGATCACCCTCAACATTTATAGAAGAAAATAGGGTAAATTTAGACAACGCACTCGACACCGATTTTTATTTCAGCAATATGTTTTTCCGGTTTCTTATTTAGCTAGAATAGATTTTCTTCTATTGTATTTCCGGCGCAAATGTATATTTTTCAAGTACGTACTGTATTTTAAACGATAAGACCTCCCCAGTGGACAGGGCTTTGAAGTACAGTAGAGGGAAAATGAGAGGTAAAATACTAAATGGAATGTCAGACAAACCTTTGAAAACCTCACCTACCTTGTAAAAAGGTTATAATCGCTTTCGAGTTCATGGATCCTCTCATCTGAACACCGAAAACTACATCAAGACAGAAAACACTGAAAACAAGAATAAGGTAAGTGCTTTATAGTTTTATGGTTTTTTAAAGTTAGGTAAGGTCTCTAAAGGTTTCTTTGGTGTTCTTTATAGTAATTTACCCCATATTTTCCATCTACTTCAAAGCCCTGTCCACCGTGAGCAACCAATATTGTTGGTAATTGGAAGTAATAAAAAGGTCCATATCAATGCTAAGACATTGATCAAATATCCCTTATGTTGTATCGTACTACTAGATATATGGTACATTTTACACACTGTTAGATGGGTTAAAAATATTTGTTTCTTAGCATTTTCTAATGTCATTATTGTAAGCATAATTTCTCAGGAAATGTCATGATGATCACGAAACCTAACCTACTGTATTATACCATAAACGTCTTAGATGAGCAGGAGCCTAGGTTAAGTTAGGTAAAGTTTCCTACTCCTGATTAGATACAGGTACACCACCGATTTTCCGGGAACTGATGATCCGGCGACACCTAGTTAGTCCAGACAAAATTATGAGAGGGCACTTAACTTCCCTCCCTCCCTGCCATATTTCACTGGATTTACTGTTATTATTATTGTTTACTGATACAATAATGCTTAATAGTGATTAATCATGGCACTGTAGCCAAGTTAGACTCATCAGGCTACTGGGTCAGGCTGTGAGGTGTTATGGTTGTTTTTCAACTCATATTTTCGGGAAGACATATTGTACGTAACTTTCTTCATTTATTTTTACTCATTTACAGGCACACACCATCACAAATACATATTGTGGAAAAAGTAAAAGAAACAATTGTCCTAAGGGCAAACCTGTACTCAAATGTACAAAGTTAATTAATCCAAATTTTATGTCTAGGGCAAAATATGGGATGTTTGTACTTAAATTAATCATTATCTTGCAAGAATTCCAGCAATGTAAGTTATATTCTGCCAAGTCAATTCAGTGACCTTTTATAATTGAAAAACTTACACTCTCTCTATTTAACTGATAACTTCACACTTCGTTATCTCCCCCTCCCCCCTTCTTCCAGTCAGGGTGAAGGCAATTTTATAGGCTTAAAGTTTTTATCTTTTAAAAGTCACAGACTAAACTTAGCAGAATATAACTCGCATTGCTCGATAATAAAGATGAGGATTCAATTCTTTTATGAAAAACATAAGAAATGTTGCGATGGAGGTGTGGTGGGGGATTATTGGGTCTCATGTTACTGACCTGACCTGATCAATGTCAGGTGGGGGTGGGGGATCGATAGTCTCATGCAATGTCAGGTCACCCATTGTCAGGATGGGGATTAGTGGGTATTAGTGGGTCTCATGACCTGAAGATGTCTTGAATAAAGATGAAAGCTAAATAGCAAATATATTTATGGCTAGCAAAAAGTTTATAACCTTTTATTCATAAAATCTGCTCTAATTGCATTAGAGAAATAAATTTGGTATCATTGTATATATGGAGATGCGTTCCTGATGACGTTATTTTTTACCTATGAGACTGTAAATAAGGTTGAAAGCCCTTTGAAAATAGGGTGTGACATCGATTTGTGGCAGACAGGAAAGTATGGGCTTGGTTTTTGCATCGCCAGGTGCTCTCATCCAGTCAGTGAGTGAGTGAGAGGAGCAGGCGGCCAATCACAGCAGCCGGCCCGCAGCCTCTTCCCCCTATCTCAGCCAATGACAGTGGGCGTCTGCTATCTACGTCACGGCCCCTCCAGCCAATGTGCGCGGAATCTGTCTCTCCCTCTGGCGGGATCTATACTCCGATATTGATTAAAGTAAAAAAAGCCATAAGTTGGTGGGAGTTTTGCTGCTTCAAGTCAACATTGTAACAAACCAGTATACATGTACATTACTTCATGGCGCACTACAGTCCTTTAGCTTCAAAATGCATAAAAAATGAATGCTGCATCTCAAAAAAACAACAGTTGTGCTAGTTTGAAGTTGGAAAAACATTAAACGCGGTTTTCTCGGCTTTCAAATTTTGGCATGAGTAACCCTTACGATGCGGCGGGCTTCATATAATACTGTATACAGTACTGAATATGGAGGATACAGGCATTAATAAGCACAGATTATTGCAGTAACATATCTTTACTAATTAATGAATTAATAAAAAAGCAATATTGTATCCTGAATGACAGTCATAGTACAATGAGTGAGAGGCAGCAGTGGTGAGATGTACAGGGTGGGAGGCGACCCTTGCCTCCCAAGTGACTGCATTCTTTCCGTCTCTCCTTCCTTCCACTACACCACCTCCTAACCCTAGTAAACAGTACAGTATCTGTTCTAATTGTGTTAGAAAGACGAATTTGATATAATGATCCTGAATAAATTCTCCACAAGACGGTTTCAATAAAAGACCCTTAAACAAAATCTTTCAACACAATATAATGATGGGGATTCAATTCTTTTGTGAAAAAAAACGTAAGAAATGTTGATACTGAAGTCTATAAAATCAGTTCTAATTAATTTAGAAACACCATCTCTTTACTTAATAATCCTGAATAATCTATCTCAAAGTTTGGTTAAATATAATAAAAAATAAAAAATCTTTATGATAAGGGCATGTGACGCACCTCGTAAATGGAGCTGTGTGCGGAATTTTCAAACCCTGTGCAGTAAAGGGGAAAGTTTTCCCGGGAGTCTATGCTACGCATCTCACACGGACAGACACAAGAGCTGTGTGGTATTTATTTAGCTATGCAAACACCACTGTTCACGTACAATACAGTATATTATAAATAAACGAAATAATGTATATTACTACTGTCATCTGGAGCCTACAGTAGGAGTATACTGTCCAATCTCCTGAATTTGATACGTAACTGTAATCACTTTTATGTCTTTTAACAATTGCGATGGAGGAGTCGTAGGGGATAAAGAAGAAAGAAGACAACAGCTCCAGCTGAAATAGCCGAAAGGCGAAGTGGCCAATACTATAATCTCCAGACAAGCCAAGGTAGATGATTAGTGGATCGAATGTTACTAACCTGACCTGATGCAATGTCAGGTCCACCCACTATATACTGTATAAACTCTTCTCTCATTTGCAGTGGAGGTGGGGTGGGGGATTAGTGGTCTCATATTACTGACCTGACAATGTCAGGTCACCCATTGTCAAAGTGGGTGATCAGAGCGAACGCACTTCATAGTCAGAGCAAAAGCACTTTACAGTCACTAAAACAGGGAAATTATTACACAGTCACTAAACAGAGTACAATGTGAGCTTTAGTGATGTCCTCTCACTATATGGTTAAAAAAAAAATGATGACCAAAAAACATAGAACTCCATTTCTTACGCAATGCCTGGATGGCCACAAGGAGGCGTTTGGGTAGATGACGCCTCAGCTGTCAAATGAAGCGAGTGATACGTCAATATTCCGAGATGACAGGATGATGAATATTGTTTATGTGAGTTTGTTTACATCACAAATAGGGGAGTGGTGTTAATATACCAGCATCGTTAATGCGAATTATCATAGATGGGGACATCATAAATAGAGGTTTACCTGCACTTGGTATTGCAAGTTTTTTACACACCAGGGTGTCAGTTTTTTTGTGTTTTTATCCCACATTTTCCTTCTACTTCAAAGCCCTGCCCAGGCCTTATTTCGTAGCGGTAGATATTTTGCACAACACCGGGTTGAGAAGTCAGGTAAGGTTAGGTAGGTTTGGTTCGTTAGGTCAGGTTTTGTTAGGTTCTGTGCATTGGCATATTGTTTTTATTACCTTCTATCATTCAAACAACAAGTGGAAAAAATTAACGAAATTTAACATCATCTTCTGGTGTTAGCTGTGTCCTCCACCATTACCCAAACCCATTCTAAAATGGATAATTTCTGAGAACAACACTACGACCAGTAGTTCAAATTTCATTCACTTTTTCCACAGAAGTTCTTATCATTATAGTAAGTATTTTGAAGGAGGCAACAGTTACTAGAACCAAATGGAACCTGACCTAACCAACCTAATAAACCTACCTAAGCTTACCTAACTTACTAGCCAGGGAGCTCTGTTGCCCAGAACCCATGCCATATCAAACAGAAAGTATAGTACAGGTACTTATTTTGATATCTGGTACCAATGAAAGCAACTTTTTGAAACATCATTGTGTGATTTTATATTTTTTGTAGATGTGACAGTGCGCTCAGACTGAGAGGGTCAGTTGTTAATAAACATATGACACGCGGCTACACAGCAGATTTTTCTTTGGAGTATTTATGGCAATTAATTTCTTCACTTACAAAGCAAGTAGAGACATCAGTCTTTACCATGTTTTACTTCCCAATTTTCCTCATTCTTCATGCCCTGCCCACTACAGGTGATTTATGACTGTAGACAGAGAAAAAATAAAAAACTATAAAAACATACTTACAATTAATATAAAAAGTTGTCGCCTCTTTTAAAATACTGGTTATTGACGAATTACCCGCCGCCGATTTCTCAAAGAAAACAAATTTAAAAATACTGCAATTTCACTGTGTTTTATAGAGGACACTTGTAGTTTTGGCAAATGTGTTAAAAAGTGGTTATTTCTTAATTAAACCTAACCTACAGTAACCTTAGTTGATAAGAAAAACAAGCAGCACAAGTATTGTTAGAAGACCTCACTAACCTAAGCAAAGAAACCTAACTAACCTTACCTAACTTAGCAACTGTGAGGCTCAACCCTCCAGCTTATTAAACAGTTGATTGGCTGTGTACCGCCACATCACCGCCGAGAAAGACAAAGTATTGTGAACCAGACAAAGTAGTGAGTGCCTAGTTGTCTAATTATCTACTACCAAAAGACGTAATTTCTCCCCAAAAATGGTTATCATACCAAAACTCACTAATGAAAAAATAGTAAGAATATAAACAGCAAAACAAATAACGCATAGCTAATTATAATACTTACTATAACGATAAGAACATCTGTTGAAAAAAGGAACGAAATCGAACAACTCCTTCTGATGGTAGTGCTGTTCTCAGTAATGTTACCATTATTTAATTAGTTCCACTAACCCAAGCTAATGTGGAGGACTTCACAGCCGATGAGTTATTTGTTTTAATGTTTAAATTCTCAGTATATTTTCACCATTAAGTTATGATATAATAATCATTTTTATGGAAATTGCCTCATTTGGCAAATATTTAAAAGTATAGGTGCGAGCTACTTTGTTTGGCGTGCACTACATTTTGTCTTTCTTGGCGGTTATGCGGCACTACTTGGCCAAATATATGCCGCACAAGCTGCACTCTGTCGCTATCTGCTTTGCCAGTTTAAATTTCACCATGGCATGTGAAGGGTGTCACCATTCGTATATTGACATTACTGTATTTGTGAATTACATGGGAAAAGTGATCTGACCCTTCAGTTTTTTAGTGTTATACTCTTTATTGATGAACGTGTTCATGAGGAAGTACAGTACAGTACATCACAGCAATACTATGAAATTGAACTGGGTTTGTCTTCAAAGTCAACAATCATTCACCATTTCCTCAACGCCATGGCTCACTGCTTCCCCGTCTCCATAACAGTAAGTAGTTCGTCCACGGCCGGTGTTGTGTAATGTTAGGTTTGGTTAACTTCGGTTAGGTTAAAGTTTAAATTAAGGTTAGGTTCGGTTAGGTTAAGTTATGTTAAATTTAAGGTTACGTTAGGTTAACTTGAACTTTTAAATAAGGCAGTGGACATTTTGCAAAGACCGGCTAAGTTCCTACTAACGCTCATTTACCATGAGTGTGCTGTGATTGGCTAATTGCCCATCACCGGCGAACAACGCGAGAACTATATTTGAGCAAGACTCTGGTGCCATTTGGCATTTATATCGCTGTGAGTTGATCGTTGTGTAGCTTTTAACATACCGGTAAATTTTTACTTTCGGACAAGAGTTCCTAGGGGTTGACCAATATGTTTTTTCAGTGTATTTTGGTATGTTTTAAGCAAATCTGCCTCAATTTTTGTCGGAAATTGCTCGTTTTTGCCCACCCCGACCCCCCAACAATAATGGGGGAGAGCCTGGGAAATCGGGGTTTTTGGGTGGAGGAAAACACGAAAACAAGTCATCTAACCTAAAAACTTAAAATGTAACATAACCTAACGTAACCTTACCTAACCCCTAGACTGGGGCTCCGCCCCCGGACCCCCGGTAGGCCTAGCTTAAACTAACTTAACCTAACCAAATGTGGCCTAAGCAGCGGTCCCCCCGGTCAGTAATATTAGTTTCCGACGAGTATAAATGGGGTTCAAAAGACTCAGAATAAGGAGATCTAGATGTTTCAGTAGTATAAGACTTTGGGGCGTGCCATGTCCGAAAGTACAATACCTTAGTTATAAGTGGAAGGACGAGGGATAGTTTCAGGGTCACTGAGCTCCTTGTTGGACCCTTCTTCGAGTGGCACGTAGGGAGAACACCGTGATTACGTAGGAATTGGATTGCATGATCGTCTCTCGTAAAACTCGGCAATAAACTTAAAATAATCGTAGGAGCACGAACCACACCCAACCTCCACTACGGCCATTGTCAGACTGGTGATTGAAATTTAAATCCATACCCAGGCTGCTCCCTTTGAAAAAATTCAAATGTGATCGAAAAAAAAAAAGCGTGATGAGATCGATACATCATTGGTCACGACTGGTTGACGTCGGTCAACATTGCAGATAACATCTTTTCACAGACGAAGACTGAAAGTACGTAAAATCAATTAAATTCAATAGTGTCGCTATTTTCCATTTCCGAATGGGGTTCAGAATGCTCAGAATAGGGAGATCTAAATGTTTCAATAGTTTATAACTTTGGGGAGTGCTATGTCCGAAAGTAAAATAACACCAACATACCTAACCATATTTCTGTTGTGCATGGAAACTTATCATTATAAAAAAAGGCAACATTCACTAGAACCTACGGTAATAAAACCTGACCTAACCAACCAAAGAAACATACCTGACCTCATATAACTTCCTAGCCGGGGGATGGACCTTTCTCCCCCCGATTGGATGTTTACCATTGTTGTATACCTGCCTTCTAGATGTACTATTTGTATACAGTACTCGGTATTATTTTACTTTAGGAAATAGCGCCCCCGAAAGTTATAGACTACTGAAACATTTAGATCTCGCTATTCTAAGCATTTTGAACTCCCATATATACATGGCAGAAATGGATAAAAGCGACACAATTGAATTTAATTGATTTTATGTAGTTTTCAGTCTTCGTCTGTGAGGATATGTTAACTGCGCATCACGCATGCGCAATATTGACTGACGTCATCCAGTCGTGACCAATGATGTATCGATATCATCACGTAATTTTTTTCAAAGGACCAGTCTCACAATGGCCATGGTGGAGGGTGGCTGTCAATTGTGCTCCTATGATTATTTTAAGTTTATTGCTGAGTTTTATTAGAAAGACGATTATTCTATCCAATTCTTACGTATCCCTGGTCCTTCCACTTCTAAGGTATTGTACTTTCGAACAAGGCACACCCCCAAAGTTCTTAACTAATGAAACATTTAGGTTAGTTTAAGCTAGGCCTACCGGGGGTCTGCGGCTAGGGGTTAGGTTAGATGACTCGTTTTGTTTTCTCCCCCACACCCAAAAACCCCAATTTCCATATGTATACAGTATATATGTAAATTGTAAATTTATAAAAAAAAAAAAAAAAAAAAAATCCCAGGCTCTCTCCCATTATTGTTGGGGGAGGGGGGGGTATCAAAAACGAGTAATTTCTGCCCAAAATGGCCAGATTTGTTTAAAACACACCAAAATACACAGGAGCCACGAATTACCCAAAAGTACCCAAATGTACCCAAAAGTATATTAAATCAGGGTAAAATCTTAACGAATATCTGTTATACATACACAAACATGTTAAATAATATTTTTAGTGTAATTTTGTAAAAATAATTTGTAAGATGAAATAATAAACAGCGAAAAACTTTCAGTATTGGCGAACGCTAAATTCCAAAGAGTTCGTGAACAAGAGAGATAACTCAGATTCATCGTGATGCACTTCGCTAACCTAACCTAACGAAAAGTAAATCCTACGGCTATGTTAAATACCCCAAAGTAACAGAAACATCGGTAATTATATGTCCATTTTGGATAGGTGACTCTTTGGAATTTAGCGTTTTTCGCTGTTTATTATTTCATTATATTGACTACATTTCAATGAAAACATTATTAATCAGGTTTTATTGATTTAAAACATATATTCGTTAAGATTATACCCTGATTTAATATACTTTTGGGTACTTTTGGGTAATTCGTTGGACCGAAATACGCTGCAAAAACATATTGGTCAATCTCTAGGGACTCGTGCCCTAAAGCAAAAATTTATCGTATACTCGCACTGACTTGTACAGCCCCCTTCACTAGTGAGTTTATAGGGGCTGACCAGGTTTTGCGCAGCATGGCACAGTTGTTTGTTACATTCGACGGAAGGAAACTCGCAATAGTCAACATACTATAGGATCAAATTAAAACAATATTAAGACAAATATATCTATGTAATGATTTGTGGAATGCTTATACGACGAGCCCCTATAAACGCGTTGAATGAATGTGCACTTGCAAGACTGAGTAAATATATACAGTATATCTATCACCAATGGGAGACAAGGCTAAGGCTTACCAGACTTGCCGACCCCACCCTCTCCAAGCACCACAATTCTAAAGACTTTGGTGCCATTCCTGGTCTGCTGGTGGCTAGTGGTCGAGGCCTGACCCGCAGTGAGTGCCATATTTCACGCCTTCAACATCCACATATTTCAGTTTAACCTTCCCAATATTCTCAACATACAAGTAACAATCTCTATGTAAACTTTACACTGTATCATAGATATCATAATCCTGGAGATAATTTGTCCAAGGTAATTATAAATAGATTGCAATTCTTTTACAACAAGGTGTTTGTAGTGTTCGATACTTTCTACGTGTCGCTAAAAGGATCAAGTTGCTTACCTAAGATTATAAATAGTAAACCTTATTGTTAGTCTATCTGAAATGCAAAAACAGACTAAACCAACAGAAAGTTTAATTAATCTTAATATTTACCTTTTATGGATATATTTCTGACTCATGTATATGATTTAAACTTTTTATTATAATTTTTTTTATTCCATTTTGGAAATACAAAGATGTTGGTCATGTTTAACAAAATTAAATAGCACGCAGTTCACATTTGTTTAATAATGCGTTTACCTTTCTATTTTCACAATTATAAGACTTAACTTTGATTTAAATCTTTATAATACAGAAACAAATATAAAACACATCATTAAAGCAAAAATTCAACCGATTTTTTCAAATCGGTTTAGCTTGTTTTCGCACTTCAGACGGATCTGATTGACAGCCACCCAGCTGATACCGTAGACGACATTGTCGCTTCTCGGAATTGTCAACACTTCCCAATGAGTCATCATTCAAGAATAATTACGTACTTTGTAATGTGGTATTTTACAACAAGGCAAGGTCCTGTTAGGATGAGTTACTCTAGGAAAAAATTATATAGAGAAAAACTTGTCTGATCTCTCGAGTATCCAAGAAAGGCTTATAACAAACTCATAACACGAGTCAGCGGATCGAACGCGTTTCTTTAAATGCAGTATTTTTGTTTTGTCTGAGATTGACTGAGGGTGAAAGAAAGTCAGAGAAGAGAGAAGTTTAGTTCAGGATGAGGTAATGACAGGGGCGGATCCAGGAATATCAAAAGGGGGTCCAAGAAGTTGTGGGTGGGGAAACAGCGAGCATTTTGAGGTAATTTTGAAGCCATATGCAGCTGATATTAGGAGATATTCTGATGTCAATAGTAATTACATTTTACGATACAAAAAACGCCTGAGTACAATACTGTACTGCATTAAAATAAAAGTATTGAAATTTTCTGATGAAAAGCGGTGTCCGGACCCCCAGGGCCCCACCCTCAAGATCCGCCCCTGCTACTAACTACTACTTTTATCCTCTTCACCACTGATCGGCTCGTTAGCCGCTTGGGCGGTCGGTTACGTCTCTGTTACGCACTGTTGGCAAGTACTGGCCACGCACTGGTATACTTAAGTAAGAAATTTATCCCAGATTTTCAGCGCGGTTCGTTCACTAGGCTGAGACTAATGTCACACAACCTCAAAGTAGAGACAGGCGGGTGAAGTCGCACACCAGCAGAGTTGAGAGTATGTCAGTGTGACGACAGTCATGTACAAAGTGGTGTGGGGTATGTGATGTTTGGTTCACACTCAGGATGGAATGGAGAAAGGAAACTCACGATGTGCTCTCTATATACATGTTGTATTGGATGTACAATGCGGCTTGGTGCTGGGAAGGCAGCATGGTTACAAGCGTGATGTAGAGAGAGCTGGTTGGTGAGGACGCTCAGAGAAGGACAGCTTGTGGGTCGCCATGCTCGCCAGCGGGAGAGAGTACCGCCAGGCAGGCGGAGGAGGAACGAGGGCCGCCAGGCAGCGGCGGAGGAGGAGGTGTTGCTGGCTGTGGCTGTAGGTAGAGAGAGTGTGATCACCACGAGGTCAGGTCTTAAATAGCGGGGGTAGGCGTGGCTTAGCAGTTGACCTCCGCTCCGTGGTGTATGGCGGCGCTGGTTGACCTAGACCACGAGGCATACACTGGGGAATTGGTGGGGTCGGCTAGGCAGCGACAAACAGCGTTTGTAGGGGAGAATTCCACTACAATACTCCCCCTTCCCTCCAGGCGGTGTAGGAGACTTGTTGTCTGCAGAGTTGCTTAGCACATGTGAGGCAGAACGGGCGGTGCATGCCTCATGTGAGACAACGGCGATGGCGTGGATGAGCCGGTCGCTGGATACAACTGTCTATATACACACTATCTGTGGGAGAAGAGAGGGAGAAAAAGGGTGTGTGGAGGCGATGAATTTTGTTCTTCCCTCACGGCAGGTACCGAGTCGTCAGATGCGCCTACTGGGGTGTGTGGGCCTGGGTCAGGAGCAGGGGCTGCGTCAGCAGAAACGGATGAGGGCTCGTGACAGCAGCTGGGTCCACGACAGCAGCAGGGTGCAGGACATTAGCAGGGAGTACCTGGGGGAGAAAAGAGGGGTGTGTGTGTCCGCACTCAGGAACAGAGGCCGCATCAAGGGCGGCAGGGGTTACTGCTGGGCCGGGGTCGGCGTCTGAGGCAGGACGGGTGTGCTGGGGTCGGTAGGACGTGGTGCTTAGGGCAGGAAGAGGAGCTGGTGTCTGCTTAGAGTAGCAGAGCTGCTCTAGGGTGTCTAACCTGCGGTGTAGAGACAGTAGCTGTAGAGCCGATGAGAGCTGCTTCTGGGTGGTTAAGCCAGTCTTCCATGTTGCTTGAAGACTGGGAGCGTGATCAGTTTCTCCTCCATCCTGTGTGAGTGCGAATCTCCGGGAGTCACCATTTGTGGGGTATGAAATTGTTTGGTGTTCACACTCAGGATGGAATGGAGAAAGGAAACTCACGATGTGCTCTCTATATACATGTTGTATTGGATGTACAATGCGGCTTGGTGCTGGGAAGGCAGCATGGTTACAAGCGTGATGTAGAGAGAGCTGGTTGGTGAGGACGCTCAGAGGACAGCTTGTGGGTCGCCATGCTCGCCAGCAGGAGAGAGTACCGCCAGGCAGGCGGAGGAGGAACGAGGGCCGCCAGGCAGCGGCGGAGGAGGAGGTGTTGCTGGCTGTGGCTGTAGGTAGAGAGAGTGTGATCACCACGAGGTCAGGTCTTAAATAGCGGGGGTAGGCGTGGCGTATGGCGGCGCTGGTTGACCTAGACCACGAGGCATACACTGGGGAATTGGTGGGGTCGGCTAGGCAGCGACAAACAGCGTTTGTAGGGGAGAATTCCACTACAGTGGACTTTACTTTACCTTTATCCTCTTCACCACTGATCGGCTCGCTAGCCGCCCGGGCGATCTGTCATGTCTGTCACGCGCTGTTGGCAAGTACTGGGCATGCACCGGCTCCTCAATGTACCTGAACCCGCTCCAGTGTTGGTCAAGTCTTGTCTTGAAAGAGCTCACACTCGGTGCCGTCACAACACTCTCTGGTAGATTGTTCCAAGAGTTTACAACCCTCACTCCGTAAAAGTTTGCCCTCACAGTTTTCTGGACTTGCGGCTTCTTCAATCTTGAGCTGTGACCCCTTGTGGGGCGAGCGTCCGCCAACTCCAAGTAAGGATACTCAAATGAGTAGTGCCCCCTGAGATGCTTATACACCTCAACTAGGTCCCCCCTTGCCCATCTGTAGTATAAGCTAGGCAAGTTCAGGCACTCCAATCTCTCAGGGTAGCTGAGGTGCCGAAGTGCAGGCACCAGTCTGGTGGCCCTCCGTTGAACATTTTCAACCAACTGACAGTCCCTAGCATATCTCGGGGACCAGACGGGGAAGCACTTCACTCCTGAAGATCGTTACGAAGGACGGACCGTCTAGATATCTGAACGACCTTCTTATAAGACCCAATAATTTATTTGCCTGATTTACCTTCTTCTCGCAATGACCCGAGAACTTCAGCTCATTGTCAACATACACACCTAGGTCCTTCTCACATACAGTCTCAACTAGTGCAGTTTCTTCATCCCGTTGGGACATATGATACGCCTCCTTACCGTTGGTACAGCCCAGGTGCATCCTCTTACACTTCGTGACATTGAATCTCAGCAGCCATTTCTTCGACCATTCCTGGAGCCCATAGAGGTCCTTCTGCAGCTCTTCACAGTCCGCTTGGTTCTTAATTTCCCGAAATAACTTGGCGTCATCGGCAAACATTTGTATGAAGGAGTGTACAACGTCAGGTATGTAATTTATGAAACAAACAAACAACAGCGGGCCCAATACACTGCCCTGTGACAGGTACAGATGACGATTTCGTGCCATTAATCACCACACACTGCTTGCGGTCATGTAGAAAGTCTTCTATCCACGCAAGGACATTTCCCCGAATTCTGTACCCTTCCAGTCTGATTTTCAGCCTTTCTTGGGGTACACTGTCGAAAGCCTTGGCAAAATCTAGGTAAATATTGTCGATATTACCACCCCGTTCCAGAATATGGGTTCAAATATCCAATACCTTGAGCAATTGTGTTAAGCAGGAGCGCCCCGGGATAAAACCGTGTTGGCAATCCTTTACAAGGTTGTTTCGTATTAAATGTTCCATTGCGGCATCTCTGATAATACTCTCAAGTACTTTACATATTATGCTGGTCAGGCTCACCGGTCTATAGTTGTTCGTGGAGTGCCTATTGCCCTTCTTGAAGATAGGACTCACATAAGCCACTTTCCATTCACTGGGGACCATTTGTTCATCCAGGCATTTACAAAACAGTATCTTCAGGGGCTCTGCAAGCTCGTTGCACAACTCTCTTAGCACTCTAGGATGCACCATGTCAGGTCCGGGACTCTTATGGACCTTTAGCCTGGACAGTTTATTTCTAATACCCTCTTCTGTGAACACAATGTGGGTCAGTGCTGTGTCGAACCGTCTGTCCTCAAACGCAGGAAGGTTAGTTGCATCCTCTCTTGTGAAAGCAGAGGAAAAGAAGCTGTTCAATGCCTCAGCTTTATCCTGGTCAAAATCTGCGTAACTACCATCCACCAGCCTCAGGTCTGATACTCCTACTCGCGTTTTCAATTTCTACTTTGCATAGCGGTAAAACGCCTTTGGGTTTGACTTGACCTCGCTTGCAACCAGCCTCTGGAGCTCCTTTTCAGCCCTCCTACACTCTATCTTTGCTTGGTTTCTGGCTCTTGCATACATCCTCCTGTCTTGCTCATCGTTTGACCCAACCCACGTCTTGAATTTCTGGGTTTTCTTCTTAACTTTGTCGACCGCCGCATTGTTCATGTGTAGTGATCCCCTCGTATTCCTAGAAGCACTGGGTTTGGTCTTGGGTATATATTTATCGATCAAATGGGTCACTTTACTAGTTATGATATTCACTGGGGACCATTTGTTCATCCAGGCATTTACAAAACAGGATCTTCAGGGGCTCTGCAAGCTCGTGAGGTCAAACTCTTTCGGAGTGAGAGTTGTGAACTCTTGGAACAATCTACCAGAAAGTGTTGTGTCGGCATCGAGTGTGAGCTCTTTCAAAACCAGACTTGACCAATACGGGAGCAGGTTCAGGTACAATCAGCCAAAGATGCACCGACCCCACCCTGGGTCTCGTGCTTGCAATTTTACCTGGCAATACTTGAAGGAAAGAAGGCTGTATGCAATGGGGATTGTGATTAGTGGATTTATTTTCGGCTGTATCACTGTTAGGATAAATATTAAACAATCCAAAAGTAGCAAATATGCAAATATTTGGAAACTTGTCATGATATTAAATAACGATGAATAGCTTCTTACTGTAAAAATGCTACTTTTGGATTGCTTAATATTTATCCTAACAGCGATACGGCCGAAAATAAATCCACTAATCACAATCCCCATTGCATACAGCCTTCTTTCCTTCAAGTATTGCCAGGTAAAATTGGGAGCACGAGACCCAGGGTGGGGTTGTAGTGGATTTCTCCCCTGCAAACGCTGTTTGTCGCTGAGTAGCCGATCCCGCGAATTCCCCAGTGTATGCCTCGTGGTCTAGGTCAGCCAGCGCCGCCTTACATGGCGGAGGTCAACTACTAAGCCACGCCTACCTCCGCTATTTAAGACCTGACCTCGTGGTGACCTCTCTTCTTCTAGCTACAGCCGCAGCAAGCAACACCTCCTCCTCCTCCTGCCTGGCGTCCCTCGCTCCCGCCGGCGAGCATGGCGACCCACAAGCTGGTCCTCCTCTGAGCATCCTCACCAACCAGCTCTCTCTACATCACGCTTGTAACCATGCTGCCTTCCCAGCACCAAGCTGCATTGTACATCCAATACAACATGTACACAGAGAGCACATTGTGAGTTTCCTTTCTCCATCCCATCCTGAGTGTGAACAAAACGTACCCCACAGGGTCAGTGCATCTTTGGCTGACTGTACATTCAGGAGCCGGTGCATGCCCAGTACTTGCCAACAGTGCGTAACAGAGACGTGACCGATCGCCCAAGCGCTAACGAGCCGATTAGTGGTGAAGAGGATAAAAGTAAAAGTAAAAGTTGTGGAAGCGTGTCTAGAAGTGACTGCACTTTAGACGCGTACAGTATTTATAATAAAAATTAAACCTATTTATAAATGCACATTTATACACATATATTCGTTTATATATTCCATATTTTCCATCTCAAGAAAGACACCATGAAGTAAAGTGTCAACAAACACCAATTACAAATAACCTACTATAGATGAAACACTCACGTTATTGGCAAGGATATGTGTTGCCAGGTGTAGGACTTTTTCGTAATAATCATGATATGGCAACAGCCAGTAGGGTCATTATTACAGGTGGCGACGAGGAAGGAGCCGAATAAGCTAGTCATTGTCAGGTGAGCTACGTCTGGATATTAAGGTGAGGCAGTTTTGTTGTCCAGTAAGATTTTATTCGACTGATAAAAACTACAGGTATTCTATTTTGTGAAGGGTCGCGCCGAGGCAGCTTGACAACCACCATTTAGTCACAACTCGTACGGTGTCTCGGACTTGTTTTATTATATTTGTACTCGTGATAAACGATACTCCTCCCTATTGCAACAACGTCTCAAGGCTAACTCGCCATCCCGTACGGAAATTCTTTCTAATTTATACTGAATGTGACTATTTCCTTATTACGTGTAAGTCGGTGCTAAAATATGTAGAACTGTACAGTATATTAATAAGACATTGTGCCAGATTTCGTTTGTTAATTAAGTACCAGTACATGTCCAGCATATACTGGTCGTGAAAAGGATCAAGTAAAGTTTAGGTAAAATTAGGTGAGGAAAGGATGGCTGTAACGTTGTTACCAGTACGGTGATACTGATAATTGTATTTTATCGAAACTTGTCTGATGTGTCTAGGAGTGAGGTTATCTATTCTAGGCAAGGTCTTAGAGCCAGCTAGGTGAGGGTGCGGGGAGAGGGTGTTTTCGAAGAATCAAAGTGGTGTAAAATTAAACTAAAAAGGAGAAACTTACTCTTTGTTGAGTGTATCTACAGATCTCCAAACTGTAACGTATTAACCCAGAGGAACTTAAGAGCCTTAATTGACAATGTAACGGTGCAGAACCTTAGCCACCTCCTTGTCACAGGAGACTTTAATTGTGTCAATATCGACTGGAGAAATGAATCCACGCCAAAACAAAAAACTAGATAATCCAGCCACTCTTTTTTGTAAAAAGTCTGAGACAATTTATTATTCCAACATGTTAAAGATCCGACTCACTACAGAGGGGAGCAAACCGCTGGACCTCATCATAACTAACGAGGAGGGTATGGTGGCCAATCTGGAACACCTAGCCCCAGTTGGCACCAGTCACCACGTAACGTTGTCCTTCAGATTTAACTGTTACTTGGATCATGACAAATCCAGGTCCAAGTTCAAATATTACAAAGGAAATTACAACGGGCTGAGGGAGGAGATGAAGAGTATACATTGGCCTGACTTACTAAGGAATACGAACGTAGATGCAACGCTGAATATCATATCCAGTAAAGTAAACCATTCGATCGATAAATATATACCTTACCAAATCCAGTGCATCCAGGAATACTACGAGCTTGGGGAGAGAGAATGATGATAATTATAATCATTAACAATTTAAATTATTTTCTTAAACTATTTTACTTAATTCTTGTATTCCATCTGCCCCCCCCCCCCCGCAAATTAGCTAGCTCATATGCCTATGATTACTTAATTGCGTTTACACTGATACTGGCATCAAAATCATAAGACTATACCTAATAATAAAGAGGGGATTATTAATGATGATTATAATAAATTTTTAATTTTAATAGGAATATAAAAATGATTTCATGAGAAGTTCAAGTGGCTAACTGAAATCAGGAAATATAGCAAAAATATCTATTATACAGTGGGGTGGTCTCACCCATGGTAATACACCAGAGTCCTCTCTTACTACTGTTTTCTTCGACTCAGGCCAATGACGTCGCATGCTTAGCTCCGCTTCCTGGGCATGGGTTGTCTTGGTATAATTAGACTGTGTGATGATATATACGGCCAACCTGAGGTGGCCACATTTTTATCAACAGAGTGCTGTACCAGTAATGTAATTTAAGTCGTGGGAATTGAGTTTCAGCTTAGTTGATCCACAAATAGATTTCACCGGAAAGCAATAATTCGAGAGGCATTAGGATGCATGTTGATGGAGCTTTTTCCTGTTGTTACCCTTAAACGGACTGTTTTAAATCAATAGTGGTTAAGTGTACAAGTGCAAGCTATTGTGTGAAAACCACAGGAGAGGTCTTATTTTATTTATTATTGTTTATGAAATACAATGCCTCATTTGCAGGAAATATTACTGATCTATTGTTTCCAGGATATACATAGATTTGGATGATAGATGTGGATATTTTTTTAATAATTTATTAAAATTTTAACTTCAGATCCATAAACCGACAAGATGGTGGAGTTTAATGGCACCTACAAACATGACAAGGACGAGAACTTCCAGGAGGTCTTGGCCAAGATCGGTAAGTTAACTCAGTATTTGCACATGAATTAGCCTTTACGACAACACAGAAAATATACAAAAGTGGCCGAATATTGGTCAATGGTGGTGTAAAGCTTTACATATTTTTACAAATCCCTTTCGCCGCTTCCCAGCTACCACCGCTGGTTACCAGCGGCTAGGTTAGTAAACACTATCACTCAATTTATTATACGCCCGCCAAAAATCTGAATAAATAATTCTTCCAGGACGAATATATTTTAAAATGTATGTTTCTAAAGTAGGTCTGGTGCGGTCTTCTAAACCTGGGTCAATGAGCGGAATAATAAATCTCTTTCTCGATACTCTTCCAGTGCCCCCAAACTTCCAAACCTGATTTAAAACACGGCCTTTCTCACGTTTTCGGTGGGTAATGAGTGTTTCGTTTATTTCTACCTCTACATGTCGGGACCACCGAAAGCTTCCTGATTTTCAAACCAATGCTGACATACCTCGCTACAAAACGAACGCCAGTCAATGGTAGTTTTACGAGACACTTTTAAATGACGATTAAGTGATTCATGCTTCCAGAAATGGAGACAAAAATGAATAACAAATATCATTAACTTCCATTTCGGCACGTGTGTTCCTTCGATAAAAGAGCCCTTGCGGTCACTCACTTCATACGCACTAAATCGTTTTTTTTTTTTTTTATGAATTACATATGAACTAGTACAACGCCAAAGTTTTTGGTCGGGGCGAAAAACACAGGGATTGGAGCATTAGGGCACAATACAGAAGTCGGTAGTATACCGTGAAAACGTAAAAATTCTAAAGATACATCCTCTTGCTGATTAAAACGGGCCAGCAAGTCAAAATAGCGGAAATCACACCCGTTAAACAAAGCAGCCATACTGCAACTGAAAATCTTCGACAGTGGACGATGGGTAATTCAAACAAAAATTAATTTGATTGGCCGGAAACGAAGCGGGTGGTAGAAATTTTGAAATAGCTAATTGTGATTGGTCGTGGGCGGAGCTGTCCGGCAACTGGATTTCTGAAATGACAGCAGGTCAACCGATAATGGTGAAAATGTCAAGGTTAATTTCCTAACCAAAACTTTCGAGCGCCACATCTTCTTTATTATGCATTTGTGACGGAAATATCATAGAAGAAAATTGTCTTAGAATTTTCTGTAGATTTTACAAATATTGCCAGATTTGTCGCAAAGAATAATTATTGGACTAAAGTTAACAATACCCGACAATCTTCCTGAGCTTGCCAAAATAACTGTTGCTTGGAAAAGAAAATAATCAGAAAATCTAGTTCACAAAATTATAATACTAAATCATGCCTCGGCATAACATTGTTAAATCTCAAAGTATAATTTAAACTGTCTAATCTGACTGTGTTGTCACTGGTGCTAATATGCAGGTGCAGTTCAGTAGGGACAACATTTGGCCAATACATCTCACGATAGTGCAAGCAGACTCAAATTATAATATGCAGTGGCGTAGCTAGAGTGTGCCTGGCACTTGAGTTTTTGCCCCACAATACATATTGCACAGTGACTCACTTATATATATATATATATATATATATATATATATATATATATATATATATATATATATATATATATATATTAAATAGTATTGTTTATGTCAGACAAAAGCCACCCCGATCAAAGTAGGGGGCTTTTGTCTGGGTGGCTTTTGTCGGGGGGGCTTTTGTCTGTACCCCAGTGAGGATAGTGTCTTAGTATAAAATCGCAATGCTGTGAAACAAAATCTTAATATTTAATCTCAGTACCGCAGCAAAAGTCACATCAATATTTTTTAACCAATACTTTAATATTTCTTACCTTATAGTATTATGTCTTCCAACGAAGTAAATAACTGGATCGAAAACACAAGAGAACTTAAAAGTCGTCTAGCCTCCCCTCGTCTTGTCACGATGGAGACTTGTGCAGAACTGAAGTGAATTGCTTGTAACTGGTGGATTGGTCGGCTGTACATGAACTGATATGACCCGAGACTGCATGGTTTTGCAGCTACTGGAGACGTTAATCCATCCCTTTGTATCGGCGGCAAGTTAATCCTCGTCGTGTCTGACCTAACACCTGACCCACACCACATGAGCTCACTGGCGTACTTGTTTGAAGTTGTTTCTTTAATCCTCAACAGGTTACAGGTTGTGCGTGTGGCCGGGGGGGGCGCATAGCAAGGGTGTAGCTCATGACGTGGCCGTGATGATGTGGGTCAGGTGTTAGGTCAGACACGACAAGGATTAACTTGCCGCCGATACAAAGGGATGGATTAACGTCTCCAGTAGCTGCAGATATGGGTGATGAGCAGACCCAAAAGTGCCGCCCGGGCCGGACCGCTCCCCTCTAGCTACGCTAGTGATAATATGTACTGAGGCCTCCCATGACAACATCAGTCGTTAGTGACGGTTAGTAACATGGTCTCAATTTTATAATCCCTTTGTGATACACTTATACCAGGATATGCCATTGCATTAATTCATAGACTACTCCCATTATATTAACTGAATGGCAAACGCAGTGTCTTCAGAATTTTGATCGTGTAGCCGTGGTATTTTATTAAATGCGATGGAGTAAGGTTTAATATTTTTACTTTTTCCGTGAGATCTGCAGTCCTTCCACCAAGTGTATGCGTAAATCACTATTCCAAAATTCCTGACAACTTTATCCAAATTCCTCTTCACCATTGATTGGCTCGTTTGCCGCTTGGGCGGTCGGTCAAGCCTCTGTTACACACTTTTTGCAAGTTCTGGCTCCAGACTGTCCGTACCTGTGCCAGTGTTGCCAACAAATTGTTGGCAACACTGTGTAGGTCACGTATGGTCTTGCATAATGTCACACTTGGCTTGTAGTAGTCCCGTCCTATTTATTTCCCCCTTTTCTGTTTAATCTTTCTGTGCATTTCCCTGCAGTTATGTCTTCTGTCATTATATTCTATCTCCTTGCATTTCTATTTGGAAAACTTAATTAGTCTGTCTACAGCCATTATTAACTTCTTTGTGAAGTTCTTTGTCAGCCCCACTTTATCCTATCAACTTTCTTTGTCTATCCTTTTTTCTTAATTTGTGAAGTAGTGTGTCAGGCTGTTGAAGGAGTGTATGTGGCAGGTTGTTAAGGAATGTGTCAGGTTGTTTAGTGAGTGTGTGTGTGTCAGGTTGTTGAAGGAGTGTGTGTGTGTCAGGTTGTTGAAGGAGTGTGTGTGTGTGTCAGGTTGTTGAAGGAGTGTGTGTGTGTCAGGTTGTTGAAGGAGTGTGTGTGTCAGGTTGTTGAAGGGTGTGTGTGTGTCCGGGTTGTTGAAGGGTGTGTGTGTGTGTCGGGTTGTTGAGGAAGAGGTGTGTGTGTGTCAGGTTGTTGAAGGAGTGTGTGTGTGTCGGGTTGTTGGAAGGGTGTGTGTGTCAGGTTGTTGAAGGGTGTGTGTGTGTGTCAGGTTGTTGGAAGGGTGTTATTGTGTCGGGTTGTTGGGGTGTGTGCCAGGGTTGTTGAAGGAGTGTGTGTGTGTCAGGTTGTTGAAGGAGTGTGTGTGTGTGTGTCAGTTTGTTGAAGGTGTGTGTGTGTCAGGTTGTTGAAGGAGTGTGTGTGGGGTTGTTGAAGGAGTGTGTGTGTCAGGTTGTTGAAGGGTGTGTGTGTGTCGGGTTGTTGAAGGAGTGTGTGTGTGTGTCAGGTTGTTGAAGGGTGTGTGTGGCGGGTTGTTGAAGGGTGTGTGTGTGCAGGTTGTTGAAGGAGTGTGGCTATTGTGTGTCGGGTTGTTGAAGGGTGTGTGTGTCAGGTTGTTGAAGGGTGTGTGTGTGTGTGGGTTGTTGAAGGGTGTGTGTGTGTGTCAGGTTGTTGAAGGGTGTGTGTGTCGGGTTGTTGAAGGGTATTGTTATTGTTCAGGTTGTTGAAGGGTGTGTGTGTGTGTCAGGTTGTTGGAAAGGAGTGTGTGTGTGTCAGGTTGTTGAAGGTGTGTGTGTCAGGTTGTTGAGAGGGTGTATGTGTCAGGTTGTTGTGAAGGAGTGTGTGTGTCAGGTTGTTGAAGGGTGTGTGTGTCAGGTTGTTGGAAGGGTGTGTGTGTGTCAGGTTGTTGAAGGGTGTGTGTGCCAAGGTTGTTGAAGGAGTGTGTGTGTCAGGTTGTTGAAGGTGTGTGTGTGTCGGGTTGTTGAAGGGTGTGTGTGTCAGGTTGTTGAAGGGTGTGTGTGTGCCAGGTTGTTGCGAAGGAGTGTGTGTGTGTCAGGTTGTTGGAAAGGGTATTATTGTGTGTCAGGTTGTTGAAGGGTGTGTGTGTGTCAGGTTGTTGTTGAGGTGTGTGTGTGTCAGGTTGTTGAAGGAGTGTGTGTGTGTCAGGTTGTTGAAGGGTGTGTGTGTGTGTCAGGTTGTTGAAGGAGTGTGTGTGTGTGTGTGTGTCAGGTTGTTGAAGGGTGTGTGTGTGTGTCGGGTTGTTGAAGGGTGTGTGTGTGTGTGTCCGGGTTGTTGAAGGGTGTGTGTGTGTGTCAGGTTGTTGAAGGGTGTGTGTGTGCCAGGGTTGTTGAAGGGTGTGTGTGTGTCAGGTTGTTGAAGGGTGTGTGTGTGTCAGGTTGTTGGGAGTTGTGTGTGTGTGTCAGGTTGTTGAAGGAGTGTGTGTGTGTGTCAGGTTGTTGAAGGGTGTGTGTGTGTCGGGTTGTTGAAGGTGTGTGTGAGGTTGTTGAAGGTGTGTGTGTGTCAGGTTGGTGAAGGGTGTGTGTGTGTCAGGTTGTTGAAGGGTGTGTGTGTGTCAGGTTGTTGAAGGAGTGTGTGTCAGGTTGTTGAAGGGTGTGTGTGTGTGTCAGGGTTGTTGAGGTGTGGCGGTGAAATGGGGTTTGAAGGGTGTGTGTGTCGGGTTGTTGAAGGGTGTGTGTGTGCCAGGTTGTTGAAGGAGTGTGTGTGTGCCGGAGTTGTTGAAGGGTGTGTGTGTGCCAGGTTGTTTGAAGAGGTGTGTGTGTGTCCCGGGTTATTTGAAGGTGTGTGTGTGTGTCAGGTTGTTGAAGGGTGTGTGTGTCAGGTTGTTGAAGAGTGTGTGTGTCAGGGTTGTTGAAGGAGTGTGTGTGTGTCGGGTTGTTGAAGGGTGTGTGTGCCAGGTTGTTGGAAGGGTGTGTGTGTGTCAGGTTGTTGAAGGGTGTGTGTGTGTCAGGTTGTTGAAGGTGTGTGTGGTGTCGGGTTGTTGAAGGGTGTGTGTGTCAGGTTGTTGAAGGGTGTGTGTGTGTGCCCGGGTTGTTGAAGGGTGTGTGTGTCGGGTTGTTGAAGGAGTGTGTGTGTCAGGTTGTTGAAGGAGTGTGTGTGTCCCGGGTTGTTGAAGGGTGGTATTGGTGTCAAGGGTTGTTGAAGGGTGGTGTGTGTCGGGTTGTTGAAGGGTGTGTGTGTGTCAGGTTGTTGAAGAGGTGTGTGTGTGCAGGTTGTTGAGGAAGGGTGTGTGTGTACCCGGGTTGTTGAAGGGTGTGTGTGTGTCAGGTTGTTGAAGGGTGCTGTGTGTCAGGTTGTTGAAGGGTGTGTGTGTGTCAGGTTGTTGGGGGTGTGTGTCAGGTTGTTGGAAGGGTGTGTGTGTCGGGTTGTTGAAGGAGTGTGTGTGTGTGTCGGAGTTGTTGAAGGAGTGTGTGTGTGTGTCCCGGGTTGTTGTTGGGAAGGGAGTGGTATTGTGTCCAGGTTGTTGGGGAAGGGGTGTGTGTGCCAGGTTGTTGAAGGGTGTGTGTGTGTGTGTCAGGTTGTTGAAGGGTGTGTGTGTGTCAGGTTGTTGAAGGGTGTGTGTGTCAGGTTGTTGAAGGTGTGTGTGTCAGGTTGTTGAAGAGGTGTGTGTGTCAGGTTGTTGAAGGGTGTGTGTGTGTCAGGTTGTTGAAGGGTATTGTGCCGGGTTGTTGAAGGAGTGTGTGTGTGCCAGGTTGTTGAAGGAAAGGGTGTGTGTGTGTCAGGTTGTTGAAGGGTGTGTGTGTCAGGTTGTTGAAGGGTGTGTGTGTCGGGTTGTTGAAGGGTGTATTGTGTCAGGTTGTTGAAGGGTGTGTGTGTCAGGTTGTTGAAGGGTGTGTGTGTGTCGGGTTGTTGAAGGGTGTGTGTGTCGGGTTGTTGGAAGGGTGTGTGTGTCCGGGTTGTTGAAGGGTGTGTGTGTGTCGGGTTGTTGAAGGAGTGTGTGTGTCGGGTTGTTGGAAGGGTGTGTGTGTGTGTCGGGTTGTTGGGGATGTGTGTGTCAGGTTGTTGGGGTGTGTGTGTGTGTGTCAGGTTGTTGAAGGAGTGTGTGTGTGTGTCAGGTTGTTGAAGGAGTGTGTGTGTCAGGTTGTTGGAAGGTGTGTGTGTGTGTCAGGTTGTGAAGGTGTGTGTGTGTGTGTCCAGGTTGTTGAAAGGGTGTGTGTGTGTCAGGTTGTTGAAGGGTGTGGCTGTGTGTCAGGTTGTTGAAGGTGTGTGTGTGTGTGTCAGGTTGTTTGAAGGGTGTGTGTGTCAGGTTGTTGAAGGGTGTATTGTGTGTCAGGTTGTTGAAGGGTGTGTGTGTCAGGTTGTTGAAGGAGTGTGTGTGTGTCAGGTTGTTGAAGGGTGTGTGTGTGTCAGGTTGTTGAAGGGTGTGTGTGTGTGTCGGGTTGTTGAAGGGTGTGTGTGTGTCAGGTTGTTGAAGGAGTGTGTGTGTCAGGTTGTTGAAGGTGTGTGTGTGTGTCAGGTTGTTGAAGGGTGTGTGTGTGTCAGGTTGTTGAGAAGGGTGTGTGTGTGTCAGGTTGTTGAAGGGAGTGTGTGTGCCAGGTTGTTGAAGGGTGTGTGTGTCAGGTTGTTGAAGGGTGTGTGTGTGTCAGGTTGTTGAAGGGTGTGCCAGGTTGTTGAAGGGTGTGTGTGTGTCAGGTTGTTGAAGGGGTAGTATTGTGTGTGTGTCAGGTTGTTGAAGGGTGTGTGTGTGTCAAGGTTGTTGAAGGGTGTGTGTGTGTGTGTCGGGGTTGTTGGAAGGAGTGTGTGTGGAGTTGTTGAAGGAGTGTGTGTGTGTGTCAGGTTGTTGAAGGAGTGTGTGTGTCAGGTTGTTGAGGTGTGTGTGTACCCGGGTTGTTGAAGGGTGTGTGTGTGTCAGGTTGTTGAAGGGAGTGGTAGTAGTGTGTCAGGTTGTTTGGGTGTGTGTGTCGGGTTGTTGAAGGAGTGTGTGTGTCAGGTTGTTGAAGGGTGTGTGTAGGTTGAAAGGAGTGTGTGTGTGTGTCAGGTTGTTGAAGGAATTGTGTGTATGTCAGGATTTATTGAAAAGTGTGTGTGTGTCAAGGTTGTTGAAGGAGTGTGTGTGTCAGGTTGTTGAAGGGTGTGTTATTGTTCAGGTTGTTGAAGGGGTGTGTGTGTGCCAGGTTGTTGAAGGGTGTGTGTGTCAGGTTGTTGAAGGGTGTGTGTGTGTCGGGTTGTTGAAGGAGTGTGTGTGTCGGGTTGTTGAAGAGGGTGTGTGTGTGTCAGGTTGTTGAAGGTGTGTGTGTGCCAGGTTGTTTGAAGGGTGTGTGTGTGTCCAGGTTGTTGAAGGTGTGTGTGTCAGGTTGTTGAAGGGTGTGTGTGTGTCGGGTTGTTGAAGGGTGTGTGTGTCAGGTTGTTGAAGGGTGTGTGTGTGTGTCGGGTTGTTGAAGGGTGTATTATTATTGTCGGGTTGTTGAAGGAGTGTATTGTCCCGGGGTTGTTGAAGGAGTGTGTGTGTCAGGTTGTTTGAAGGGTGTGTGTGTGCCAGGTTGTTGAAGGGTGTGTGTGTGTGTCAGGTTGTTGAAGGGTGTGTGTGTGTCAGGTTGTTGAAGAAGGGTGTGTGTGTGTCAGGTTATTTGAAGGAGTGTGTGTGTCAGGTTGTTGAAGGAGTGTGTGTGTGCCAGGTTGTTGAAGGGTGTGTGTGTCAGGTTGTTGTGAAGGTGTGTGTGTGTCCAGGTTGTTGAAGGGTGTGTGTGTGTCAGGTTGTTGAAGGAGTGTGTGTGTGTCAGGTTGTTGAAAGGAGTGTGTGTGTCAGGTTGTTGAAGGAACATGTGTGTGTGTGTGTCAGGTTGTTGAAAGGTGTGTGTGTGCCAGGTTGTTGAAGGAGTGTGTGTGTGTGCCAGGTTGTTGAAGGGAGTGTGTGTGTGTCAGGTTGTTGAAGAGTGTGTGTGTCAGGTTGTTGAAGGAGTGTGTGTGTGTGTCAGGTTGTTGAAGGGTGTGTGTGTGCCAGGTTGTTGAAGGGTGTGTGTCGGGTTGTTGAAGGGTGTGTGTGTGTCAGGTTGTTGAAGGTGTGTGTGTGTCCGGGTTGTTGAAGGTGTGTGTGTGTCCCGGGTTGTTGAGAGGTGTGTGTCCAGATTTGTTGGAAAGGGTGTGTGTGTGTCCAGGTTGTTGAAAAGGGTGTGTGTGTGTGTGTCAGGTTGTTTGAAGGTGTGTGTGTCCGGGTTGTTGAAGGTGTGTACCCAGGTTGTTGAAGGGTGTGTGTGTCCAGGTTGTTGAAGGGAGTGTGTGTGTCAGGTTGTTGAAGGAGTGTGTGTGTGTCAGGTTGTTGAAGGAGTGTGTGTGTCAAGTATTGAAGGAGTGTAATGTGATACAGGGATTGGGTTCATGCTGAGGAAGGTGATGATGTTGGCCAAACCGAGCGTTGAGGTGAAAGTTGAAGGTGACATCTGGACCATCCTTGCTCACACCCCAATCAAGACAATCACCATAACCTTCAAACTTGGCCAGGAGACTGACATGGAGTTTTTGACAGGAGGGCGACAAAGGTGAAAAGTATGCTACCATGTGGATATAATGGGAGAGATGTAGTAGAGATCTTGTAGATAATGTAGACTAATCTTGCAGGTAGAGAGATTTAGAAGGAAAAAATGGTCTTGCTGAAGACTGAGAGAAGGGATAGTATTATTTGAGAAGAAGTTATGCAGGAAAACAAATTCTTGCATGAGAGAAAATCCCTGGTGAATATCCATCAAGATGACCATCCAGTAACCTTGTACAATATTGGAGTAACTATGAAATGTCTTGAAGATTGATATACAGAATTATAGTAATGATCTTATGGAGAAAAAATATATTGTGCCTGTAGGCTTATACAGTACAGGTATGTATTTGGAAAGATTGCCTTAAAATTACTGAACCTGCTTTAGGTAATAGAAGCCTGTCTCATAAATTTATTTAAAACTTTATTTATCTCACGTTTTAATGTTGATTATTTATCCCACTGTTTAATTTAAACTACAGTACCTGTACAGTACAGGTGCTGGATACAGGTACGTCTCACCACTAAGTAAACTCTAATGTCTTATTAGTGTCAACTCTTATATCTACTACTTAATGTAAAAATTTTATTTGAGCGTACCTGTATAACACACAGTTTAATTTATAATGAGAGAGCTAATAGTTCAAGAATTACTAATCTCAAAACACTTTTTTTCTTTTTAGCTTGGAAGTTTGACTCTTATGTTATTGCAGGTAGTGTTTACCTTGGAGGGCAACACACTCACTCAGCAGCCAGTGGATACATCAGGAGACAATGCCGTGTCAGTGGTTAGGGAGTTCACTGACGAGGGCTTGAAACAGGTGAAGAAGCGTAGATAGTAGGAATGAAACAAGTGAAGGAGCTCACTGGGGAAGTGCATTGGGTGAAGGAGTTTTGGGAGGGAGAAAAAATACAGCTACTGTACAGGTAAGAGAGATTATACAGTAGCTATAGGTAAGGTTGATTGCAGCAACTTATAGGTATTAGAGATTACAGCAATAGGAATGAGATTACAGCTATAGGTAAGAGAGATTATAATGATAGGTAAGAGATTATAGCTATAGGCAAGAAAAATTTTTGCTATAAATAAGAGATTACAGCTATAGGCAAGAGATTACAGCAATAAGTAAGAGATTACAGCTACAAGTAAGAGAAATTACGATTACTGTATAGATAAGATTTACATCTTGATAAGGGAAATTACAGTTAATTGTTAGTACAGTAACTGTTAAGTAAGCCCTAAACAGGCTGGAAATAACAATATATGCCTAGATTTTGCCAAGGCTCTTGACATGGTACCCCATGAAAGGCGGAAAATTAAACTGGAGAATGCAGCGATTAGAGTGTCCTAGTGTGGACCAGAGCCTTTTACATGATAGCAAGCAGTGTGTGGTGAGTAATGATCAAAATCATCATGTATACCTGTGAATAGCGGGGTACCACAGGGCAGTGTAATGGGCCCATTGTTGTTGTTTGTTTGTTTCATAAATGACATACTAGATGCTAGACATTGGGGACAATGTCAAGTCATTCAGGGAAATTAAGAATCAAACAGACTGTGAAGAGCTACAGAAAGATCTCTGTGAGCTTCAAGAGTGGTCAAAGAACTGGCTGCTAAGATTCAATATCGTGAAGTGTAAGAAGATGCACCTGGGTCGTACCAACTTCAACATAGACTACTGAAAACACGTTGTAAGGTAATTTAGCCTATTGTAAGTTGGTGAGCTTCATTTGCTGAAGGAACTGCACAACTTTTCATTACTAATTGGTACATATTTTATGTTTCCATTGTTTACTGGCAGTAAATGGTAAATATTTTTCATGTCTGAAGCTAAAAGTTGCATCCCCTCCCCCCACACTAGTGGTGATGTTACATTTAACCAAAAAGATGCTGGTGTTTTATCCCAGCAGTGGGTGGACCAGCATTTTAGCTTAAGGTCCGCGTAGGTAATATTCCTAAAAAAAAAAAAAAAAATTCGTTCAGATTTTGTCCGAATTATCCGAAATCCGGATTAAAGGGGTCCGAATTAACGAGGGTCGACTGTACGTATATTCTAGTACAGAAACGTTTCCATCCTGTACGACAGCATGGGCTGGGCCGCTTCGTGGTGTACAGCATCCACGCAGTAGCCCACTCAGTTGGTGTTTGGCTGTCGTTGTTGTTAGTGATTGCGCTGTGTACTGACAAAATTTTCGTTTCTAATTCCCTTTAAAATGGCTGGCAAGCGTAAAAGTGAGAATTCTCGTGGTGCTGATAAAAAAAGGAGACAGTCAGTTACTTTTGAGATGAAAATGAAAATAATAATGCAATATGAAAATGGAAAAACGGTAGCAACCATTTCACGCGACCTTGGTGTCTCTCACTCGACGATATCAACACATTTGAAGGACAAGGCAGAGGCATTTGCTACTATTAATAAGGGGATGCAAATGTTTGAAGAAATGGATCAAAATGTTGAGCGTTTTGCAAAAGTTGACAGACAGATCCAAGATGCACTTGCTTCCTACAGGGAGATTTACAATGAAAAGAAAAGGCAAACTGTGCAGTCTAAATTGGACATATATTTTAAGAAGTCCCCCACTGCTGTCTCCTCACGCCCCACCACTGCTGCCTCTTCACTCCCTAAAGATGATCCAATACCTTCAACAAGCAAGTATGTTAGCCTGTCTGAAGAAAGCGAAATTGATGACCCACCCAGCCCTGTCTCCTCCTCTGCTTCATCCAATTAATGTAGTCTCTATGTTTAATTAAAAAAATTATTGAGGCCCCGTGTGCATTCAGCTGACTACATTAAAGGTAAGTGCACAGTAACACTTTATTAATTTTTCATTATTGATTACTTTTACTGTACCGTATTTCATTTTAGAATTTCTATGTATTATTTTCGCATTTTTGACTTACGACCAATTCGACTTACGACCTGGTCGTCTTTCCGAAACCCCGTCGTAAGTCGAGGAGAGACTGTACTACAGACTGACAAGGGGTGACCTAATTGAGGTGTATAAAACATCTCGAAGGGCACTACTCAGTCGAGTGTCCTTACCTGGAGCTCTGGAGCAGCCCACCCCACAAGGGGTCACAGCTCAAGGTAAAAGAAGCCACAAGTCCAGAAAACTTTGAGGGCAAACTTTTTTGGAGTGAGAATTGTGAACTTTTGGAACAACCTACCAGAGTTTTGTGACAGGACCGAGTGTGAGCTCTTCCAAGACCAGACTTGGCCAACACTGGTGCACTATTTGAGACTGAATGTGAGAAGGAACTAGGTGTGTATGTTGACAATGAGCTGAAGTTCTCGGGCCATTGCGAGAAGAAGGTAAATCAGGCAAATAAATTATTGGGTCTTATAAGAAGGTCGTTCAGATATCTAGATGGTCCGTCCCTCGTAACGATTTTCAAGAAAGAAGCGCTTCCCCATCTGGAGTACTGTCACCCCGTGTGGTCCCCGAGATATGCTAGGGACTGTCAGATGGTTGAAAATGTTCAAAAGAGGGCCACCACTTCGGCACCTCAGCTACCCTGGGAGATTGGAGCGCCTGAACTTGCCTAGCTTATACTACAGACAGGCAAGGGGTGACCTAATTGAGGTGTATAAGCATCTCAGGGGGCACTACTCAGTTGAGTATCCTTACTTGGAGCTGGCGGACGCTCGCCCCACAAGGGGTCACAGCTCAAGATTGAAGAAGCCGCAAGTCCAGAAAACTGTGAGGGCAAACTTTTTCGGAGTGAGGGTTGTAAACTCTTGGAACAATCTACCAGAGAGTGTTGTGACGGCACCGAGTGTGAGCTCTTTCAAGACAAGACTTGACCAACACTGGAGCAGGTTCAGGTACATTCAAGAGCCGGTGCATGCCCAGTACTTGCCAACAGTGCTTACCTAACAGAGACGTGACCAATCGCCCAAGCAGCTAACAAGCCGATCACTGGTGAAGAGGATAAAAGTAAAAAAAAAAGTTCAGATACATTCAGGAGCCAGTTCATGCTCAGTACTTGCCAACAATGTGTAACAGAGACGTGACTGACCGTCGAAGTGGCGAAGAGAATGAAATTAAAAAGTATGAGCAAGTCATGCCTTTGAAGAGGGGTTAGGACTATGATTTCTTATCTACTGGTGTAAAAAATGTAAGAAACAATGAATATGGAGGTTACCGGTGAGAGTTTAAGCTTGATGAATGAGTTTCCTTGAAGAGAAATGGATGATGATGGTGATGATGATTGTGATGATGATTATTATTATTATTATTAGAGGAAGGAATGGTGCACAGAAACCTCTGGATTATTATTATTACAGTATTATTTTTGTAAAAATGTAGGATGCTTACTCACCTCTTTTACTTTACATTATCTTCCCCACTCTTTGGCCTGTTAGCTGCTTGGGTAATCAATCATGTCTCTGTTATGTATTGTTGGCAAGTACTGGCTCCAGAATGTATCTGTACCTGCTCCAGTGTTGGTCGAGTCTGGTCTTGAAAGTGCTCACACTCGGTGCCGTCACAACACTCTCTGGCAGCTTGCTCTCACAATTTTCTGGACTTGTGGCTTCTTTAACTTCGAGCTGTGACCCCTTGTGGGGCAGGCATCTGCCAGCTCTAGGTATGGATACTCAACTGAGTACAGTATAATGTCCTCCGAGATGTTTATAAACTTCAATTAAGTCGTCCCTCACCTGTCTATAGAAGGCAAAGCATTCAACAGTTTGGCTGTGAGGAAAGAATGATATACGTACTATAAAGGGTTACTCTAGTGTGACCAACTTCCACACAGAAACGATGGGCACCGCGGGCAAGATGATTCCGAACCCACGGCCTTGCTGGTGGTACACAGAATGCCAAATCCATCGAACATTACCTGTTAAAGTACAGTACAGGGTACCTGTAAAGGAGAGAGAGTGAAGCAACATTGCAGCGAAGAGAGATTATTGATTAAAGAAGGAGAGTTAATAAGACGAAATGCCTTTGATTCTACTCTATCTAACAGTTGGACAGAAGAAAAACCACCCCAGATATGAGAGTACTGTAGTTGCAGGCATTCTAATTTTTCTGGGTAACTGAGGTCCTGTAGTGCAGGCACCCGTCTGGTGGCCCTCCTTTCGACATTTTGAATTAACTGACAGTCTCTAGTATACCTCAGTAGTACTATAGAAAGGGAATCACCTCACTCTTGAAATTTATTGTTTGGGATGGACTGTCCAGATAACTGAATGACCATTTTATAAGACCTACTAGTTTAGTTGCTTGGTTCACCCTCTTCTCACAATGGCCAGGTCTCTATTAATGCAGTTTCTTCATCCCGTTGGGACATGTGAAATGCCTCCTTACTGGTGGTATGACCGAGGTGCATCCTCTTGCACTCCGTGACATTGAATCTTAGCAGACATTTCTTTGCCTACTCATGAAGCTGACAGAGATCTTTCTGTAGCTCTTCACAGTCTGTTTGGTTCTTAATTTCCATGAATAATTTGGCATCATCCACAAATATTTGTATGGAGGAGTATATAGGTTCTGGCATGTCATTTATAACAAACAACAACGGGCCCAGTACACTGCCCTGTGGTACCCTACTTGTCATGGGTACACATGACGATTTCGTGCCATTAATCACCACACACTGCTTGCGGTCATAAAGAAAGTCTCTGATCCACGCTATGACACTTCCCAAAATCCCATACTCTCAAGTTTATTTCTCAGCCTATTATGGGGTTTTGATAAACTCCAGATATATACAGTATTATCTATATTTGCCACTCTGTACCAGAATTTGAGTCCAAATATTCAGCACCTCGAGTAATTGTATCAAGCAGGAGCATCCCAGCATAAAACCACGTTGGAGGTCCATCACAAGGTGGTTTTATAGTAGATGTTCCATCATAGCATCTCTTATAATGCTCTCTTGTACTTTACACACTATGCTGGTCAGACTCTTTGACCTATAATTATTCATGGAGTGGTGCTCGCCCTGCTTGAATACAGTGTAAGATTCACACAAGCCATTTTCCAGTCACTGGGGGACCTTTTGCTCATCCAGGCATTTACAAAACAGGATCGTAAGGGGCTCTGCAAGCTCAATGCACAACTCTCAAAGCACTCTGGGATGCACCATGTCAGGGCCAGGGCTCTTATGAACCCTTAGCTTTGACAGTTTCTTTCTTACACCCTTTTCTGAGAACACAATGTGGGTCAGCGCTGTGTCAGACAATCTTTCCTCAAACGCAAGAAGATTTTTCTCATCTTCTCTTGTGAACACCAAGGAAAAGAATTTGTTTAATGCCTCTGCCTTGTCCTGGTCTGAATCTGCGTAAATACCATCTTCAAGTCTCAGATCCGATACGCCTACACATGTTTTCAATTTTAATTTTGTGTAATGGTAGAAAGCCATTGGATTTAACTTGACCTCAACTGCAATTCACCTTGGGAATTCTTTTTCAACCTTTCTGCACTTTGACTTTGCTTGGTTCCTGGATATGGCATACATCCTCCTTTCCTACTCGTCATTCCTAACCCACGTTTAGAATTTCTGAGATTTTTCTTAACTTTGTGTTCATGTGTAACAGTTCTCAATTTTCATGAATAATTTAGCATTATCTGCAAACATTTGTACTGTAAGGAGGTGATATGCAGCATATGGCATATCATTTATGAAACAAACAAAGAACAATGCTTCCAGTACACTGCCCTGTAGCTCACCGCTTGTCATGGGTACTCATGATAATTCCGTGCCATTAATCACCAAACACCGCTTACAGTCATGAAGAAAGTCTCTGATCCACTTTTGGATGCTCCCCTGAATTTCATACCCTATCAGTTTAATTTTCAGCCTTTCATAAGCATGTTGAAAGCCTTGGTAAAGTCTAGATATATAATTAACACTCTTAAATTTCCTGTTTAATATACGTACTGCAATTCAGGGATCTGTAAATACGTACAGTACATCCAACATAGAGTAAGTCTATTCCCTTTAGTTTAATTTTACACTACCTGTATTTTGATTATTAAAAATATCTTTCCCCTGCACCCTCACCTGACTGGCTCTAAGGATCCCTTTTACAAGTCATCTCTGAAAAGTTTGTAAATGAGTCAAAGCAATCAATATTAAACTTGCAATCCTACAGGTCAATCCTCTTTTTTATACAGTACAACAGTTCTACAATACTTCTTATATTGTGTTGATAGATCTTCAGTTGGGTTTTAAACTCCACTATCTTGTCAAGGAAAGTGCCAGTGTTTGTGTACATGACTTACATTGTTACAGTTTTATTATTATTATTTTATAATTTTGTGTACTGTGTACATTATTAGCTTAATCTTATCCACTATATTTATGATAATGACTTCTGGATACATTTTTTCTGTTTTTGAAAATGCCTAAGTTAAGCTGAGAACCACAAAATCACTTGCAGTATCATTTCCAGGTGATGATCCATTTGCCATCTGGAACAAAAGGCATTCGGTTCTTCAAGAGAGCATGAGGAGCCATTAAGAGAACTCCACCCCCCACGACTCCTTAGTGCTATCACCTCATGCATCCCGCGGATCGATGTTCATTTTACCAGATATTAACACTATTTTCCCACTTTATTTGATAAATACTGGACTGTATAGTATGTATTGTAGTGTTTTATGTGCTTTTCTGTTCATTAAATAGATACTGGTATGTTACTTGTATATGAACTTGCATGTGCTTTTAAATTTTATGGTTAGTAAGCTGACAAGAGATGAAGGTAAGTGTACTTTTCTTTTCACCTAATACAATACAGTACTTACATTACTGGTACTGTATAAGTACAGGTAATTTACCTTTGATTTGATAAATTTGTTACTGGAATATACAGTATATATTTTTCTGACCAAATAATGCATTTGCTACTGGTAAATGTACTTTACTGTTAATGTAATGCATATTATATTAATGGCATATGTACTTCCCTGGTCATTTGATACATATATAAGGATGAGTTAGCATCAATGAACAGTTGATGTGACAATAATGTAGCACAACCATCCAGGCTAATAAGAGTACATGCTTCTTCATATTCATAAATAAATCATCCAAATCTTGGCAGCTTAAAGTAATACCAATAGGTATGAAGGCATTGTCATTTTTTTGCTTGAATAAAAAAATGAACTGTTAGGTTTTGTCACAATGAGAAGTTTGTTTCTTTGTTTTCATGAATAAATTACCAAAGTTTTGTTAGTCTTTAAGTTCTGGGTTTGATGGTGCAGTTTGTCTCTTTTTTGACACGAATCAATTAATAAAGCTCTTATCCAAGTCAATTTTGTTGTTTTATAATCCCAATATTTTAACACTAAGTTCTCAGGGAAATCTAATGTAGTTTTGTTCATGTCAGGTAATGAATGGGTCAGGGTGGAGATGGAAAATAGGGTAAAGGGCAGGGAAAGGTTGGGAATCCCTGATTAGAGGCATGTGCATCTCACTTTCACTGCAGTTTGCAAACTTATATACCTAATGATCACCCAAACTAGAGTTGGCCATGCTAAAGGAAGGTGGCAGATCGGAGGTTACCACCAGTCCTGACTCTCAGGTGTAGGGTGAGTGATGGCAGACTTACAGACCCTAGTCTGACTAATGGGGGTTTCCAACTTATGGAAGTCCAGCTTAGGGGGCTCTTTATAAACTTTTATTCACAGAATCTGTTCTAATTGTGTTAGAGAGATGAATTTTGTCTAACAAAGATCCCGAATAAATTCTCTTCAAGACAGTTTCAAAAAAAGATCCTTACACAAAATATTTCAACACAATTTAGTGATGGGGACTCAATTCTTTTATGAAAATCATAAGAAATGTTTATATACCTACGGTACTAGAGTCTATAAAATCATTTGTAATTAAGTTAGAAACACCATTTTTTACCCAAATAATTCTGAATTGTTTGTATAAAGTTTGGTTAAATAGATATACAGCACAAGTATCCTCCAATGTTACGGAAACTCAGGTTGCGGAAATTTGCCCGTAAGGAATTTGCAAATTTTGACCACTAAATTTGGAACACGGCCCAGAAATTTGACCTAATAGAAATAGGGTAAATTTTCAACATAAAAACTGCAAATTGGAGAAGAAAAAAAAATTACCAGACATAATTTATTTGGTGTGGAATTCTTGGTGTTTGCTACCACCAACCGGGACGTACCCATGACACAGGACTCTGTTTATATCTCCCAGTGTGTACACCTGATCTCTTGATCCCAGCTCTTGAATTTAACACTTACACATGTACCTTATTCAAAACTGTCCAGTGTAATACCCTTATTCAAGATAAGTGGAAAGAGGCCATCAAGTGTAAGTGAAAGGAGTGGTGCTAAAAGAGTCCATAAGGGAATTACATTTGATATAAAACAATGTTTTATGGAGTTTGATGCATGAGAAAAACTTGGCCACCTTGCAAAAACATTAGGGCTTGCTAAGGTCTCCCAATAATTCCCATTGCACCACCTCACCTCATGCAGTACCTAACATCATTTGTGGTGAATTAAATTCAAGTGTTGTGTATTTATTATCATATATCATAAGATAATCAATGTGTGTTTAAAAAGTTTTATTTTCATTCATAAATGTGCTTGTATTACTTCTATTTGCCGAAAAAATTTCTTAAGGAACACATCTCCAATTATATAAGGTAAGTAAATGGGAAAATGGGGTTCATGTTATGGTCAACTTTTCAAGGACGCACCCCTTCTGTAATCCGGGGATTGCTGTATTTAAAAAAGCAATTAAATTTATAGTATACAGTCAGTTCTGCTATAACACGATAGTTGTGTTCTTGTAAAACATCGTGTTATAGAAATTCGCGCAATAAAAATAACAGGGCTTATGGAGAAAATAGGGTTAGGTGCAGATTACTCGAAATCGAAAAAATTTAGTAGTTAGCCTAACACAAAGGATAGCACAGTCTAAATAAACGTTACATTCATATCTAATAATGAAATCATACAGTAAATGTAACACTTTACCTTGAAAAAATATGAATATAACTTGATGGGGGAGAAGGGTGATTTTGAGGTTGATAACTTCGAGCTTCTCTTCAAGTGTTATAGCCATTCTTTTACGATCATCACCGGGAATGCGATCACCAGAACGCTTCTTGGAGATATTCTCCTTTACCATATTCACAGTTAATACCACAAAATAGGAGAAATAGTAAGCAAAAATCGCGTTACAGCAAACAAGCGTTCGCGTTTTACAAATATAGTTCCTCTATTCATAAATCGCGTTAGAGCCAATTCGCGTTGTCAAAACACGCGTTATAACAGAACCCACTGTATGAGCAATCAAATGAAGGTATTTTTGAGGCGTGAGGCCACGAGTAAATATACATATGGCTAAAAAAATATACTGCGTAAACTTTAATTCACAGTACAGTATCTGTTCTAATTGTGTTAGAGAGATGAATTTGGTACTATAATCCTGTATAAATTCTTTACAGGATTTATTCAATAAAAGATCCCAAAACAAAATATTTTGACACAATATAATGATGGGGACTCAATCATTTAAATAAAAACTTAAGAAATGGTTCTACACCCAAATCTATAAAATCAGTTCTAATTAAGTTAAACATTTTTTTTTTTACTAAAATAATCCCAAATAGTTTATCTAAAAGTTTGTTCCAATATATATGAAGTGGTCCCTCATTTTTCATGGGGTTTACATTCCTGATATTACTGAGAAAGAGCAAAACCGCAAATACTCTTTTCCGGATTTTCACTTACCATGTAACATTCAATATTACAACCTACAACGTATCCCCGATCACTTGTAAAGCCCTAAACATGTTTCTAATGATATATAACCCTCTCTCCTTCACACATATCATTAAATAACATGTAAAGACAACATAATAAAGATGCAAATAAAAGTAATAATTACTTTATATATCACATACCTAAAAAATACAACGCACATGGAATCCTATACTCACCAGCCCAGTTATGTTTTTCTGTCCTCTTGATACTCCCTCCCAACTCTTCCCCTGGTACATCACAACAGATGATGATGATGATGAATGAATGAATGAATGAATGAATGATGATGATGATGATGATGATGATGTTGATGATTAATCTGTAGCAAACTGTTGATTTATTTTAATGGAGGGAGCACTCCCTCCCCATTGTGATAACTGCTTGGTTCCATTGACTTTCGACACCTGGTGAAGTGCCCCAGTCATAGAGACCTCTGTTGTAAAGCACCTCTGCAGGTCCTGGGCAGGGAAATGGATCTTACCATCTCTCTTTGGTGCTGGGGGAGAGAGGGGAGTAGCATGGGAGGGGATAGCTTCTCTCCTTTGTGGAGGAAGTCGCCCTTCTACACAAGCTTTGAGTTTTATCTGTGAATGTATAAATGTTATTATTTAAGTTCTATGCTATTTATTATTACACCTTTTTCTTTTTTACCTTGCAATATTTGTTTTTTCCTTCTAAGCTTTTAGTTTAATTAAGCTGTTGTGTTGTAAGGGATGCAATTTCCATGATCAATCAATCAATTGATCATTAGTAGGTTGTAGGCAGCTACCAAACAGGGAGGTACTGCCACTTGGGAAGATATTGGAAGTGTAATGTGTTGTCTAATGGTAGACCCTGCTGCCATATGGCATCACGAAAATTGTGACCAAGTCCCAGGTTGCTGATCTGTCTTTCTACCTCATTTACACACAATTGTAGGGTCTCAATTGTTTCTCTTACATGACAACACAACATACATACAGCGTTTCTCACTATTGATTTTTTTCATTCTTGTATTTCTTTGTATTTATTATTATTATTATTATTATTATTATTATTATTATTATTATTATTATCAGTGTTGTTATTATTATTATTACCATTATTTTATTTTATTTTTTATTATAAATTTTATTTACTATGAATTATTATTATTACATTTTTGCCCCCCGGGCCCCGATGTGGGTTAGTGACCTGTGCCCTGGTGGGCTGATCCCCGTAAAAAAAAAATAAAAATAAAATTAATCCCATATGCTCTAGTGCATGCTGCTCTGTAGTTTCTTTATTATTTTTACTTTCTCGACAAAAGACAACACTTTTCTGTCTCTCTTAGGCTTCTTCGGTGCGTTACTGTCCTTGTCACCACCTTTAGAAGGACGCTTTGGAGCCATGATGGGATTTTATGAGCACAAGATACATGGGTCACAGCGAGACGTATACACAGTATGGCGGGGAACACGAGTGAGACAAAGGAGAGCCGGGAAGCTGTACTCTGTGGTGGTAACACCTGGCGGTTTCTTGTGCAAACTCATTTGCGCACACAATTCAACTGCATACGAAATCAGTAATACCATTTTCAATGAAAACATATTTCTGATGAAAATCTGCAAATAAAAAATCCATAAAAAATGAGGGTGTACTCTGTGTGCACGCGTGCATATACAGTAAGTGATACAGTGATCCCTTGGTTAACGAATTACCTTCCATAAGAATCTTCAACTCGATTAACGAAATCCTTACGAAATCGTGTCAACGTGTTTTCGCCTGCTTTCACCTGCTCACCAGCTGGAGTATTAATCCGCCAATACAGTAATCGGTTTTAGGGCTTAAATTCGTTACCATTTGAGTAAATATCAAGAAGGTTGTACTATTCAATAATTTTCCAAGTCTTATATTAAAATTTGTAGTCATTTTAACAATTACATAATTGAAGTACAGGGAACTAGTTTTTAGCACGCCAAACAGCCACTTGACTCACCCAGAATGGCGTCAGTTTGTGTGTCTGCTCAGTGGAGGAAGCATCTTGCTTGAGACTCTCTTGAACATAAACTATTTTTACATTTTTACAGTACAATTATTGGTCATTCTGAAATTTATTTTATATATTGGCAATATATAGTGCAGTGCAGTGTTGATTTAAAGAAAATAATCTTGAATTACACCAAGTGAACTTAAAATTTTATGGGTGAAATGGCAGCATGAAGCATGGGGTGACTTCTCTTCCACCCCACTGCCTTCTCTTCTCCCTTCTCCTTCTCCCCCACTTCTAATTCCCATCATCATCATCATCATCAACCAGGAGCCATCTACATGCACACCTCAAAGTAAGTGTACTTTACTGCATTTATTTTTAGTTTGTATGTAATTTTCGGTGAGCTGGAACCAATCACCCAAAATCCCAGTGAAACAATGGTTTCGGTTAACGAACGACCTTCTGGAACGAATTGTGTTCGTTAACCGAGGGACCACATTATGTCTTTCACCTCAAAATTTGCCTTGGCAAAAGCAGACTGGTACACAGGCATATAAAGCATCTGCTTTATCCTTTGCTTCATACTATGTAGGACCATGTTAATGAAATTTTATTAGTAAATAATCTTATAATTTTAATAGTTTTGGAGTATGTACACATCAGATACAACTACAATAGATTTTGATTCTTGAAATGGAACTTTCATTAACTTCAGAATGTTTACACTGAAGAGGAAGCTTGGTAAATTTGGCACTAAATTATTCTTTATAGAAAGAAATATTTGTGTTGTATTGCCCTTAAAGCCAGAGTGAAATTTCAGAGACCATCAATATGAGTTTTGATTATTTTGACCTAAAAATTCCACTAATAACCAAACATATTTTTCTTGGTAAAGTTTAATTTTACTGAAATGCATACAATTTCAGGAAAACTGAATTTCAATATTACTTTTATCAATGAAAGATACACACCAGTAGTTCACATTGTATTGTACTCTACTGTAAATATACTAGTTACTCTTGAAGACCATCTGAATAATTTGAATTTATGAACTATCTCTTGACATTCATTTTCCCTTTAATTCTTACTGAAAACTATTTCCCAGGTACTGTATACAGTATACATCCTCAGATCTTTTAAATTTCCTCTCCTAATCATGCCTCAAATTCTGACATAAATCTATAAAACATGACTCAAATTTCATTACAATAAATTGTTTCATATTACCCAATGTAGTGCAGTCTCACCAATCAAAACAAACATCTTCTTACCTCATTACTTGAACCTCAACCTGTTTGCCATAAACAGGACTAGAGAAATCAAATGAGTAAGATATGAAATGCACGAACAGTAAAAAGTGCTATAAATGACCCAATAGAGATTTGTTCCCTTTATGGAAAATGCTGTACAGCGAATGATCCATGTTTGTAACTAATATCAAAAGTGATACATTTACTCAAGTTTAACATACCTCTCTGACAGACAAAGCAATCCACAAGACTTATGGGGGTCTGGTTTTGTCTATGATTACAATGCAATCATTACCGAAGTTTGTGCTGGAGTTTTTACAAAATATCTGGAAAATACTAAAAAACATAAGTGAAATATTTAATTTATGAATTAGAATTTACAACTTCAAAAAACATACAATTAAAATAATTGACAATACAACGTTCTAACTACACTGTCTAATGATCCAGAATGCGAAGATTTCCAGAAACAATTTTATTCTCCAAGATGGCGCCCGGTGGGATATCAATACGGTCACCATGATTGGCAATAATAATGACTGTCCCCTGCAAAGAAGAGGAAATGTTTCAACTTTTAAAAGGACAGTTCATGCACCAATGAATATTTTAATTAGTGAGCTAAGACTAAAAGGTTAAATTTTATATAAAGTGTAACAGTGATATACTACATGAAGATCACAACAAAACACCACATCAATCAACTGTGAACATGAACTGGTATCTCCTAACTTCAGCAGCTCTTAAAATTGCACAGCTCTACACTGGATACTAATGCCATTTATATGAATTTAATTAATAATATTAAGTCACCAAATTGCTTATCTAAAGATGACAATTCTAGAATTACAGCATTTTGTACAGGTATTTACATAGAAGTTAGGGCAACATGATATGAATCTTGTGCAATTCCATAATATTCCAAGAACTTATTTAGGAATACTGTACAGTCAATCACTTGCTTAATGCACATGATGTGTTCCTGAAAATCCATAGAAAAACATCCTCTACTACTGTACTCCCTGCCCAATATTTTTTTTTCTTACATTGTACTGCCTCAAATATTGACAATGGTGGAATGTGAGCACAGAAACTTAGAGCTGTGAACAAGTACACAATAGGAATGTTGTCATGTACAGATCAAGTTACTTTGAAAAAGAGAACAAGCTGTGGATATAACTAGAGCCCCTGGCTCAAAGTTTAACATAATTTTGGAAACATTTTATTATTATTCGTTTGATTTTTTCAAGCACAAATTTTATGAATAGGCTTCATTAAAAATAAATATCGACATATTCAAATTTTTTTGTCAATTAAAAAAAAAAATCTGAGATTCATTTGAAATCAATCTTGGCATGTAACATAATTTTTTGTTGTTTTCATATTTTTTGTTTGATTATTTTTTTTCCCTGTTAAAAAAAATAATTATCAAAAAGCTTTGTTCGAAGTAAGTCTCAATGTTTAACATCATTTCTGATATTGCTTTAGTTGTCCTTGTGGCATGGTGGTAGCGATCCCTGTTCATAAGCAGAGGTCCAGAGTTTGATTCCCGACTAGTGAAGTATTGTTTGTTCAGTGATCCCTCGGTTAACGAAATTTCGGTTAAAGAATTACCTTCCATAAGAATCTTCAATTCGGTTAACGAAATTCTTATGAAATCATGTCAACATGTTTTCGCTTGCTCACCAGCTGGAATATTAGTCCGCCAATACAGTAATCGGTTCTAGGGATTAAATTCGTTACCATTTGAGTAAATATCAAGAAGGTTGTACTATTCAATAATTTTCCAAGTTTTATATTAAAATTTTTAGTCATTTTATCACTTATTTAACATAATTGCAGTACAGGAAACTAGTTTTTAGTGCGCCAATCAGCCACTTGACTCACCCACCAAGGCGTCAGTTTGTATCTCTGGTCATTGGAAGTAACATCTTGCTTGTGGCTCTCTTGAACATAAACTATTTTTACAGTACAATTATTGGTCATTCTGAAATTTATTTAACATATTGACAATATATAGTGCAGTGTAGTGTTGATATAAAGAACATAATTTTGAATTACACCTAGTGAACTTAAAATTTTATGGGTGAAATGACGGCATGAAGCATGGGGTGATTTCTCTTCCATCACCACTTCCTTCTCTTCTCCCTTCTCCTCCACCCCCACTTCTAATTCCCATCATCATCAACCAGGAGCCTTCTACATACACACCTCAAAGTAAGTGTACTTTACTGCATTTTTTTTACTTTGTATGTAATTTTCGGTGAGCTGGAACCAATTACAGTACCCAAAATCCCATTGAAACAATGGTTTCGGTTAAAAAAATTTTTGGTTAATGAACGACCTACTGGAACGAATTGTGTTCATTAACTGAGGGACCACTGTATATGGAAGTCCGCGTGCTATGGACTGATGAGATATACAGTGATATCCCCGTTAGCCGGAACAAATGGGGCAGAGCACTTCCGGGGATGAGAGATTTCCGGCTAACCAGACAACTTTCTCAAACCAGGAAAAATTCCTTATCCCCGGAATATTTTCCAGTTACTGGGAAAAGTTTCTGAGTGTCTAAACTAGAAATCTTGCACACACAGACACTAGCCCACTTCCCCAGAATGTTTCTGGGTGCTGGGGATGTTTTCCTTGAGTCTAAACTACCGGAGTCTGTAAATGCAGTTCTAATTAAGTTAGAAACTCCAATTCTTTACTATAATAATCTACAATAGTTCATCTAAAAGTTTGGTAAAATAAATATATTTGAAATATAAAAATCTTTATGATATGGGCGTGACTGAAACTGTGGCACAGCAAAGACTGGTATTTTTCACTCCCATGGAATTGTGGGGAATTAGTGGGTCTCGTGTACCTGACCTGAAGCAATGTCAGGTGGAGGTAGGGTGTTGGATTAGTGGTCTCATATTACTGACCATCTGATGGAATGTCAGGTCACCCTTTCTTGACTAGGGGATTAGTGAGTCTCATGACCTGAAGATGTCTTGAATAAATACAAAACCTAAAGTATTTTGAGAGAGATTGTGATATGTGGAGGAAACATCGTGTTTGTTGGTCTCTTGAATACAGAGTATTTTTACGTGTGTGGCTTCCATGACATATTAGAGAAAATGGTGAGGCCTAGCATATATATATATTTTAGAATTTGGCAGAATGATTGCATCTTGAAATGTGTTTGGTGGGAGATCATCTAATTTGGAAAGTGTAATAGGTAAATACTGTGTTTTATTACTAAAGAATTTAACCAAGTTTCTACCTCCCCATTCAGAGATGCTGCACAAATCCACATTGATAGATGAAATGATATCAGCTCTAGAAACAGATCTAGTTTGAGAATTAGGGGGAAGGGAAAAATGTGAAGAGTAGAATCATCAGCATAAGAATGGATAAAATTAGTTGAAGTGTGAAGTAAATCATTGATAAAAAAGAAGGAAGAGAGTAAGTGAAAGAACAGAACCCTGTAGGATATCAATCCAGGTTTTTGTGCCACCTGACACACACACATGATCTGCCTACTTACCCTCCTCTTAAACAACCATATTCAATGCATCCTTAAACTAAAGTATCCTTTTGCCTTCAGTATTCTCTGTACCAAAGCCTTTTCCACCCTGCAAAGCTTTATATCCCAATGTGTGTTCATATGGCCATTTTGGTCACCATCCAGTACTACAAATATCATTTCACGAAGCTCTGAAGAAATTTACAAATTAGAGCATGGGGTGATTATAATTGTGTGAACTGGAGATTCTAGGAATAGACTTACTTTTAGGCTGACTCCTTTGCCAAATGTAACATCACCTGATACAGTCAAGTGATCCAACTCCAACATGTCTGGGATTGAAGCAAATCTTCTTAGGAACTCCTGAAAGAAAAGTCACGTGAGAATAAATTACACATTTCTAGACCTGAGAATAAGCAAAACCACTGGTAAGAACAGAGGTTTACACACCACCACCACTGTTATCAGTTTAAACCTCTCGCCAACATGTAAGTTAAGGAACAGCAAATATTTTGAATTTTTTATTCAAATTTTAAATATTTACTATCATACCTCTAATAATGGATGAGATACATTCTTAATGCTGGTCCGCTAAGTGAAATATCTGTTAAAAGAGGCCATTATAACATGGTACTTATCGAGATGTGTTCTTGCCAATAGCGAAATTAGTCAAAATGATAAATAAATCCCTTTATATACAACTACAGTATTTTTGGAGAATGACTGAATAATGATTAAATGTTCCAAAATTGGTCATAAACATTATTAGAAAAAATGTTTCAGTTACTTAAACATATACAGTGGTCTCTCGGTTAACGAACGATTCGATTAACGAATTAGCTTGCATAAGGATCTTCAATTCGGTTAACGAAATCCATACGACATACACGTTTTGTTGCGAGCATTAGCTGATCATCTGATTGGCTAGTCCGCTATTACAATAATAGGTTCTATGTTTACATTCGTTTCCAGTGGAGTAAATATCAAGAAGGTTGTGCTCTTTAATATTTTTGCATTTTTTTAAATTAAAATTATTATTCATTTTAAAATTTAGTTAACATATTGATAATATATGCAGTACAGGGAACAATTTTTTTATGCGCCCATCAGTCGCTTGATTCACCTGCCAAAGCGTCTCTGTTTAACTTTGTTTACAGTGGAGGAAACATAATGTTTGTTGGTCTCTTGAATACAGAGTATTTTTACGTTTTTACATTAAAATTATTGGTCATTCTGAAATTTAGTTAACATATTGATAATATATAGCACAGTGCAGTGTTGATTTAAATAAAATAATCTTAAATTACAGCTAGTGAACTTAAAATTTTATTGGTGAAATTACTGCATCAAGCATGGGTCCAAAGAAAGGCAGTTTCTCCTCCATCCCCATTTCCTTCTCTTCTCCTTTCTCCTCCTCCACCCCCACTTCTAATTCCCATCATTATCATCAACCAGCAACATTCTATATACACACCTCAAAGTAAGTGTACTTTACTGCATTTTGTTTATACTTTGTATGTACTTTTCTGTGAGCTGGAACCAATTACCCAATATCCCATTGAAATAATGGATTCGGTTAACAAACGACTCTGTGGAATGAATCGTGTTCGTTAACCGAGGGACCACTGTACATACTTTTCCACTGCCGTCTCTGTACGAAAAGTAAACATTAAGTGGCAAGCAAGCCACTCAAGCACAATGATAATAATAATAAAAATGACTGTCACGAGGTGATAATGCTTAACAATTACATTCCATTAAAGACTTTGTTAACAATAATAATAAATTAAACTAAATTTAATAAGTAAAACTCCCCAGTTAATTTATTCAGACTTTGATGTGTGGTTTACCACCGCTGCCTTGCTCCTACTGTACACCTACTCCTCCTTCCTAGCAGCGGTGGGCGACGAGAGACAGCAGCCTGCCTTAACCCTTCATATCACTTTTATTTTCACGTCTATATTCATGAATTTTCCGGGCACCTTGGCTGGTTTACCAACGCACAATCTTGCAGGCCGTTTCCCAGATATAATGGGCATAAGATATTCACAAAAAACATGTAGATAGCAAAAATATGAAGAGATCTACTGCGATGCAATGGACACGAATCTTGGCAGGCTACTGTTTACATTTAGAGATGCTCGCTGACTGGCTTAGAGGATGTAAACAACAAAGATGCCGACAAACTATATCATCAGTTCTTTTTCACTGTTTGAAATTTACTTTAATGAAACTATAATTACTATTATACAGTATGTATTTATTAAATTAATATTTTGTTCCTGTCCATTAAACGAAATAAATTGGCCGAGGCTCCGTTAAAAGAGATATGATAGTACCTTTATTCAAATAAATCAAACTTCTTAAATTTGTATGTCTAGCATCTTCCTAGAGATAAGAAAGAACATATTCAACAATCAAGTTAGTTACAATACCAATGAAACGTAGCTGTATCTGTGTAAATTATGAAGTCATTATATTATGCTATTTTTAATACCAATGATATCTCTCTTCACCTTGACTCTGCCAAAGTGGTTGGGTCCCAACTTGACAAGAGGAGTAGTTTCAAACATGCGAAGAGGAGACATTGCCAATGTGCCTTGCTGAAGCCTGTAAAGGTTGCTCATCACCAGCAATAAATCATCAGTCTTCTTCACAGGCAAGAACCGGGAACGAGGAACATTGATACCTGTAATAATTGTTGAAGAATGTTAGTGAAAAGTAGAACATCTGTATAACAATACAGTAAGTAGCTGCCTCTTTCATTTATATTATATCTACCTGTATTTTATCTTTTAACATGATCACTCACCTTCAGTGACAAAAACATCATTAAATATTTAAGTTGACTTTTATCATCATCCTCATCACTGTTTTGTGGCCATTTTGCAAGACTGTATGGGTTAGCTGTAATTACCTGATGGTATTTCCACTAAGCCTAACATAACACTGTAGTGTACCAATTTGTCTTCATCAAGCTTAAATGCTTTAAATGCTTTTATGGCTGACTGTACATTATATAAAATCAAACTGTATAAAACATGTCACTATTCTCATCATTTTCAAGAAGTGTTCATAATACTGTATATGTGAATCTTGGCATCCTCTCAATGATTTAGGTTAACTGAAAGATAATGCCACATTTTATATGTAACATTAATTAGTTGAAATAAATAACTTTTATTAATGATGAAAAGTGTCTTTTCTGAAATTCATAAATTCCATACAGTATTTGTACTATACTGTACTGTACAGAAATATTACCTAATGCACCGTTGAAGCTCTTGATTGCACCACCAACAGCTTGCTCCAGCTGAATGATGTTATGGCCAGTATCCAGGTGTTTGTTGTTGATGATCACTTCCATGTCCATTGTCTCCTCTTCAAGGATGTGATTCACAGCTGGCAAGAATTTCACTGGTTAAAAACTACTGACTACTCTACTAACATCAAATAACTCATTTCCCCACTCAAAGAATATTTTGAGAATTACTCATCTGAGGAAAATGAATGTGTAAGGAGCAAGGAGATTAGGAAAGAATGACAATTACCTTCAGGAACTATAGAAACACTGACCAGACCATGATTGATTAGGAAGTTGATCATTCTTTGAACTGGGTCGACTTCTCTGATTTTTCCTTTGAGGAGATGGTAAAATTACATAATGATGTTTTCCAGTAAGATATCTTTAAACAAAATATTTGGATATATAATGATGGGAATTCTATTCTTTTATATAAAAAAATTAATAAATGTTGATACCGGAATCAATAAAATCAGTTCTAATTTCATTTGACACAATTTCTGAATACTGTACTTTATCTAAAAGTTTGGTTAAATAAATATATTTAAAAAACAAAAGCTCTATATGATATGGACATGAATACAGCTGCATGCTACAGCAGTGTGGTATTTTCCAAGAGTAAACGATGCAGCTCAGAGGAGCTGTAGTTATTTACGCAAATACCACTAAACAAATACAATAGTGTTCATACTGTAAAAATAATAATATATACTGCTGTACTAATATATTGTATATACAGTATTGTATTCACCCGCAGATCCTGTCATCTTTAGCCTAGAGTAGGCAGACACCTCACTTAGCGGACTGAAATACATAACTGTAATCACATCTGTAATCACAGGCCAATTACTGACTCTGCAGTGCGCCTCTTCGGACAGTGGATAGTTCACCATCCCTGGACTGAAGTACTTAGCGTGGATGACGTGGAAACCAAATGGATAAATTATACCAACACCACCACGGAAGCTCACCACCACTTCTTCCCCGAGAAGTCCGTCAGATCTCACCCAGCTGACTTGCCCTGGATCACACCTCGGATCAAAAGACTTATGCAACAGAGAGACAGAGCCTTTCATCTCAATGACCACATCCGCTACAGGTCCCTTCGCAACCGAGTCATCCGCGAAATACGCACTGCAAAGAAGTCCCACTACCCAACCAAATTACAACACCTGAAGCAGACCAACATCAGTCAATGGTATGGTAAGCTTAAAGAACTCTGTGGACTAAACAATAAGACACACCTCCTCCCCTTCCTCAGCCATCTCACTAATGTTGACGCAGTTGAGCAATCAAATAACCATTTCGCTACTATATGCCAGACGCTCCCCCGGCTTGACACAACCACTCTCCCTGCTTACCTACCAGCCCCCCTTCCCACTGACTTAGTAGAAGAATTTGAAGTAGCAAAACGCCTGGACAAACTAAAATTAAAATGCTCTTCCACCCCCATTGACTTACCAATGAAACTCTTCAAGGAGTTCTCCCCAGAGCTTGCTAAACCCCTATGCTCCATCATCAATGCTTCTCTCAGTCAAGCCAGATGCCCAGCTGACTGGAAGACCTCTTATGTATCACCAGTGCCCAAGTCAACCAGCCCACAATCCTTAAATCAGCTACGACCTATTGCAATCACCCCAATACCCAGCCTAATCTGTGAAAGTTTTGTGTTCGACTGGGCTTATGCTGATATTGCAGGAGTCGTAGACCCTCAGCAATTTGGCAATATGAAAACTTCCTCCACCACTCACTGTCTTGTCAGCTTTCTCGATTACATATACCGCCATCTCGAGAAATGAAAAACGTCTGTAGCTGTCACCTTCATTGATTTCACTAAAGCATTCGACCTAGTCGACCACAATATAATCATCAACAAAGCTATTGACCTCGGGCTTCAGAGAAGTCTTATACCATGGCTTACAGACTTCCTCAGTGACCGACGCCAAGCTGTACGCTTCCGAGGGGCTGTTTCCACCTTTCAGTCACTCACCTGTGGCGTCCCCCAAGGCACCAAGATGGGACCACTCTGCTTCCTTATGCTCATCAATGATGCCCTAAGAGAAACCCCTGCTCGCGGGAAATATGTCGACGACTCCACCATTGGGATCAGCGTCAACAATTCTGCTCCCGACTATGCCGCCCTTCAGGATTTATTGAACAGTCTCCAAAACTGGGCCACCAACAACTATGTCACCATCAACCATACCAAGACCATGGTTATGCACATCAACCTCTCCTCCGACATTGTCCCACCTCCTTCCATTACTTTAGGTCCGAACACACTCCAGGTTGTAGATTCCACGAAGCTCCTCGGCGACACCATAGACAACAAACTAAATTGGAAACCACACGTCAGTGAAGTTGTCAAATCCTCCAGTTTCCGTCTCCACCTCCTCCGCCGACTCAAGTCCCTCGGAGTTCCTGCACCCGAGCTCCTCAGTGTTTACACAACATTCATACTTCCCAAGCTCACCTATGCCTCCCCCACCTGGTCTTCCTCCCTAAATGCCACACAAAGTAAACACCTAGAAAAAGTGCAAAAGAGGGCATGCAAGATTATTCTCTCCCCTTCCTACTCCACATATCAAGAAGTGCTCAACACACTGACCCTTTCGACTCTCACTGACCATCACCACGACCTCATCTACAAATTTGGTAAGAAGCTTCAACACCATCCTCGACACCAGCTCCTACTACCACCTGAGATCCCTAGCCTGAGAATTGCTGTTCGACACCACAACCGCATCCAGCCCATACGTGCACGAACTGATCGCTATAAGAACAGCCCAGTCCCAACCATTGTAAAAATTATCAATAACTTGTAATAAACCAGTGTATTCACTCCCAGTAAATACTACTTCTTGCACTGTCACTATGTTGAAATGCACTGTAGTTTGAGCTTTTCCCCATCTAGTTACAGTAGTACCCCGCTTAACGCGGTCAATTGAACCCACAGGGTACCGTGTTAAGTGAAAACAGCGTTAAGTGAACAACAGAACATATGGGATTAATTCCAATAGAGACTGGCCCGACCCCCAAACTCCACTTTTTGAAGACACACAACTATGTTGTAGTAAAAATATTATCTTAACTTTATGATGGTATGCACACACAATTAATAATTAAGAGAAATATCAATAATATTAGGTTTTTTAACACTTACATTAGTAGAAAAGATGGCTGGGCACACGGGGATGGGGGGTTGGTTCCGAGGCAGAGGGCAGATTATTGGCCCTCACCTGTATCAATTGTATCACTATCCACCACAGAGGCTTGCAGGGCCTCTTTGTCAAACCCCTCAAAGTCCATATAAGTCCATATCCTCACTATAATTATCACTATCACTTACTTGGGCCGGCTGTGGTGGGTGGCGGGTGAAGAACTCGGTAATGTTTTGATGACTGGGCGACCTTGTGCGCATTGTGCCCGCGCCGCTTCCCGCGTATATGAGTAGATGAACCGCGTTAAGTGAAAGTTCGGTTCTGGCGAGGCACCGCGTATATGCGAAATCGCGTTAAGTGAAACCGCGTTAAGCGGGGTAATACTGTATTATATATCTTATTTGTATCACTTATGTTACTTGTATATTATTTGTAATTCGAAACCCATTCCCCAAATATGTAACTGTATATTTTCAGCCTTCTGGCTGCCAAGCTCTTTCAATAAGCCATTAATTATTATTATTATTATTTTTATCTTAACACTTGTGATGTAGGTAGGGTGGGAGATTATTGGATCATGTTACTAACTTGAACTGATGCAATGTCAGGTCACCCATTGTTGGGTGGGGGGGATTAATGGGTCATATGACCTGAAGATGTCTTGAATGACACAATTTCTTACCTATGAGGTATATACATAGTACTGTACTGTACAGTATTGTATATGAAAGGTATAGGTATTAATAAGCATAAATTATTACAGTAACGTATCTTTACTAATTCATGAAAACAAATAAACAATATTGTATCATGAATGAGGCAGTATTGACTGACAAACAATCAGTGAGATGCAATCCTTTGTGGGGAGAGGGTGTCACATTCCAATGGATCCTTCCCTCTCTCCCTCCCTTCCTAACAGCATTTGTTATAAGCTGCTAATTGTGTTAGAGATATGAATTTTATACTATCATGATCCTGAATAAATTCTCTATGAGACATTTCCAATTTGATATTCTTTAGCAAAATATTTCAACATAATATGATGGGGATTCCATTCAATAAAATAAAAAAGAAAACAAAAAAGAAAAGAAATATTAATGATACAGGAGTCAATAAAATCAGTTCTAATTTAGTTTGACACCATTTTTTACCCAAATAATCATGAAAACTTTATCTAAAAGTTTGGTTAAATAAAACTATTTTTATGGCATATAAGACACACTCCACATTTAACAGGGAGTATTTACGATACTTTTGTGTGGATTTGCTTCTGTAGTCAGTTATTTTAAAATAATATATACAGTACCAGTAAATGTGAGGAGATAACACTGCTTATCTAAACTGTTTCAAGAAAATCAGTTGTTATGCTGGTACTGCTCTTCTACAACTAAGGTCTTTAAGTGTATAACAAGGTTAAATAAAGAGAAAACTGTATACTGTACAGTACTATAAAGATAAAAATAAGAACAAATAAGTGTAGGAATATATTGTATGTGGAAGACAAATGTTTATCTGGGAGCAGCAGGCAGGGCATGGGTGGGTGGCTCTGTGGGGTACGGGTTATTTGGTTCACACTCAGGATGGGATGGAGAAAGGAAACTCACAATGTGCTCTCTGTATACATATTGTATTGGGTGTACAGTGCAGCTTGGTGCTGGGAAGTGGCAGCATGGTTACAAGCGTGATGTAGAGAGAGCTGGTTGGTGAGGGTGCTGAGAGGACAAGCTTGTGGGTCGCCATGGTCGCCGGCGGGAGCGAAGGCCGCCAGGCAGGAGGAGGAGGAGGAGGTGTTGCTTGCTGGTGGCTGTGAGTAGAAAAGCTAGGTCACCACGAGGTGAGATCATATATAGCAGAGGTAGGCGTGGCTTAATAGTTGACCTCCGTCATGTAAGGCGGCGCTGGTTGACCTAGACACGAGGTGCGGCTGGATTCGTGGGTCGGCTCGTCAGCGACAAATGGCGTTTGTAGGGGAGGAATCCACTACAATACTCCCCCTTCCCTCCAGGCGGTGTAGGAGACTTGTTATCTGCAGGGTTGCATGGCACATGTGAGGCAGAACGGGCGGTGCATGCCACATGTGAGACATAACGGCGAGGGCGTGGATGAGCCGGCCGCTAGGGGAGACAACTGTCTAGACACAAAAGATCTGTGGGAGAAGAGAGGGAGAAAAAGGGTGTGTGGGGGAGATGAATGTTGTGCTTCTGTCGCTGCAGGGGCAGCGTCCTCATGGTCACTGGTTGGGATGACTGGGACAGGGGCAACGTCAGGAGGAGGGTCTATGATAGGAGCAGGTTCTACAACAGCAGCAGGGTCCACGACAGCAGCAGGGTGCAGGACAATAGCAGGGAGTGCCCGAGGGAAAAAAAAAAACGGTGTGTGGGGGCGATGAATGCTGTGCTTCCCTCTCGGCAGGTACAGAGTCCTCAGATGCGCCTGCTGGGGTCGGTAGGACGTGGTGCTTGGGGCAGGAAGAGGAGCTGGTGTCTACTTAGAGAAGCAGTGCTGCTCTAGGGTGTCTAACCTGCGGTGTAGAGACAGTATCTGTAGAGCCGATGAGAGCTGCCTCTGTGTGGATAAGCCAGTCTTCCATGTTGCTTGAAGACTGGGAGAGTGATCGGTTTCTCCTCCATCCTGTGTGAGTGCGAATCTCTGGGGGTCACCATTTGTGGGGTACAGGATATTTTTCCTCCATCCTGTGTGAGTGCGAATCTCCGGGGGTCACCATTTGTGGGGTACGAGATATTTTGTTCACACTCAGGATGGGATGGAGAAAGGAAACTCACAATGTGCTGTCTGTGTACATATTGTATTGGATGTACAGTGCAGCTTGGTGCTGGGAAGCGGCAGCATGGTTACAAGCGTGATGTAGAGAGAGCTGGTTGGTGAGGATGCTCAGAGGAGGACAAGCTTGTGGGTCGCCATGGTCGCCGGCAGGAGCGAGGGCCGCCAGGCAGGAGGAGGAGGAGGTGTTGCTTGCTGGAATTTGTAGGGGAGGAATCCACTACACTCCCTCCCCCTAACTCCCACAAGATTCCTTTAACACTTCTTTATGCAATTCCACCACAATTCTCATATAATTTAGGATCATTTGATGCCAGGTTGATAAAATATTATCCTTAAAAAATAAAATTTCCTGGAAAAAGAATCCCACACTGAACACCATGAGTCATTTGTTTACAAAGGGCAAATAGCTGATCAGTTTACCACAATTACTGTCTTCAACACTTAACAAATTAGTACAGTACAGTTGTGTAATTATCATCACTTAATAAATACAATTGTAGTGTATTAATCACCCACTTAATTAATACCATTGTAGTGTATTTATCATCACTTTATAAGTAATATTGTAGTGTAAAGTATTATGGATCTGCATATACCCCGGTTTATTCATTAATCATGTCTAAATACAAGTAGCCAAACTGAGTCATCCCAAGGCAGTAGGCAGCTATCAAAAGGAGGCACTACCGCCTGGGAAGACATTGGAAGCATAATGTATCGTCCAATGGTAGACCCTGCTGCCATATGGCACCACGAAAGTTGTGAACAAGTCCCAGGTTGCTGATCTGATCTTCTGCCTCATTTACACACAATTGTAGGGTCTCAATTGTTTCTTTTACTGTTGACAACACAACATACATAATGTATGTCGTTTCTCACTCTTGATTTATTTATTATTTTTTTATTATTTATGGTTATTAATTTTATTATTATTACTATAATTTTATTTATTATAATTTTCATTAATTTTATTAATTACTGTATCATTATTTTTTTTCACCCCCAAGCCCTGATTGGGGGGCATTTTTAAGAAGTTATCTTCATATCAAATACTTTAGTGTGCTATAGTGATCCCTGTTTTAAGCTGGTCTACTGAAACCTCACATGAATGCATCTGAGTAAACAACCTTCTGATACAGCTTCTCCTTTTACTTTCAAATCGCATTACAAATTACATACAGTACATATTGTATTTTTTTTCTATTTCTGAAGATGTTATATTAATCATGATGAACCATAAGAGGCCAATCATATGAAAATATAATAGTGAATCAATAAACAAATAAATAAACCCGACAAATGTGGCAACACCTGATCAGCCCCAGTCTGCTTACAGTGTCTTAGTTCTCAGTAGGCCTATAGCAAATCTGATTAGACCCCTGTACATTGTTCAGTAAGTGTTGCTCATATCATCAGATTTTTATTTATTTATTTTTGTTTCATCTTCCCCATTTTTTTTTTTTTTGACCAGAGCATCTCAGAGTTCGAAAAAAGCAAATTCCGATTTATTGAAGTCCGTACGTACGTCACAAAATACACAAGGAACAACAAAAGGGCACAATCGAGAGGTAGCGAGATGGTGTGTGCACACCGAGGCTACAAGTAAGACTGAGAAGGGAAGTGCGCTGTGACTAGTGGTGGGAGATGCAGACTGGGTCCATTTTAGCAGCGGGAGAATAAACATGGCACTGAGAGAGAGACCAGAGAGAAATTTGCCACATCCAGACGTCGCCCGGACCAACCAAAATCCGGATCTGATAGGTCCGGAGGTGCAAGGGTTTACTGTATTTGTATTTATTCTAATGGAAAAGAAAACACCCAAAAAGTAAACAAAGGTTACACTACCATTAAATAATGATGGAACACTTACCTTCTAGTTTGATCCACAAATTGTTGGTGTTGAAAATCTTGAATGTCTTGACTGACTTGAAATCATCCACATGTTCCTTAGGTACCTGAGCAATCTCAAGCAATCTTAACTTTTCTTCATACTGAATCAATGTACCACCCTAAGAGAAGAGACCTGATGTAAGTGATCAGAGGTAACTATAATTAAGATAAAACTCTTTATAATAGAAAATGATGGTATGAGTGTTGATGAAAAAATTATCTGACATTGTAGTCCATGAGGCACAACCAATGCAGTGTTACACACACACACACCACCACCTACTATTACTACTTACTACTAATAATAATACTACTACTACTAATAATAATAATTTTTTTAAGGCCTCCAGCCTCCCCCAATAGCCACACCTTCACTGCCATTTTATTACCTTAAAATTATATAACCTAATACAAAAGTAGCTACCCTGGCTGTGTTGAGTTAGTTGAGCCGCAGATCTATGCGGCATTCAGTGACTGTTGTTGGCTTTGGGGCCGAAGATCTCGTTCCCCTGAGGCAGAGCAATGCAGACTTAAGCAGAGGAGGACAGTCGACATCTCAACCAGGCTGTAACATAACTTCTGGGCTGCTGCTTCCGTTCAGATAACACCTCCGCGAGTCTGGCATAGAAGCATCTTGCACTTGGTCCCATCCCACCAGAGGAGTGAAGTTGCCCTGATCAACATTCAGAATTCTCTCCCCATATGCCCTGATCTTGTCATTCTTGTTCTTCCTGTGTGCAACCTTTCGAGCTAGGTTACGAAAACATGCGGCCATGGGATCGAAAATCCTTATGTCAAAGAAGGCTCGCTGTCCCTGCGTCCAGAATTCTAGAGCACTGACGTCCACACGGGCTTCGTTGGATGTGTTTGAAAGCCTGTGATGGAAACGCTCACCGTCTAATGGAAGGAGGGTCGGTTCTATCCTAACATCATGACATATTTCCTTCAACATATTTGCTGTGAGATCCCTTACTTTGTACCTCATGCATACGAAGCCCCCTTTCTTGCACACCATTGGGAGGGCAAACCTTCTACTGGCCTACCATACCTTAGAGGCATGGCATCTGGAAATTCTTGTTTATTAAGACTGAAACCTTTCGCCCTTATCGGTAACATTGTTAGCCAGTTCGAGGCGCCCACCTCCTGCGCTAAAGCTACTTTTTTTTCAGGTTCTCTGGCACTTGCAGTATCAGTTGCTGCAGTTTATCACTCTGGGTGTGCTGTCAATCTGTCGTAATGGACCGTTGAATCTTGTTTAATTTGCTGGTATCCACCTCACTTGTTGCATTCTGAGCTATTATGTGCTCAGTGAGGGCTGCCGTGAGCTAGAGTGAGTTCTGATGTTCGGTGGCAGCAAACTCCTCTGGATTTGTCAATCCCATTCCTCCCAGTCTCGGTGGTAATGCAAGTATTGGCCTTTCTGCTGGGGTTAAGCGAAGGTGTTTCACTAATTTGGGAATAAAATTGACGCTGATGGTTTCTTCCAGAGGGTGGAGGAGGGTTCCGATATCAGGGATAGTGCTCATCAGGTAATTCTAGCAATGCTCGACTCCATGGGTGAATGCCGCAAAAGTCGCACATAGCTCTGTTTTAGCAATATCTGACAGAGTTTGGATTTCCTTCACCCACTCATTTACCTTTCCCGTTACGAGCTAAGTCTTGAAGTCCTTTCTGCCGATTACCGCACCTAGGTGTCTTTGGCCCTCCTTTGTTATTTTGACCTCACTTCCACAGAACACCTCCATTGCCTGTTCATAGTGTTCTGGCTTCACAATGAGGAAGGACTTGCTGGCATTTGGGTGGTACCCTATTTGTGGACCACGTGATGTTATCAGGTCTCACCACTTTTTGATGTCTTCCACTTTTCCTGCTCCTCTAAGGTCGTCAGCATAAGTCACTTCCTGGACAGCTACAGGAACATTTTCTTTGAACCAATCAGCTATTTTTACAGAAAAGGGGCGTGGCTTACGGGCCGGGTTAGCGTGGAAATACTATAACATAATATAAAATAAAGGATTTTTACTCATCAGAAATCAATTTGGTTTCTTACCTTAACATCAGCTCTTGTCTTGTCTGTAACTTCCATCAGGAACTCACACTTGCCACTATTCTCACCACCCAACAAGAAGTTTATGATGCCAAGATCAACAGTAGCACCCAAGTTGTCAATGTTACTGATAAACACATATTCCTTACCCTGTGGGATAGAGGAGTGCACGTAAGACAAAAACATCAGACACTATACTATATTAGTAATAATAATGAATTGAAACTCCTGATGTAATTAAAACACAAATTTTAGAACCAAAAAATACTTTTGCACATCAAGAAAATAAATACTGTCCAGTCACAGTCAAAAGACATCACCCACCCCTCCTACTACCATTCTTGTAAGCTCAAAGCCTTGATACATGACAGGTCACAAGAGGGAGGGGGAGGTACTGATGGGGGAGAGCTAGGGGTGGGGGACCCGGGCAAGGGAGGAGAGAGCAAGTGAGAGTGTATGTGGTCTTTAAATTATACTAACACCTGAAGAAGGCGTTAGGTTGGTGGATGTAGCTTGATGTTGACGGCCATAATGAACCTGGCAGTTGATATGCCTAAAACCCAAACAACCAACCAACCATATGGGACCACATTAGTGGTCCCATATGAGTTTTGTCGTGGTCACCGAGACTTAAAGAACTTATTGTGTGCATGAGAGGGTTAATATCAGCCTTTTTAATTTGCAACAAACTTTACACTAATCTTCTCTTGATTACAAGCATATTGCTTACCTGTTCAATAAATTTCTGCATAAGCCCTGAGTTTTTGAAAGACTCATAGAAGTCACCGTGACCTGGTGGGTACCACCTGAAAGAAAATAGTGTATTACATAAAAGGTAAGTGGGACATCCAGTACAGTAATTATCTTTATGGTTGTCTATGTGTATCCCATAAAACAAGTCATCTTAGATAAAAAAAAAAAAAATCCACACAAATATTTGTTATGCCAAAATTTACTCTTGCAGTACAAGAAAGTACAGTATATTGCAAGGTTTAGAAGTACCGTACAGGACTGCATATAATTTTCAAATATCAAGATACAGGGCTTCCATTTAATGATAATGTACTTTATGTAATTAATACCTAAATTACCGTATATCTCGGCCTACAAGGCGACGGGGTGTATAAGACGGCCCCCAAAATTTCCATTTAAAAAGTAGCTTATGAGCCCTATTCGCTGTATAAGACCAGTACCCCAAATGTGGCACTTACCATTGGGAGCTTACTGACCCAGTAGTCCTTTACCAACCATCCCATTGACCAGTGCTGTTTACACATCCTTGGTTTTTAAATATAAGGCCAATTCACTTCAAGTAATGGCATCAAATGTTACAGGTTGGTGTAGTGTAAACACTAGTGACTCACTTAAAAGTCTGTTATTTAACTTGAACTAATGTCGGTGTCGAATACAATTGTTTCATTTACTTGAAATGGATTTACCAATTTATTTATTTGTTTATTTATTTATTTATTTATAACATACTGTAATATATTAAACACACTGCAAGTATTTTCTTTAATTTATAAGCTTGCTTCAACCAGCTACAGTATTCTAATTCAATAGTGTTTCATTAGGATTTGAGTGAAAAAGATTACTGTACATACTTACTACATACATTTATTACACAAATATATATATATATATATATATATATATATATATATATATATATATATATATATATATATATATATATATATATATATATATATATATATATATATATATATATATATATACACACACACAATATTTTATAATCGCAGTCATGTACTGAATATTCTATGTAAAAAATGTAAATTTTAAATGAATTATTTCTAGTGTGGTCAACTTCCTACACAAAGACAGACTATAAATAGCTGTCTTATCTCCCCTCCCCCTCCATCCCTCTGTTCTGAGAGAGGTCTTGGTAAATAACTTTTGTTTGTTTATTTTCATTGTTTGTCTAATTTATCATGTTGTATCAAAGCAATATTACTAAAAGTTTTAGGCAGCTACCAAACAGGGAGATACTACCGCCTGGGAAGATATTGGAAGCACAATGTACAGTACAGTGACCCTACTAACACCCGTTAACTAATTTCATACAACTGCCTTCCATAAGGATCTTCAATTGCTTAACTAAAAATTTCCTAACAATCTTACAACCGACTCAACATGTTGCTTGCACTGACCGGCAACCACTTTAGTATCATCCGCCAATACATTAATCGTTTAGGCTTAAATTCTTACTATTTGTAAATATCAAGTTTAATGCGCGTATCCAGCTCTTAACGTTAAACAGTATGTCAGTCTCTCTCTCTTCTGTTTTCACTGAGGTAATATCTTGTTTGAGATCTCTTCAATCTCAAATTTTTTCAAAGCAAATTATTGGTCATTTTGGTAAATTATTTACATACGGACAACAGGCAGTGCAGTGTTATTTTAAATAGGAAACATCTTTTATTTATGGTTAGTTTGTCTCTGAAAAATACGTGTTGCCATTGGTTTTTGAATTCAGCATGGGGCCTAAGAGATCAAGAAAAGTGATTTAATCCAAATGAAGAGGAATAATAAAAAATGAACAAGGTATAACAATGCTATAAAGAATATGGTATGTCGCATCAACTTCTGTGTTTCACACTCCTTAAAATAAAAAGACAAATTGAAGAAGTAACGAGAGACAAATCTACAAAGAGTGTTTAAAGTAGATCTCTTAATCAGAGAACTGAGAGTAAGGCTTTATCATCTGATTAGGGAAAACAGATAAAAGGGTGATTCAGTTTCGGGTGATTTCTATCAGAAAGAGCCAGGAGATTTAGAGGAACATTTAAAGCGACAGACTAACCTAGTCTTTCTAGAACAGAATTTAAAGATTTTCACAGCAAAGGCTGGTCTTAAAAATTTAAGAAAAGAAGTGATGATTTAAGTGTTGTTAGGCATGGTAGCTGCGAAAAGGATAAAGATGCGCAAAGTTTTAATTGAATTTAAAAACTGATGGAAGAAGAAATTATCTTCCAGCAAAGCTTTCAATGCCGACGAACTGGGTCGTTTCTGGAAAAGGTCAAAAAGAACAGCTCATCACCAAGGATGAAGCCTTTACTTCAAGTATGTCCCAAAGAAAGAATTGCCTCACTTATTGTTGTCAATGCTTCAGGGCCTGATTGAAGCCTATGCTTGTCTACCACTCTGAAAACCCTAGGGTGTTCAAGCAAGAGAAAGTGGTAAGAAATGTTTTCGGCTTATTGAAGTCCGTATAAAAGTGGTGACAAGACAGTTCTTTAATGAATGGGCTATTGATGTGTTTTGGGTTCTCTGTCAAGAGCCACCAACCACCAATAAACTTCCCCTGTAAAGGTTTCTTCTCTCTATGGATAATGAAGTTCTACCAAGAATCCTGACCTGCCAGAAATTTGGTATAAATTTGACTTGTGAAAGTGTTGTTTTGGCTCCAAAACACTACATCACCCATACAGCCGTGGACCAGAATGGTGATCAGTAACTCAAGAAGCTGTGCACAAATAAAATGTTTGTGAGGACATCAGGCAACTTCCATTGATCCTGAAATCCACACTGAAAACAGTTCTGGAAGACACAATTCAACGTCCTGAGTATTGTAAAATTGATTGTGTCATCATGGCAAGAAGTCTCAATAGAACCCCACCTTCTGGCGGAAAGCATTGTGGCTTGCTACTGCAGTCCATGATTTTGAGGGATTTGAGGATGACATAAGAGTTGACCAGGAGATTGCGTCCATTGGTCGGTCATTGGGTTCAAAGTGGAGGAGAAGGATGTAAGAGCCAGGATGTCTCATGAGGAGGAATCTCATTCCTAATGACTCTGAAGGAACTGGGATGGTATGTTAATGGCAGAGGCTGACAGTGGTGAGGAGGAAATTGAAAGTGATGCATCTATATGTCAGCTACACATACAGATGTGATTGGCCACTGGGAGAAAGTTCAGGAACTGGTTTCAAAAGCACCTGTGGCGGGAAAAACTGAACTAGTTTTGTGTCATGCTGAGGACTCCAGTGCTCCTCTTTTAAACATAAGCACGGTGAGGGAGGACAGATGCCCCACAGACCACAATTGACACTTCTTCAGTAAAAGGCAGAGGGACCAAGATGCCAGTTTCAGCCTTCCACTTAAGAGAAGGAGAGAGGATGTTCATGTAGGAGAATCTGTCAGTCCAGAGGTTCCGACATTTTCATGGAAGGGGATTTCACCTTCCAAGAAGCAGTAAATGGGCTTTTCTCCACCTACTTCCTTCTCTCTTCTCCTGCACTCTCCCACTTCTCAAATGCACATCATCAACATCATCCAGAGCTTTCTACATACACACCTCAAAGTAAGTAAATTTTTCCGGCCATCCATTTTTGTTGAAGTAGGAAATTTTCGGTGAGCTGGAACCACTACTCAAAAACCATTGAAACAATGGTCTGTTAATTAACTTCGGTTAACTAACGACCTTCTGGAACGGATTGAGTTCGTTAACCGAGGGCCACTGTATTGTCTAATGGTAGACCCTACTTCCATATGGCATCACAAAAATTGTGACCAAGTCTTAGGTTGCTGATTTATCTTTCTGCCTCATTTATACACAATTGCAGAGTTTCAATTGTTTCTCTTCCTTTGACAACACAACATACATACAATATGATGTTTCTCACCTCTGATCTTTTTCCATTTATTTATGGTTGGTTATTTAAAATAATGCCAATTCACTTCAAGTATTGGCATCAAATTTTACAGGCTGGTGTACACTAGTGACTCACTTAAGCGTCAGTTATTTAACTAGAACTAATGTTGGTGTGAGTAAAATATTTCCATTTACTTGAAATAGATTTGCCGATTTATTTGTTTATTTATTTATTTATAATACAGTTGTACCCCGCTTTACGCGGTTTCACTTAACACGATTTCTCATATACGCGGTGCCTCGCCAGAACCGAACTTTCACTTAACGAGGTTCATCTACCCATATACGCGCAGAGTGTCCGGCTCGAGACGCTATTTTTAGATTCGCCCCACCCGCCACCCGCTGCTCCCGCCTGCCTCGCCTCTCCCTCCTGCCTCCCTCCGCCTGGGCAAGCCGCGCTGTAAGGTTGCGCAGTGTGTGTCTTCCACTAACGTAAGTGTTACACCTAACTTTTTGTTTTCCTAACCTAACCTTTATTTTTCCTAACTTAACCTTTATTTTTCTAACCTAACCTCTTCTATATTACTTGTTTGTTCATACCATCATAAAGTTTAGATAAAATTTTTACTACAACATAGTTGTGTGTCGTCAAAAAGTGGAGTTTGGGGATCGGGCCAGTCTCTATTGGAATTAATCCCATATGTTCTGTTGTTCACTTAACGCGGTTTTCACTTAACGCGGTACCCTGTGGGTTCAATTGACCGCGTAAAGCGGGGTACAACTGTATACTGTAATACATTAAACACACTGCAAGTATTTTCTTTAATTTATATACTTGTTTCGCAAAAAGGGAAGCTACCATTATACCTGGTAGGTGAAGTTGACCAGAAATTTATGGTGATCATTAAGGACCAAACTCCGAATCCATGACGTGACTTCTGTTCATCATTCTCATCCTAAATTTACCACTGTCGGTAGTTTCAAGAATTAACGCAGTCATTTACTGAATATTCTTTGTAAAAAAATAAAATTTAAATTAATTATTTATAGGAGATAAGTATTATGATCAGTAAATATACAGATATGCATTACTGACCACCTCCGAACACAAGGACGGCTAAAAATAGCCACAGGCGGTCACAGTCAAGGTCACTTTCCCTTTCTTGTCACTGGCAAATGGGGGTGGGGGGGTGATGATAGCAGCTGTGTTTATTACCGGGGTATATTGTTCTTTTACGGTATGTTAGACTGGTTTATAATACATTTTTATTATTTTAATATACCGGTAATCTTCATTTTAGTCCAGCTTCCCAAACATAAGTTTCAGTATAAAATAATTAGTGGTAGGACCTTGTGAGTGGTTAACCATGTTTCCATCACCACTCTTGACACGCTAAACCGCAATATTTAAGAGTTAAGAATTTTATCTCTGGTGCTTAAGACGACCCCCTAACTTTGGGCTGATTTTTGTTGTTGTTGAAATTCCGTCTTGTAGGCCGAGATATACGTATACACTTAACCCTAAAAGGCATACCCCACAACAATTATGGTCAAAATAACTGTAACTGGCCATCCCCACCCCCAAGGGGTTAAACCTGTAAGCTGTCCAGAAGGGAGAAAAGATGAAGGATTATGATCCTAGGATAATGCAAATTACACAACAATGTTTTTAAGACCTCAAATCACAATAACTAACAGACAAATATCATGATTAGTGAAATGAAATACTTGAGAGCTCCTGCAAAATATCTTCTATGATGTTGCAAGCTCTTACAGTGATATCCCTGTTAGCTCAAACAATTGGTGCAGAGCACTTACAGGGATGAGAGATTTCCGGCTAACCAGACGACTTTCTCAAACCCGGAAAAATCCCCCATCCCCGGAAATATTTCCGGTTACTGGAAAAACTTTCCGAGTGACTAAACTATGCATATTGCACAGAAAAACACTAGCCCACATCCTCATAATGTTTCTGTGTGCTGGGAAGTTTTCCAAGAGTCTAACTAAAAATCTAAAAATCTAAAAATCTATATGATATGGTGTGAATGAAGCTGTGTGTTAGAGCAAAGACTGGTATTTTCCACTCCCTTGGAGCTGTGGGGGATTAGTGTATGTCATGTAACTGACTTGATGGTGTGTGTGTGTGTACTCAAATGTACTAAGTTAATTACTAAAATTATCAATCTTATTAGAAACGCTTGGTAGAGAATTTGTTAAGGATCATTATGGAATCAAATTCACCTCCCTATCACAATTAGCTCCAGTTGAGTGAGGAGGGGGGGGCAGGGGGGACTGACCACGTGACCCTAAACACCTGCACATCACACACAAACAAACCCTCCAAAACACACCCACTGCATATCTGCTTGTGTGTGACTGCCTGGTCATTTCTACTGTACAGTCGGCCACAAGAACAAGTATACACCTACAGTTCGTGTTTGAGACAAAATATCTGGTAACACTGTCCTGAACAGAACAGACAAATTACAAAATGACCTGTAATTTATGTTTTATTCCTTCATATATGTTATAAATACATTTGTTGTGAGTGTTTTACTAGTGTCTTGTGTTTATATTATAAGTAATATATTTTATCCAATGGTAGTAAACTTGTTGCCGAATGGGATTGCACTTACTATACAGCTCCCTCCTCCTCCCCCCACCTTTTCTCTCACCCTACTTTTTGTTTTACTGATGTTTGGATTAGTAAAGGAAGGAAGAGGAGTAAATAGAAGAATAAAGAAGAGGAAACAGAAAATAGTTAGAAATAACAGGTGAGGGGGAGCTGAGTTTCATCATGCATCTGGATGCGCAGTTTCAAAGTTACCAGACCATTTTATGACCTTACAGCTACAGTGTGTATACTTATGCCTGTGGCTGACTATACATACACTACCTAACATTAAATACACACTACTTACAGTATTTTCACATTAATTTTACTACATCTATAACCATTGTTAGTCAAGACTTCAATGTACACAAAATCAATGCAATAAGCTCTAATACCCGCTCATTTCATCCCAAATGTTAATGGATAATTGCTTTGGAAAAATCCCTAAATGGTAACTGGAAGGTGACGTGAATTAGTTCTGTCCATATGGCTATGAGATACCGACTGCACCCCACCCTCAACAAGAGATCACCACACGTACGTGTAAACATAGTTCATGAAACCTGTGGCATGATGGATGACTGAATAATGAGTAATACAGTATAAAATAAAGAGATTTTCAGGGAACTTTTTGAATACTGTATATGTACTGTATGTATACAGTATTTATGAAACAAAAAATAATAATGATTGACCATCCAACTTCTTGCAATTTATAAATCTATTAATTTCTAATTTCCATTCATTTTCATTAATGCATTTTATAAATTTCAAGAATAGGGCCCTAGCTATTAATACCAATACAGCATTACACACCAACACACACCCTCCAACATTTATTATATTATATATTCTTGTATGATCAGCCACTTCTGGTGTATGTTTTATCATTGATAATATAAAATACTAAATACAGTGCAATAACAACTTGATAAAATCACACAGGAAAAGGGGAAACAATGGAGCACCTTAGCTTTCGTCTTTATTCAAGACATCTTCAGAGACAAATGAATTACAAGAACTGAGAGAGAGCTTATGTATACAGGGTGACCTTACAAAAGATGAGGTCAGGTCAAACACATGATATCCACTAATCCACATATCACCACCATCGCAAACATAAGAGGAGCTTATAAGAATGGGCGATGTAACTAGTCATATCAGGTCAAAAATATGAGACCCACTAATCATCTATCCTACATCTACCTTGAATGCTTTTAAAGCATTTTTAATCTTGGGGCACTGACAAATAAATTTGTGTAACATAGTATCAGTTTTGTACTGACCATCACTAAGGTTTATAGAATTCATTTCCCGAATCAAACTTGCTTTAACCAGAAGTCTTTCTGTGACACATGATTTATACACTTCTAAACTGTTTTCCAAATCAATGGGATGATTATTATTCCTTATATGAACATGTACAGAAAAATTACAAAATATTGCATTATGAAACTGGGTCATCTTGTATTGGAGGTTTGGAGAGGGAGGGAACTGTCCGCACAGCCCCCAAAAGGTTCATGCCTTTCCCCTACTCCTCCCCATGCCTGCCATTCCCATTGTAAAATATTTTACTTTGTTTATTTTTATTTATTAATTAATAAATATATGTTTATTGTAATAATTTGTGCTTAATGTGTTTAATATTTTATATTAACCATGGTAAAACATACACCATAAGAGGATCATCATCATTGGTGAAAAGGGGAGTGCCAGCCTCCTTGCCTCCCTGCACCCCCCCCACCTCCACCCAACTCAGTGTCTCACACAAAAGACTGTAAACTAGATGTTGTGTGTGTGTGTATGATGTGGTGTTTAGGTATTAGTTAATGAATAATAAATAAACAATATTGTATTGTTAACGACAGTACAGTAGTTTGATGAATAGTAGTGACAATTGCAGTACGCTACTATTCATCAAACGACTGTCATTGATGATACAATATTGCTTATTTATTAATTAATACCACAACATCACACCCAGACACCCTAACACCACCCACACACCCCCATATTGTATGACATAAATTTATGTGTGGTTAACTAAGTGGTGGTGAATTAAAAGATCAGCTGTTGAGGAGCTTAGGGCTTGGCAACACACACTCCTTTCTAATCACCCACACCATTCTGCTTTATCACTCCACATTTTAAAATCCTATGCAACGTAATGTTGAAGGGATATAATGCGATAAGTACATGTATAAAAAATACTGTATTTTAGCTTTCAAGTTTATTCAAGACATCTTCAGGCCCTCAGACTCACTAATCCCCCACCCGACAATGGGTGACCTGACATTGTATCAGGTCAGTAATATGAGATCACTAATACCCCACCCTACCTCCACCTGACATTGTGTCAGGTCAGTTACACAAGACCCACGAATCCCCCACAGCTCCAAGGGAGTGGAAAATACCAGTCCTTACTGTAACACACAGCTGCATTCACGACCATATCATATAGATTTTTAGTTTAGACTCTTGGAAAACTCCCCAGCACACAGCAACATTCTGAGGATGTAGGCTAATGTTTGTCTGTACAAGATGCATAGTTTAGACACTCGGAAAGTTTTTTCAGTAACCGGAAATATTTCTGGGGATGGGGAATTTTTCCAAGTTTGAGAAAATCATCCGGTTAGCTGGAAATCTCTCATCTACTGAACAAAAAAGATGCAGCCTCTGAGAGGACAATTCAACTTTCATTACTGATTTGACTAACGCATAAAATCTTTATTGTAAATACTGTCCTGATACTCACGCTTCAAGGTCAGCTTCTACACCAGACGTCTTTGCTATTGGCATTAAAGATTCCTTATTGATACGTGGATACCTTGACTGGTTGAAGGTGTGGGTCTTTACCTGAAAGGTTAAATATAAATTTATATTAAAATGATCTGCATAAATGATATTTGCTTCCTACTTGTTATTGCAGATACTGAAAGACTGCAAAAAAGAACAAATCACATTTTAAAAACAATGAAAATAACTCATATGCACTCAATCAGAACCTTTTAGATGAGGGGTGGCCAACCTGTCGATTTTTCACTTATAAAATGTCACTGACTTGACTTAGGAGAATATTATAACTTGCAAGATAGCAATTAATTTGAGTATAAACATCCCTTAGTTTGCAGTAGACATAATAATAATTTTAGTAATTAACTTAGTACATTTGAGTACAGGTTATGATAATTTGTGCGGTTGCTCAGTAGTTGTGGTTGCAGTTACGAAGCTTCATGACATCACTAGTGTATAATGAATCTCCATATGTCACATCAAGCCATCATGTATCAATTATTTAAGCAAATACAGCTCCTCCCCGACTTACGACCTACTCAGTTTACGTCCACCCGCACTTACGACCTGCCTCAGTCATACCAAAATTTGGTCAAATTACGTATTTTTGAGTCCCAAAGTCAGTACACAGACAAAATTTTCATCTGTAATTCACTTTAAAGTGGCTGGCAAGCTTAAAAGTGAGTGTTTTGTGGTGCTGAGAAGAAAAAGAGACCTCCATTTTAGATTTTCTATGTACAGTACAGGTATTATTTAAACATTTCCGACTTATGACCTGGATGTCAGTCCCTAACCCCGTCGTAAGTCGGGGAGCAGCTGTATACAAAAATTTGAAATTTCTCATAACCTTAAATAACAATGAATAGTTTATTATTATAAAAATTATACCTTTTGTTTGTTTAATAATTATCCTGACAGTGATACAGCCGAAAACAGATCCACCAATCACAATCACCTTCACATACAGTCTTCCTTTACCAAGTATTGCATACACGAGACCTAGGGTGGGGCCAGTGAATCTTTGGCTGACTGTACCTAACAGCATTTTTTGGATCAACTTACCTTTGTGAATCAATATTTTCACACATGAAACATATCAAATCCAAATACCGATCAAAAATGTCAGGTGAACACCTGGATGCTTGCTTGAGGCTAGCAGTCACCGCCTACAGTCCTAATTACACAAAGCTGGCAGACAAATTGCAATGCTAACCATCTCATTAGTAAAGTATGTGTATGCTTTTGTCATGCTAACAATATATCATATCACTCTCTCCCTCTCTGCATATTTTATGGCAATGGAATGAGAGGGGGGGGGGGTGTTATGGGTGAATATTAGGCTGGTAGATCGCTGGGGAAAAAGTAGATCCTATCACACAAAAGGTTGGCCACCCCTGTTTTAGATGCACAGACACGCTTGCTGTTTATGCATGTATGAAGTTATTTCTTTAGAAAATATCACAAACCATACATCATAAGTACAAAAAAGACCTGTCAATGCTTCACCAAGAAACAGCCAAATAAGGTAAAGATGGTAATTTCTAAGTTGAAATAGACACTAGTGTATTAAACAACATGTGCATCAACAGTAGGTGATGATTGGCTGTGAGAAGGAAAATGCTGGATGCTGGTTGTGCAACCAAAGAAGTTTTTTAATTGAAAATAAATGCTTTCTTACCTTATAAAAAGACCCCCAAAATGGGAAGGAACAAGTTTCTTGTAATATTATTTTTACTATGTTATGGTCCCAAACATACAGATGGCTGCTACAATGCAATAACTCCAATGTTAACATCTGTGACTGATTTTGTTTCATCCAGAGAAAAAATCGCAAAAAATTAATATTATTCTGAAAAACTTTTTCCTTTCTATGTTTGGGGGTTATTCATGAGGTCAAAATACATTTACCTTCTATAGAAAAATTTACTCAAGTTGCTGGTTAGCGTGGGCAACTATCATTCAGTACTCTATTATCGCTGAATCTGTGGGATGCTGAGTCAGAGGCAGCAGGGTGTATTTTTATTTATTTATTTTTTTTGAGGTTGGGTGGGGACATTCTTCAGTATGAACAGTTGTCCACAAGTAAGGAGTTCCAACCCTCACTGGCCTTTCTGAACATGTGGCAACATTGGAGTCACTTTATGAATGAATCAGTAATGTGAGGAGAACAGTTGTACGTTACTGATTCATTTATAAAGTGATTCCGACATTATCACATGTTCGGAAAGGATGGCCAATGAGGGTTGGAACACTATACTTGTGGGCAAGTGAATACATTTCTTTATTTCTCTATGGTGTAGAACAGGCATAGGCAACCTGCGGCCCGTGGGCCATATGTGGCCCGAACCATGTCTTTGTGCGGCCCGCGAATTGATTGAGAAATTCTTTTTAATGTGGCCCCGGGTTCAGATAGATGCAGCCACTTTATGGCGAGTAAAGCAATATTTATTAAAAGATTAATATTCACACAGAAATTCATTACTATTTCATCAACAATATAAACATTTTATATTGTGTGAGATTATGGGCAAAGTTTGGCATGATCTGTTTGATGGATTAACTGCTATGTGGCAGTGGGTCACATAGTCTAAGTGGGGCCACGGTCGGTGGTCACACGGGTCAAATGTAAAGGTCTTTTCGTTGTTGACAGACTGTCTCTCTCCATAGTACCTCATCCTTCATGCCTGGCTGTCTGCTCTATCTATTTATTCTTGTGTGATTAGATCTATATGCATATGTGCGCTCATAACCACATAGGAAACAAGAAAACACGAAGTGCCAAAGCGCTTTCGTGTAATTCACATCTTCGGGGGTGAGTGCAGACTAAGGAGTAATACTTGACAAAGCTAATATAAACAGTAAAGGAGAGTGAGATCAAGTCCCTAGGGACTTGTAACCCTTGTATCTCTTGTAGGATATAAATTTCACTAGGTTGGCCCACAGTAAAATACCTACATCATAATGCCACCCACGGCTGAGGAAAGATTGCCAATGCCTGGTGTACAAAAACAATGTATACAGTAGAAGTCCAAAAATCCGGACTGCTTGGGGATTGGGTTCGTCCGGATTTTCGGATTTTCCGGATTCTCGGGCAGTACTTTTAAAATTCAAGTTTAAGGAGGAATAAAGAAGAGATGAACAGGTACATTTTGATAGTTTATTCATTAGCAAATAAAGCATGCTTCATTTATCAAAATGAGCAGTTTTAAGGGAAAAGCTGTGAATTCTAGAATTTTATTCTTTGCCTCTTTTATATCATAAATAGTAGACTTTCCAATGTCGTATGTTTCCATTAGAACAGTATCGCTGACACCATGTTCTAGTTTCTTAATTATTTCAAGTTTGTCACTCAATTTCAACGTGTTCTTCTTTCTCTTCACACAACGAAGTTTATCTACTTTAGGAGCCATTATTATGGGATTGTATAGTACAGTACTCTGTAAATGAAAAGAGTAGGACTCAAAATTACATACGTTGTCACAGTTTGATTGCTCGTTTTAAAGTGGTGACCGCGTGGTCGCTTGTTGTCGCTGTGCAGCTGTGGCACTCACGCATGCGCACATACACACAAAAGCCTGCTAAAAAAAAAAAAAATGAATTTCCTAAAAGTCCGGATTCTCGGGTGGTCCGGATTTCTGGCATCCGGATTTTTGGACTTTTACTGTATTTTTTTTTTTAGTGTTTAGCAAGTAAATAAATGTTGAGGCATTTTTAGGTGAAGTTTTGGGCTTCCAGTCCTTAACCCCTTATTCTGTATTGAATTACATGTACTGCATCTTTATACTGAACAGTACAGTGGTCCCTCGGTTAACGAACACAATTGGTTCCACAGAGTAGTTCGTTAACCGAAAATTTCGTTAACCGAATCTATTATTTCAATGGGATATTGGGTAATTGGTTCCAACTCACACAAAAAGCACATACAAAGTACTGTATACCAGTAATAGAATTAACAAAACATTAAATATAAACTAAATATAGTACTGTACTGTACAGTATGCTGTACAATAATAAATAAAATACAATAGAATACTGTATTTTAACTTATTTTGAGGTGTGTATGTCGTATTACCGGCAGCTTTGTTTACATATCAAACAGCTGATTGTAGAGGCAGTCGATGATGATGCCATATTCTTTACAGAGTGTATTGGTTCTAATGCCTTCTTCATGTTTCATAATAATTTCTGCATTGTATATTATAAATATGTTAACTAAATTTCAGAATGACAAATAATTTTAATGTAAAAACACAAAAATATTCAAAAGATTAACAAAATCGATGTTCACTCCACTGTAAACAAAGTTAAACTGAGAAGGGTTGTTGGGTGATTCAATCAGCTGATGGGTGCACAAGAATTGTTCCCTGTACTGTATATATTATTAATATGTTAACTAAATTTCAGAATGATCAAAAATTTTAATATAAAAAATGCAGAAATATTCGAGAGACCAACTTTCTTGATATTTACTTCACTGGAAACGAATGTAAACATAGAACCAATTACTGCATTGGCAGACTAGCTGATCAAGTGATGCGCACAAAAAAACGTGTTTGTCGTAAGGATTTCGTTAATGGAAGTTTTGTTCGTTAATCGAACTGAAAATCCTTATGGAAGCTAATTCGTTAACCAAAATTAGTGAATATTCTCAGCCCCTAACATGTGAAATAATCCATGGTAATGTATATTTATAAAATGCACGATGAATTGACATTGAGAGCCTTAAAACAATCTGTATACAGTAGTCCCTTGCCATTTGTGGGTTTACAATTCACGGTAAGCAAATGGTGGCTAGCTTGCAAGCCTTTTCCTGCAGCATCTCCTGTTGTACTCTCAAAACTTTAGTGTTTCTGTGTGAAAATGTCCCCTAAAAGACTGCCTAGTGTTAGTGCTAGTGATGCTAGTGGAGTGAAATGTAAAAGGCAGAAGTCAGTGACAAAAAAGTTGAATTCTTAGATAAGTTAAAAGAGGGGAGGAGTGCTGCCGCAGCTGGTCGGTTGTTTGGTACAGATATACAGCAGTGCACTAAGGTAATATAAGTTGCTATTCACGGTTTTGCCTATTCACACCATTCTTTGGAACCTAACCCCTGTGAATAACAAGGGTTTACTGTACTTACCTGGAATCCTTGGTATTTGCGAATGACTTTCTGGGTATCATCATCAGTATTGAAGGAATTCATCAGCACTAGAGGGACATTACAGCCATAAGTCTTGTTTAAATGCTGAAATTGAGGGAATAATATTAAGGATCACGACCCTTACTAATGTATACAGTTAGAGCTGGTTACTAGGTAAAACATGTGAAATGTTCTAGAGACTGATGAAGGGTTTTTGTCATGATAATCAACAGAACATCTTTAAGTTAGGAGATTTTGAAGGTAGTGCAAGGGGCCATTTATTTCAACTAAGTATAATGAAGGCTGTTTCTTCTAAAAAAATTGCCAAGTACTCTTTCATTAAATGAACTGAACTAATAACAATCAGTTCACTTTAAATGAACATATAAAACATTAATACTGACAGCCTTCTCAGTTTTAATTATTGGATGTTTCTTCAATACACTAAGAGAGCATCAAAACAGTACAACATATATAAGATCAGGAAATTTAATGGAATAATGAGTAAAACAATACTGTACTTGTAGATGCCTGTGAAACAAATACTGTACTGCACTGTATCTCATTCATCTATCTATATTGTACTGGAAACTTCTAAGAAAAATGCCGAAGAGAATTTTACATTGACTAAATGAAAATGAAAATTAAAATATTGTTTAAATTCTTAAGTAGACTAGCCAATTTTCACTATGTAGGCATTTGACTATTTTTCTATTAAATTATTAAAAATATCCAGCCAAACCCATTCCTAAGTGTGCAATGTGTGTGTCATGTTACATAGACACTTGGTACAGAAAAATAATAATATTGTATTTTCTAAGACACAAACAAGTATTTTTAGCGAAATATCTGTACAGCACTGTTGACATCACACAACTAGGAGATATTCTCCAAAAAAATTATGCTTTCTTATTACCAACAGATTTAAACATTACAGTATACGACAAAACATCTTCCATTGCAGGTACTGTAATTACTGTTCACAGGATCCTCAAATCCAATTAACATTGGGATCTACACTACAAGATACAACCATTTCCTACAAGACTACTAAAGTACTGTAAAGGAATACATCGCTATTTGCAACCAGGCTTATCTGCAATTTATATTTTAAAACCCTTAATCGATATTCGCAAAGAAAAATTACGATAACCTACAGTAGTATTTCAAACCGCACGGGCTGTAATCTACAAATTTACCGAAAATTAGACTTACTGTAAGTCTGGTTGTCAATAACTGTTTTCACTGAGATGATTGTTATGTACTGTACTGCAAAGTGTTATATGCAAGTCACCACAGAATTTGTCTTATGAACAAAGAGAAAACTGTATACTGCACAGTACTATAAAGATAAATATAAGAACAAAAAAGTGTAGGAGTATATTGTATGTGGTTTTTTTTTACGATTAGCCCACCCGGGCACAGATCACTGACCCACATCGGGGCCTGAGGGGCGAAAATGTAGTAATAATAATAATAATAATAATAATAATAATAATAATAATAATAATAATAATAATAATAATAATAATAATAATAATAAAGAACCATAAATACAAAAAATGAAAAAAAAGATCAAAAGTGAGGAACAATATACGTATGTTGTGTTGTCAATAGTAAGAGAAACAATTGACACCATGTAATTGTGTGTAAATGAGGCAGAAAGTCAGATCAGCAATCTGAGACTTGGTCACAATTTTCGTGATGCCATATGGCAGCAGGGTCTACCATTAGACAACACAATATGCTTCCAATATCTTCCCAGGCGGTAGTACAGTGGTCCCTCGGTTAACGAGCACAATCCGTTCTAGAAGGTTGCTCGTTAACCGAAAAACTCATTAAACGAAACCATTGTTTCAATGAGTTTTGGGGTAATTGGTTCCAGCTCACCGAAAATTGCCTAAAGTCAACAAAAAAGGTAGAAAAGTACACTTTGAGGTGTGTATGTAGAAGGCTCCTGGATGATGATGATGGGAATTAAAATGGGGGTGGAGGAGAAGAGAAGGCATTGGGGTGGAAGAGAAGTCACCCCATGGTGCCATTTCACCCATAAAATTTTAGTTCTCTTGGTGTAATTCAAGATTATTTTCTTTAAATCAACACTGCACTGCATTATATATTGTCAATATGTAAAATAAATTTCAAAATGACCAATAACTTGCTTGCAAACACAGAAAAAAGCATTTAGTTGAAGAGAGTCAAGCAAGATGTTACCTCCACTGAAAAGACACAAAGACTGACGCCTGTATGGTGTGTTGGCAGGCTGGATGGCATGTTCAATAATTGTTAAAATTACTAAAAAATTTAATATTAAACTTTTAAAATTATTGAATAGTATAAACTTCTTGATATTTACTAAAATGGTAAGGAATTTAAGCCCTAGAACCGATTACTGTACTGGCGGACTAATACTACAGCTGGTGGACCGTCAAATGCAAGCGAAAACATGTTCAGGTCGGCTCGTAAGAAACTCGTTAATCGAAGGATTGCTCGTTAACCGAAGTTAAGAATCTTATGGAAGGTAACTCGTTTACCGAAGTTAAGAATCTTATGGAAGGTAACTCGTTAACCGAAATCTCGTTAACAGAGGCGCTCGTTACCCGAGGGACCACTGTACCCCCTTGTTGGGTAGCTGCCTACTACTTACTACTGCTTGGGATTTGAGCATTGCTGAGGCACCCATATATTGCACAAATAACCATAATTGTTAATACACTGGTCCCTGGACCAGACGCAGGTACACACAGAGGTCACTAGACGACGATTTTACAGCAGTGACGTCAATGAGCTGTGCATTGTGGGTAAAACAAGCGCTCGGTGAACTTTGGCTACATCCCCCTACCAGGCCAAACTGTGTTATTGTTATTTTTTAACTCATAAATTCTGGTAGGTATATGTAATTTTATTCTTTCTGCTTTTACTGTTACATGCATACACAATTGTTCATATCAGAATGTGCAAAAAAAAAATAAAGAAATAATTATCATAAGGTAAAAAACTTAGAGAATAAACATTTATCACGTCTGCAGGAGTTAGTGTGTTGATCATAGGAGGGGAAGGGAGCAGTGGGAAAGTGGTGCAGCATCAGGGATCTCAGCCTCCCCCTCCGAGTTCAAACTGTGAGCTGCATTATTGTTATTTTTTAACATAATGATTTGCCAGACAAGATGACGGTAGCAATGTGTGTGATGGAGGGTGGGGTAAGGTGTTTTGAGAATTGCAATTAAATGCCAGGTAGCGACGTGTCCTCCTAATATTACGTATTTAAGTAATTATTAGATGTTTTAATTGCCTGTATGTTGGCCTGGCGAGTTAATGCTTGGCATTTATGTACCTCGGTATAAAGTTAGACGTCGCATTCTGGTTTTTGAAAAAAAAACGTCTTTTTTTGTGTGTGTGTTTTTTACTGTATGTGCACACATAATTGTTCATACAGAATGTGCAAAAAAATTAAAGTAATGATTAACATAAGGTCAAAAGCATAAAAGGAATAAACATTTCTTACAAGCACGGTAGTTAGCATGCGGATCGTGGGAGGAGGAAGAGGGAGCAGTGCAGTATTTTTTCTTCTCTTTTATTTATTAGTATACAGTACATGCAACATTGGTCCGTAAAAGTCTCAGATTATGAGGAGTGTACATCGAAAAATATGTGGTGAAAGTTACCGGCTGGGAAAGCATCCCACCTTATTTACAATAATTCTTATGGGAAAAATTTTCCTAATACGTACAGTATTTGCAATGACTTTTACATATGCATCCTTTGCAAAAACTTGGGTATTTTTGTTTATATAATGAATCACTAACAGCCTGGGGTTGTTCTTTACAATTCTGACTCCAAGTTTAAGTAAAGTGTCACAGATTACAGTACAAGATACAGTGATGTGTAGAAAATGGAGTATATGGCAATCTTTGGGATGTATAACTTTCTCAACTTACTCTAAATACAAACATCAAAAGACTCTGTAAAATGCTATGGTGTATTTTCCATAACATCTCTCCATATCCCAGTACAGTACTTACCTCTATCTGCTGAACGGTAAGATCAAGGAAGGTCAGCTCAGAACGAACAGGGATAATTGACTTGGGTCCTTGGCAACCCATAGAAGTTCCAAGGCCACCATTGAGCTTTACAACTACCAACTTGTTGAGCATATTCTTAACATCTGCAGCATCTGGAGAACTTAGGTCAGAGTACTTCCACACCTGCCAACATATACGATAAAAATCATTATATAAGCTTAACACATTACAGTACTGTATATTAAAGATGTGCCAATTATCTGGCAGATATCCAATATCTGGCCACTTTTTACTATTGGGCACATAGCTAGATACCATCTTTCTATCTTTCCAAGTTTTCAATCATTATGGAGAAAACTATTTATACCAGATACTTGCATACAATGATGGCTCTTCATTGATGCATCATTTGTTGGATTTCATTTAGACGTTTAAGTGCTGATTTGAAGCTCTCACATTTAGTACAAAATAAAACTTTATCCTCTTTGCCACTGATCAGCTTGGGTGGTTGGTTACATTTCTGTTACTCACTGTCGGCAAGCACTGGGCATGTACTGGTTCCAGTATGCATCTGTACCTGTGAAGGTCAAGTCTGGTCTTGAATGAGCTCAAACTTGGCGCCGTCACAACGTTCGCTGGCAGATTATTCAATGAGTTCACAACCCACACCCTGAAAAAATTTGCCTTGACAATTTTATGAACTTGAGATTTCTTCAACCTTAGCTGTGACCTCTAGTGGGGTGGGCATCCGCCAACTCCAGCTGCAGACACTCGACTGAATAATGTCCTCTGAGGTGTTTATAGCTGTATATTTCAATTAAGTCACCCCTTGCCTGCCTATAGTATAAACTAAGCAGTTGCAGGCATTCTAATATCTCTGGGTAACTGAGGTGCCACAGTGCAGGCACCAATCTGGTGACCCTCCTTTGGATGTTATCAATCAACTGAGTCTCTCGCATATCTCGAGGACCAGACGAGGTAACAGTAATCCAAATGGGGAAGCACCTCACTTTTGAAGAGCATTACGAGGGATGGACCATTTAAGCATCTGAATGACCTTTTTATAAGACCCACTAATTTAGTTGCTTGATTCACCTACTTTTCACTATAGTCCAAAAATTTCAGTTTGTTGTCAACATACACATCCAGGTCCTTTTCAAATTTGGTCTCTGTTAATGCTGTTTCTTTGTCCCATTGGGACATGTGATATGCATCCTCTTGCATTTCATGATGCTGAATCTTAACAGCATTCCTTTGACCACTCCTGAAGCTGACAGAGATTTTTCTGCAGTTCTTCACTGTCCGTTTGATTCCTATTTTCCCTGAATAGCTTGGTGTTGTCCTTGAACATTTTGTAAGGGAGTGTATAGTTTCTGGCATGTCATTTATGAAACAAATAAACAACAACAGGCCCAGTACACTGCCCTGTGGAACCCCATTTGTCACAGGTATGCATGATGATTTCATGCTATTACTCACCACACAGTGCTTCCATTAATGAAGAAAATCTCCGATCCACGCTAGTACCCTCCCCCCAATCTGTACCCCTCCAATTTCATTTTCAACCTTCCATGGGGTATGCTGTCGAAAGCCTTGACAAAGTCCAGATATATATTGTAGGTATTGCCACCCTGCTCCAAGATCTGGGTCCCCACATCCAGCACCTTAAGTAATTGCGTAAGGCAGGAGCATCCCGGCATGAAGCCATGTTAGCAGTCCTGTATAAGGTTGTTTCGTAGTACTGAAGATATTACACCAAGGTACCTCGTATAATGCTCTCTAGTACTTTACACACTATGCTGGTCAAGCTCACCGGCCTATAATTATTTGTGGAGCGGCAATCTTCCGGGTTGAATATAGGACTCACATTTGTCATTTTCCAGTAGCTGGGTATCTTTTGCTCGTCCATGCATCTGCAGAACAAGATATTAAGGGACTCAGCAAGCTTGTTGAACAGCTCTTTTAGTACTGTGAGATGCACACTGTCAGGGGTCGGGTTCTTATGAACCTTTAGATTTGGCAATTTGTTCCTAATACAGCACTCTCTTCTGAGAATAATTATAATGTGCATCAGTGGTGTGTCAAGCCGTCTTTCCTGAAATGCTGAGAGATTGTTTGCATCGTCTCTTGTAAACACTGAGGAAAAAAATTTGGTAACACCTTTTTGTCTTGATTTGAGTCTGTATAACTACTGTCTTTAAGTCTCAGATCTGATATACCCACATATGATCTATTCATTGATGTTCATTTGTTGTAATCAGTTCAGCTGTTTAAGAGGAGTCCTGTACTTTCATTATCTGAAGTGAAAAATTTAGTCAGCCAGTGAACCATAACTTAAGGACTACAAGTCTGAGGTAATCTACGACAACTTTAGAACTTTGTCTCAAAAGGTAATTTGTCCTGTAACTATATCACTGGCACCAGTTGCATTAAATACCAGATACTGGATCAAGCTATCTGGGAGGTTTGCTATCTGGCACATTCCTAATATAACGTCAAATTACAATTCGGTTGTTTGTAAATAGTATAACAGATAAGGTGTTCATAAAAGATTCGTGAATAAACAGTTATCATGTACAGGTTACAAATAGCTATTCAGAAGACATAAAAAAAAATTCTTAAACAATGTCACATCACAATAAAGAAACTGCAAACTACAGTATTTGTTTGGTAATCTAAATGCTCCTATAACTCACATTTTACTTATTCAGATAGAGTCCAATTTTTTTCTAATGTAATTACATTTAATTTTGCTGAGACATGTACAATACATACGATCAAAAAAGTATCTATTCACATTGGGCCCATTGATTTCCTAAATGATCAATACAGCTCATAAGATTAATCTATTTTCTTCTGAATGTGCATATAATAAAAATGCTTAATATGGATAAAACAGGAAATGTCGCTAGCAAGTGATATATGGCATCCTCATGAAAGCAAGGCTACCAGCATGCGGTAGGACCAACGAGCATTTTGCAATATCCATTGTATGTGGTGTCCGATTGTTTTGTGCAAAATGTGCACAGACACTCTTTTGATCGTGTGTATACTATAATGTATTCTAATTACGAATACATTATAGGAACTATGGATATTTGGTCAATTCAGAATATACAGTAACTACAATACACGTACAGTAAAACCTCCATTTAACAGACATAAATCCGATATACTGTATAATCCGTTATATAGACATTTCATATCTAACATGCCTCGATATAGCAGACTATAATCTCCCATACAGTTCGTTAAATAGAGGTCTCACTATACAGTATAACATAAAATGAATGGCATCATAAACAACTACAGTACTGTACTGTACAAACATATAACAAAAACTTACAGCTCCCTCTGGAAGTTTCTTAATTTTATCCCATTCTACTGAGGGCCCAGATTCATTGATGAAACGTCCAAAGAGTTTTTCAAAGCCTTCAAACTCCTTTTGTGTTGCTTCTTTAAAAGACTGTGGACAGGTGACAAGCAGCTTCTGCAGCTCCTGAGCCAACTGGACTTGTGCATCCTTTTTCGTTAGCTCCTTAAACTCCATGGATGGGGAGCGCTGGTGCCCAAACACCTGTTAAAATAGAAAGATTAACTTTGAGTAGCACATATGGTATACAGTATATACAAACAAAACACAGAGAAAGATTTATAGCTGAAAATGAAAATGGTGGTTTCAGTTAAGCACAAATATTCGGTAATTAAATTTTTTCACAGATTCCCCTAATGTTTTGAGAGGTGTTAATCTTTGTTATGGCCAAAGGAAATCTATTGGGAAACATATGAGCAAGGGCATCAACATAATTCCTACTCTGTAGGCTAATTCCCGTAAAAAAAAAAAATCAGGAATGAGAATTTCTTATTGATCCACAGTTTCCTGACCTTTTGGGGCAGTTTAAGTCAGTGCTGAGGCTGACTTGAATCTGAAAGCAAAGGAATAGGAGGAACAGCAATAAGTTTTCTCAATAAAGTACAGTACACTGCATTGTGTCCTGAACCAAGAATGGATAACAACAGTTTATTGTGAATATTTAAACATCAATATTTCCATATGACCTTGATTAAGTCTAGTGTTGATATGGTTTGTAGAAACTTGCTTCACTATACATATGCGATCAATAATCTTCCAAGACTTAGGCTTACATTTCACAAGAGGTGTTCTGAGTAAGGTACTGTACCATGTTACATGTTTTCAAGTTCTGTTAATTTGATTGCTTTTCTATACTGTACTGTTGTACCCAGTAAAAATTAACATTAGTAACAGCAATTCTTGACAAGGTCTTGCTGGTCACTGCAATAAGATGGTAAGTGGATGACTGTACAGTGGTCACTGGAGGAAGGTGTACACTGGCAACAGATAATCACTGAACTGATGTGGCTGCAGAAATATGGAATTGATGAACTGAAGAGCAGTGAGATGGAGTAAGGTATTCATTGGAGAAAGTTGGTTACTTTCAGCTGTGAAAATGTCATAATCATAATTGTGGACACTTTAGTGTGGCAATTTTTATTATCCTTTAACTTTGATCCAAGGTAGCCACTGGAAGATGGTGGTTGAAGATAACTGAAATTTTATCTTACCATGTAGTAAATATTGATAATAGTTGTGGAAGCCCACTAGCAAAGTGCCACCACCATTCATGACCTTTGATCATGACCTTATCTGACACTGACCCAAAAAAGTTTAGCTTATTCAGACCTACTGTAAGTCAATCAGTCATGTAATTTTCATAATATCCGATGAAAATTGTTGAAGAGGGACAGATACACAGACAAACCTAATCAATCAATATACTGTACTGTATTGTACTGTACTGTACTGTACTTGATAAATCTTTGATTTTGCTGAATAATAAACCTTGATACCAATAGCCAGTTAGTTCAGTGTTTCTAATTTGATGGCATTAATGATGTTTACCTCACTGTAGCGGTTGTAGTTCAGAGGAAGCAGAGGCACCTGGTAGCTGTCGAGTTTAGCTGTAGAAGTGTTGTTAAACATGGTGATTGTTGCTGTGGTAGGGCTTAGCCTGGTGTGGGTGAAAATCGGTTAATGTGTGCGTGACATCAGTTTGATGTGCCTATGTCACGGACTATGGTGATTGTATGATAGACTTAAGCACCTTAACCTGGATGTTGGCTAACAGTAATACCAAAAGTAGTACAAACTACAATTCTAGCACTGCCACCAGTTAGCTTCAATCTTAGTCCCATTCTGGCATGGCATCACATCTTTATTGATGTTATGTTAGTTAATACAACAGATTAAGGACTTTCCTCAACATGTTTCTCTCGGCATTTGAGAACAAAATACAGTAACTAAAATCTGACAAGTAACAAGTTACAATGTCCACAATTGCATACATATACTGTACTTACAGCATTCCACAATCTCAAAATATAGTTCTGCACTGTATTGTATTTGCATTGTGACAAAAAAAGAACTTTGTGAGTGACATTATAATATGTAGAGGAAACCTTGTGCCTCAACTCATGACTGTCAGCCTGTGGGAGGAAGGAAGGGCCTCATTTTGGGTGTTCCTCCTCAGTGTTTACTCATTTCTTCTTTTTAGGTTGTCAGAAATGTAGATTGGGCCAAGGCCCAAGGATGGGGATGGAGGAGAAGCCATTTCATCCCTGTCCACCCCAGCTTGTAAGTTAAAGAAACTCAGTTTTGTATATACAGGTGTTGACTTTTATACGATGGGGTTAGAGACCTCAAACCTTAACCCATTACTGTATTTTCCATTATGTCAGCCATGGAAAATTCAAGAACATACTGTAGCCCCTGTGGTTAATGGAGGACTACTGTAGCCCCTTTAAAGCTAGCGGGGTTAGGTAAAATGGACCCCGCAAGAAAGCAAAATACCCTATGCGAGTTTTTCATACCAGTCCCAGGTGTACAAAATATATAAATAGTTATACGCACATGTATAAAAACATTATTATAATAAGCATGAAATAACAAAAATAAATAAAAATGAAATTGCATTGTATAGACATTAGTTCCATACAGTGATAGTTAGCTGTGGTAGTGACGATAAAATGGCAATACTTCTGAAACATCAGCTGATCTGGTGCACAGGCAATTGGGATGTAAACAATTCCTGTGCTGAACAGTTCCTAGTGAACATGCCCAGTACCGGTAAGTATTTGTAATGTGTATACCGTAGTTACCTTCTTTTTTTTTCTTTTTTTTTTATGGGGATCAGCCCATCCGAACACAGGTCACTGACCCACATCAGGGCCTGGGGGGCAAAAATGTAGTGGTAGTGGTGGTGGTAGTAGTAGTAGTAGTAGTAGTAGTAGTAGTAGTAGTAGTAGTAGTAGTAGTAGTAGTAGTAGTAGTAGTTAGCGATCTCCGATAGAGCTTGGATTTCGCTAACCCACTCATTCACCTTTCCCGATACGTACTGGGTCTTGAAGTCCGTAGTGCCAATCACTGCGCCTAGATGTCTTTGGCCGTCCTTAGTTTTTTTGACCTCACTTTCGCCGAAAACCTCCAAAGCCCGATCATAATGATCTGGCTTCACGATGAGGAAGGATTTACTGGCGTTTGGGTGGTACCCTATTTGTGGACCTCGCGATGTTACCAGGTCCCACCACTTTTTGATGTCCTCCACTTTTCCTGCTCCTGTGAGGTCATCAGCATATGCCACTTGTTTGACCCCAGTTGTTTCAAACTTTATTTCTTGTTGGAGCACTGATAGGCCTATTGCATACATTGCCATTGCAATGGGGTCCCCCTGTGTTGTTCCCTCAGTCGACTGCAGGATGGTATCACCTCATAGAGCCTTGTTGTTTACTATGTAGAGGTCTGATGGATTCCTATACGAATTTTCAACATACATCGCAAAGCTAGGACACTTGATCTTAGCAGCATTCACCCATGGAGTCAAGCATCGTTGGAACTACCTGATGCGTACCATCCCTGAGATCGGACCCCTCCTCCACCCTTTGGAAGAAGCAATCAGTGTCAAGTTCATTCCCAAACTAGTGAAACACCCTGACTTAACCCGAGCAGAAAGAACACTTCTTGCACTTCCACCAAGACTGGGAGGGATGGGACTAACTAATCCAGAGGAGATTGCTGACTCTGAACATCAAAATTCACTTAAGCTCACGGCAGCCCTCACTGACCACATAATAGCCCAGAATGCAACAGGGGAAGTGGACACCAGCGAAGTTAATAAGATCCGTAGGTCCATTACAACAGATCGGCAGCACTGCCAAAATGACATGTTGCAGCAACTATTGCTGCTGGTTCCAGAAAATTTGACAAAAAAAGTTGCTATAGCGCAGGAGGTGGGCGCCTCGAACTGGTTAACTACGTTACCGATAAGGGCAAATGGTTTCAGCCTTAACAAACAAGAATTTACAGATGCCATTGCTCTAAGGTACGGTTGGCCAGTAGATGGTTTGCCCTCCCAATGCGTGTGTGGCTCTCCCTATGATGGCGATCACGCCATGGTCTGCAAGAAGGGGGGCTTCATATGCATGAGGCATGACGAGGTAAGGGATCTCACAGCAAATATGTTGAAGGAAATCTGCCGGGACGTCATGGTAGAACCGACCCTCCTTCCACTGGATGGCGAGATCTTCCAACATAGGACTTCAAACACTTCTAACGAAGCCCGTGTGGACGTCAGTGCTCGAGGATTCTGGACGCGGGGACAGCGAGCTTTCTTCGACATCAGGATTTTTGATCCCATGGCCGTTTGTCACCGTAACCTAGCTCTCGATGCTGCGCATAGGAGGAACGAGAACGACAAGAGAAGGGCATACGGGGAGAGAATACAAAATGTTGATCAAGGCAGCTTCACTCCTCTAGTGTTCACAACCTCGGGTGGGATGGGCCCAAGTGCAAGATGTTTCTACGCCAGACTCGCGGAGCTGATCTCCGAACAGAAGCAGCAGCCCAGAAGTTATGTTACAGCCTGGATGAGATGTCGACTGTCCTTCTCTCTCCTTCGGTCGGCTTTGCTCTGCCTCAGGGGAACGAGAGCTTCCGCCCCTACTCCGACAACTGCTGCAGATATTGACTATGAGGCTACAGTCACTGAATGCCGCATAGATCTGCGGCTCAACTAATTTAACACAGATAGGATAGCTTCTTATGTATTAGGATATCTAATATTAAGGTAAATAAATGGTGGCGAAGGTGTGGCTATTGGGGGAGGCTGGAGGCCACGTTTAAAAAAAAAAAAAAAAAAAAAAAAGTAGTAGTAGTAGTAGTAACTAATTTAACACAGATAGGATAGCTTATTATGTATTAGGATATTTAATATTAAGGTAAATAAATGGTGGAAGGTGTGGCTATTGGGGAGGCTGGAGGCCACGTGATAAAAAAAAAAAAAAAAAAAGTAGTAGTAGTAGTAGTAATAGTAGTAATAGTAATAATAATAATAATAATAATAATAATAATAATAATAATAATAATAATAATAATATCCTTAATCTGCACTAGGTTAGGTAAATTTAATTAATAATGCGAATAAATGTTTGATAATAGGTCCATAAAGTGATAGTCAACTATGGTAGTGAGAAACATACAAGTATAGCCAGCAACTTTGTCTT